ATTATTAACCGTGTCTTAATAATAATAATAATAATCTTTATTTGTTTCAAAACAAAAACAAATATAATTGTTGCCCATACAATAATATAATTTAAAACGTTTGAATATATTAAAACGGTCTATAAAGAGAGGGCAGTGAGTCCATCCTCTCTGCTATTCTGTTATAGTCTTTATCTTTTTTTTAATACAATTGAGATCGACGACAACGATAACATAACTTTTTAAATACAACTAACAAATTAACATAAAAATTGACAATAACAAGATTACAAACTAATAAGATCGGACAATAACAAACTTAAATACATATACCTATATAATCTAAACATTATTCAGGATTAGTTACAACATTAAATATAAACTAAGAATTAGTTCTTAAGTCTTGAGCCAACTCGTGACCACGGCTATTACGACGTAGGCGAAACCTCGAGAAAGGTAAATACCTACCTTTATCATACAAATAAATAAAATTGGAGTGTCTGTTTGTAATATTGAAATAACCGTTTTTTACTACTTGCATATGAATATAAATACGGTACATCTTACACCAAAATATTTTTTTTATAATTTGTATCTGTCTGTTTGTTCCGGCTAATCTTTAAAATGGCTGGACCGATTTTGATATACTTATTTTTGTTATTACCTGATGTAATAATAATAATAATAATAATCTTTATTTGCTGGTTTGTCATAAAATTATTACTTACGTACCTATACAGTATTTTTCTATAAAACTACATATATTTTACTTATTTATTGTACAAACGAATATGTTCCTACACTTGTAATATTTCTGCCAACGCTTGAGTCCCTTCAGTTAGTATATTATGTCTCCAATAACATAGATTTAAGTTAAGTGTAAAATACAACTAACAAAGTAAACATAAAAATTGACAATAACAAGATTACAAACAGTCCAATAAATTACAATTTACAAACTTAAATACATCCATAGGCTATAATCTAAACATTAGATGGGCCGGATTAGTTACAACTATTATAAAAAAAACTAAGAATTTAAGTCTGTCATAAACCTGCCTGAAAAAAGATTTAAATGTCATATAAAACACTTCCTTTGTAAAAAAGCACAACATTACAATAACATTAAAATGTTCGTTAACGATAATATGTTTTTATAGAAAAATTTAAAATCCATAGCGCTGACAATGTTATCTGATTGCACTAAGAATGAGTGCGTAGAGGTTTCTATGTTGATTATCGCATGCCTCTTACTTGTTATACTGTAATTATTTATTATTTATTTACATTTTATATTTTTATTTATATATATAAAACATCTATTCAAAAGAGCAACATGCAAGTTTCTTGCTCATTCTACTTGTGATGAATCTGCATTCCGAACGAATGGTAGAATCAAAACATGACTATTCAAAAATGCTTGTAATGAGGTTATTTGAATATAGATTATTTCTATTCTTCTTATTATATTCTACCGGTATACTCACTACCTACATACTACAATAAACAATATATTATGTAGCGACACCTCATCACATCATATATATGAAATTATCGTGTCACAGTTTTCGTTCCCATACTCCTCCGAAACGGCTTGACCGATTTTCATGAAATTTTGTGAGCGTATTGAGAAGGTCTGAGAATCGGCCAACATCCATTTTTCATCCCCCTAAATGTTAGGGGTAGTCCACCCCTAAATTTTTTTATTTTATTTTTTAGACAAAATTTTTAGTTTCTATTTTTTTATGATACAACATACAAAAATACATGTAATCCTCAATTTTCACCCTTCTAGCATCAACCCCTATTTTTTTATAGCGTTATTAATTTATATGGCAAAACAATGTTTGTCGGGAAAGCTAGTATCATATGTAACGCTACAGTGATGAGGTGATAACCACCGCGCTACAAAATAATATTATCTACGTTTTGATTAAGACTTTGATAAAGACTGATCAAGGTAACTGAACAATTACCTTGATCAGTTATTATCAGTCTTAATCAAAGTGAAACAAATGTATTATTAAGACATAGGTACTGGTAACCATAGACACTTTTATATATGACCTCGGTGGTCTAGCTCATTACATACCGCTTTATGGCCGATGGTATATATCTAATTTATTTTTGCAAAACACAAACATTTGTATTCATAAGTATGATTGTTTTTATCGATCTGTGTGTTTTCTATGTATAATATGTATGTATTTACAAAAAAAAATCTATGTATATGTATCAGTTATCTAGAACCCATAAAAATATTAATAAAATCTGTATGGTGATAAATATATAAATAAAATCCTGAGATTATTATTATTATTATTTTTGGAAAACAACTCATAACCAAGGGCGGATCCAGCTTTAGCGCCAGGAGGTCACATACAACTATGACTTTCATGATGCTTAGTTAAGCCATCAATGTGCAAAAGCGTTTAATATCATCATCATCATCAAGCATCTTAAATACATGTGCTGCCATCTGTTGTCAAGTAGTTAAACTATATTTTGTCAGTTCACAGTCTGTAATCGTGTTTATGCATAATTAAAAGAAAAAACCGTGCTATATTTAAAAAAAGAACAATAAGCATATAATATCTCTGTAAAAAGGCAGTAATGAAACTAGTTTGACACTGTGGAACTACTCAATACTAGATGGCGCTATGTTATTACGCCATACAAAATTGAAATATATGTACTATTTTTATCAGGTATCCATAAATTAATTATACACAGCTACTGAAGAATGGGTACCAAAATATACTAAAAGCAACTTTTACAGTATTATGTCTGTACTAAAAATAAAAGGTTATTATCAACGACAAGACAGTCGATAAAAGTTTTACATTGTTTATGGTAAGTTTCTACCGAAGAAACTAATCTACCATTATCTATGTTGTTTCTTTCATCCGATATCCATCATCATCTGCTTCTTCCGTACCCCATTTATTTGTGGTTGTCGTAATGTTTTTCACTTCCATTCATCCCTGTTTGCAGTCATCTCGTTAATGACTCTCTTTCTTACCTTATAAACTTTCACACAATCTATCCATCTCTTTTTCGGCCTTCCTCTGGCCGACTACCTTTTTCTGACATTGTAATAATAATATTAATAATCTCAGGATAATTCACACAGCGCTATCTAGTCCCAAGTTAAGAAGCTAGCTAAAGCTTGTGTTACGGGTACTAGATAACTGATACAAATACACAGATTTTTTTTGTAAATACATACATATTATACATAGAAAACACCCAGACCGATACAAACAATCATACTCATGAATACAATAGTTTGTACCGTGCGAGGAATCGAACCCGCGACCATTGGAAGTAAGACGGTGTGCTAAACCGCTACACTTCAAGGACGTTTTCAAATAATCTTCAAATAAAACAATACAAACACTTTGGTAAGCGGCATTTAATTACAAAAAGAACAATACAAAAAGAAATATATATATAATACGCTAAAAACGTTACGAACAAACGTAACAACGTTTCAATCGATATTTATACAAAGCGTGATGCAAATAGTGATCATATTACATTACTACATCGCAATCTCTTGGTAACGATTTCTATTTCATGTAAATCCATTCACAGCCTACAGCCAAAGGTAAAAATAATTACTAAAAATATTACAAAAATATGCAGTGCGCCCCTATGTGTGTTTATTAAGTTAAAACCAATTTAATAGGACTACAAAAAAAAGCACTTAAAATTCTTCCCCACTCCGACAAACTCACTATTCTTCATAACGTCGAGGAAGCCGTTGTAGTGTATTATTAACATATTCGTTTTCTCAAATTGTGGGTTTTATTCAAATTGTAATTTTTCATTAAATCAATCTTTTTCTGAATTTACCTTCGAGAGTGCTTAAAAATATATGCTTCTTTAATATTGCCCAAAAAACCTATTTTAAATGCATCTATAAATATTAGTACGGACACACGTGGCCTTCGCATTATTATACATTTGAATAGAAAACTTATCAGTCTTATAAATATGACTCAATTTCCAATGAAACTAGTACAATTTAATAAATGCATTTTATGTGATCAAGGAACTTTTAAATTAAGCCAATAAAATCATTTAATTTTTTTATATAAAATGCAACTCCTATTACTCGCTGATAATCTCATTTTGTTTAGGTGAATTTTCAAATCGGTATCTCTTGAGTGCATATAATGCAAACAAAAATCAATCGTACAGTCTTGAACATATAATTAAATTTCCAATGCATATTTTATCCCCTCTACAATACTCCCTTAACATATGTTTAAAATTTCACAGACTGTAACAGACTACTTTGTTTTTATTTACCAAATTATTTATTGGTCATATTATCAGCCAGTAACGCGTTCTATAAATTGTTATATAAAAAAACACATCAAATTATATATTGGTCACATTATAAACGAGTAAAGGATATTAATTGTTATATAAAAATATATATATATATACCTCAAATAACTGCATCCGAGCGAGACGGTTGCTAGTTTGGATTAAAAAGTAAAAATGGGGACGCCACTGCATCACAACACTCCGTCATTTCAATATTAAATATCGATATTATTTATCACAAAACAACCATTTCATCTTAAAAATAACATACAATCTAAAATATGTTTATTTATATTTCATATTTTGTTCGATTTGACTTTCTATTAAAAAAATATAGATACGGACTCTTTAAGAATATAACATTGTCAACAGTATTGGAGCTTGTAGTTCCAGCAACTCTTACAAAAGTTGTATTACAAAGTTGCGATTTTTCTAAGTCAATCTTGACATTTTGTCTGACCTGACCTAAGAATCTATATCATATGTCCCGGCTGACTCACAGCCAAAACTAACAAGTCCATAAATCTGGTATTTGGAACATAAGTTTTTTGTATATCATAAGGATTAACATTTTTAAATACTCTTTAAGGGACCAGTGAATAAACGGTGTTGCCGCAAGTAAAAAGAAAAAAACTAGTATAGAATATAAAGACAATATTAACATTCTCATCTTCGCTTCATCTTCACAGATACGCAATGCACCAATCATTATCTATGCTTTCAAAGACAATTTAAAGATTTTAATGTCAACTGTTTAAAAATCATTTTTGTTAAGCTATAGTTAGCCCTTTATTTAACAAATGTGTCATATTGCCTAGTAACTTTTAAACTGCTTTAATATGCACTTTGTTGCATGATTTCGACAAATAATACAAGAAAATTATATGGGTAAAGAAAATTTTCGTGTATTATTTATAGACAATTATTTTAAGAATATATCAAACATCGATCATATTTCTTCAGAATAACAATTTGTCTAAATAAGTACAGTTTGAGAAGTCCTTAAGATCCATGTCACAAATCCATGTAAAAAAATAACGAAAAGTGTTAAGGCATAATAACTTCTCAACCAACTTAAAAAAGCGGGATGTTCTAAATTCGATAGTCTTTTTTCTGTTAATTTTGCAATTCTTTTTATACTTGTTTTTGCAATTTACTCTCGTTGTCCCATGCTATGTCTCAAGATTGTTTTTTCTTTATGGAACAAAATATATATCAAATCTCTTCATTTCAAATTAAGTAATTCCAGACCACACGCATGCTTATTTCATTGCATATATTATACTTATGCATAATTCATTAACATTATTCGATTACTTAATATTACTAATTGGAATCCATTCGGAATTAAAACAATATTAAGCTAAAACCAATATAACAAGACTATATACAATTTCCACCGAAAACAAGCGCTTATAAATTCTTCCCCACTCCGATCAACTCATTCTTCCCCATTCCGACTAACTCATTCTTCTTCATAACATCAAGGAAGCCGTTGTAACACGTGTTATCAACTTGCTCATCTTTCCTCACGCTCAAATTCTGTATGGCTTCATTCTCATTGGTGTTTTTCATCAAATTCAAACCTTCATCTTGAGTGTCCTGCTCTAGAGGAGCTTCGGAGTGCTTAAAAATTATATGCTTCTCTAAACTCGCTTTTTGGACGCATCTGTACGGACAATGCGGACATTTCACGGATTTCTGCCTCGGCCGATACGGTTTCACTTGACTTTTTATATCTACTTTGTCACCATCTTTCTCATTCAGATGTCTCTGTTTGTGTTTCGTTAAATTGGTCTTTTGAACGCAACGGTAACTACATAAATCGCAACTGAACGGCTTCTGGTCCGTGTGGAGGTACATGTGTTTGACTAAATTGGGCTTCTGCACCGTTCTATAATCGCAGTACGGGCACCCGAAAGGTTTATATCCGGTATGTGTCCGTTCGTGTACAACTAAATTGTTTTTTTGTGCGCAGCGATAGTTACAGTACTGACACCGGAAAGGTTTCTCCTTCATATGTACTAATATATGTTTAGCTACGTTATTCTTTTGGCCTGACTTGTAATCACAAAAGTTACACGAAAATGGCTTCTCGCCTGTGTGGGTGCGTTCGTGAATTTTCAAAATGGCGGGTGACTGACATCTGTAGGAGCATTGTGAACAGCCGAATTTACCTAATTTCTCGCTCTGTTCACTATCCTCTAAACATGTTTTCGAATGCTGTCTCAAAAGCCGTTTAGACGAAAATATAACGTTACATTTGTAACATATGTACTCACCCTTAATAATATCCATAGACAAATCTTCCGTAGACAATTTGTTTTGAGCGCTCGAATCGTTCTCATTCTTTTCGATGCTATCCGTGTATTGGACATTAGGATTGTACTCTGCATAATATATTTTATTTTGGTCTGTGGGCTTCAAATTTTCCTTTGGCTCTTCTGTTTTCGTGCTGTCATCTTTCCCGCCATTTTCAGTTGGACGCGGTTTTTTCAACTCCTCCGCGTACGGGCTGGCGTTCTCGAATTGTCTATGGATGACTAGATTTTGGGGATTGTCTCTGGTTACGTTTGATATATAGTTTTGTGCGTAATTTTGGGGACGGGAATATAAATCTATAGGGTTGTTAGCAGGTACATTTTGTATTTGGTTATTGTAAACTGCGTATATTTGACTATCTTGGTGCACAGCCTGACTTCCCTGGGCTGTCTCTGAGTGTACTTGGCCTGCAAACAGATCAATTAATTAAAAACAAATCAACACATTTCTTATCAAATATAGTTAAGAATTTTATTCTATCTTGAATCGTCAGGGAATATTTGGTACAAATACTCGAATTAAACAGACTTACATATATTTTTTGCTACAAATCTGTATTTTTTATGTATGTACTAGCTGTGCCCGCTGGTTACACCCGTGTGAAGTTTATAGCCTATTTGTTATTTTGATGTATAAGCTATCCTACAGTAGTTTCATGAAAATCCCTTCAGTAGTTTTTGCGGGAAAGAGTAACAAACATCCATCCATACTCACAAACTTTCGCGTTTATAATATTAATAAGATATAGTGTTAGACATTGTCAGCTATTGACATGTTATATACCAAAGTATATTTTGTTAAGCAAAGGCTTTAAAGCAAAGGATCCCAAACTTTTGGCGTAGACCCCTTCCCATATATTTCGGTTATGGGTAACCCCCCATATACAGACAACCCAGAACAGAGTTCTCTGGCGCAGATGTACAGGGCGACCCGACCCCAGATAAACTGGGAACAGGTTGGACAAAGAAGAGGGTAACCCCACATTCTTACCTGGAATTGATTTTTTTGTAAATTTCTACCTGTAGTAAAGTATAGTGTTAAAAACATAAAGTAAAATAAGATGACCGTTGTCGTAGTCCCCTTGCAGTTTGTCATAGACCCCTAGGGGTCGATATAGACCACTTTGGGAATCACTGCTTTAGAGAAAGTATTTTTTGTAGTTTTATTATCATCTTACATAGTATAAAACAAAGTCGCTGTCGCTGTCTGTCCGTCCCTATGTATGCTTAAATCTTTAAAAATACTATTCTAAATAATATATTTTAAAACGCGGTTTTTTTAATAGATAGAGTGATTCAAGAGGAAGGTTTATATATATTATATATAAGTATGTACATGTATTATAGAGTGATTCAAAATGCAGGAAGAATTATTACCTGATGTCACATAATATTTCAATGGCAACAAAATACACTCCTGTGCGAAACAGGTCAGTAGGTGAGCCATAGGCCTGTATGAATACAAACTACCAACTAGCACTAATTCATTAGAGACAAAATATTAAATCCTTCCTGGATTATATGTATAATACATGTACATCCCACATCCCATCCGGAAGACGCAGCGTGGGAAGGCCTCCAGCAAGGTGGACCGACGATCTGGTCAAGATCGCGGGAAGGCATTGGATGCGAGCAGCGCAGGACCGATCGTCGTGGATTTTGGGGAGCGATTTTTCTTCCGGGCTGCGAATGATGATAACGTCATACAAGAGGAGTCTAGTATTATATATATATATATATATATATATATATATATATATAATACATGTACCCCCGTACGAAGCCGGGGCGAGTAGCTAGCTAGTACTATAATATTACTTCAACACTCAGAATTTATATAAGTTTTATATTTATTAAAATGTAAATTTAATATAATAATGTTTTTCTAACATCTATCTAATGAATAATGTATGCAATTCGACTATGACGTTATTGAATTCTTTTCATTATCATTCCACCATTGTATTATAAAATAATTAATATTTATGATTATATTGTAACGCGCGAGTGAAGACAAAGGCTGGAACTAGTATTTGTGAAAAGAAAACCTTGAGGTAAAATTTTAAAGTGGAAGATATCTACGTAAATGTCTTATAAAATTTTTTGTAAAAAAGCTTATTATAAAATTGAAGAATTTATATATGAGAATAATGTTTTTGTAGAAAATTTCTAACTTAAAATTCATAGCGCTGACAATGTTATCTGATCGAACAGAGATTAAGTGCGGTTTCTATGTTGATTGTTGCATGCCTAATCCTTGTTAATGTAAATTTATTTAAAACAACATTTATTTAAAAGAGCAACACATAAGTTTCTTGCTCATTCTTCTTATGACGAATCTGCGTTCCGAATAAGTAAAATCAAAAGTGCTTGTATTGAGTTTATTTGAATAAAGATTATTTCTATTAAAAATATATAATTTTCTAAGCAAATATGTGAGCTTAGACCAGAGATATTTGACCTTTATTGACTACAAAAGGTTAAAATGTCACATGTATATGAAAATTACGTGTATTGCATCATAACAAGGTGTGGAACGACATTCCAGTCAGATTTTTTTAAATGGATGATAATGGTATGGTGCACTCGCCTGCGCTAACGATATTCACCGGTGTAAGATGATAGAACTGTAAATATATGATGATAGGACTAATATTATAATATATTAATGTACTTATTAATAATATTAAAACTATAACAATAGCAGTATTGTTTTCTATAATAATAATAATAATAATAATATTATAATAATTGTTAATGGTCCTTAACGACATTAATAATATTTTTTTTTAAAACCATATACATATAAAACACCCAGGACAATATAAAAATACAAATGTTTGTGTCATTATAGTCCATTGTTTCGTCTCACACATATAATTCGCCTGTATTTGATTATGACAATGTTATCTATTGAACAGAGATTAAGTGCCTAGCGGTTTCTATGTTGATTGTCGCATGCCTAATCCTTGTTGTTAATTAAATATAAGTTAATCAATATTTATTTAAAAGAGCAACACACAAGTTTCTTGTTCATTCTTCTTGTGATGAGTCTGCATTCCGAATGAGCGGTAGATTAAAAAAAATTGACTATTCAAAAGTGCTTATATTAAGTTTATTTGAACAAAGATTATTTCTATTTCTATTGTGTCCATGTGCCCACATAGACACAATAGATATATAGATAGATCTTATTGGAAAATACAATACATTTATTATTTTTGTTAAAAATGGAGACCAAAGAAGATAATATTGAAAAGTTGAAGCTGCTAATTATATTGAAGAATGTAAATATGAAGACATTATGGATTTAGAGATGTGAAAATTGAATCATGGCGTTTCATTTATCTCCACAAATATTGAACTATGATTAATAGTTAATGGTAAATACTGCTATTGAGTAAAAACAATATATATGCATCATGACTAAGGCCAGTGGCGGATCTTCCTACGGGCTTTATGGGCTGCAGCCCAGGGTATAAAGGGCCCCATCCCCCACTGAAAACAATAGGCGATATCATATTTTTTTTGTTAAATTCCACGCGGAAGAAGTCGCGGGTACAGCTAGTAATTAATAAAGTCTACCGTGTATTCGGAATGTAGTTTCAGCTGAGAAGATCTTACGAGAAGTTCTGCTCTTACTCCTTTCAAATGAGAATATTCATAACTGTAATACGTTCTTATTTTTATTTCTCTATCCACCTAAAGGTATTCTGGAAGAGATTGCTTAGCGATAAGACCGCCTTTTGCATCAATGTATATTTTCTATTTTAATTGTTTTTGTTTTTGTTTTTGTTCTGTAATTGGTGCAATAAAGTGTATAATTAAAATAAATAAAGATTAAATTTGGGTAATTATAGGAGGATGTGTAACTTAGGTTACTTTTATTTTAGAAAAATAAAGTTAAATTCCACGCGGACACAAACACGCGTAACAAATAAATATTATGAGATAATTTTAGATCAAGCTGGAGGCAAGGTCAATAGATAGCTTTGTAATTTCATAGGTCATAGTTAAACTCATTTGAATAAATAGCCAATTGTTTATAACAAAACTGATTCAAATGGATGCTAACATCTTATACATAAAATTCTCGTGTTACAATGTTAAAGATAGCAGAATTTTAATATTTTTTTTAATTATGCAGAATAAATACATTAAATCAATAAAAAAAACCATGATACACAGTACCATGTATTTTTTTTGAGGGTTGATAATGGAATGGTGCACCCGCCTGCGCTAACGGTTTATGCTGGCGGGGCACCAGTGGAAGATGATAAGATGAGCATGAGGTCAGGTCAGTTAGCCCATCGTGACAAATTCACCAGGAATTTAACACGATGGTTTCCAGGGTGAACCGCGTGGAGGTCAACCTGACATGGTACATTGCTAGCAATGGGGTTATCGATCCACATTACTAACAATCCCCTTTACCCCCAGTACCATGTATTTGACACATATATATATTGCTCTTGTTTATTGTTAAAGGCTGAGGTCAAATTGGGAATAGATTTCAACCACTGAGAGAAATGTAGTTTGAATAAATAGACAATTGTTTAGAATGAGACTGATTCAACTAGATATATACTGAACTGTTACCACAAATATACTGAAATTTTATAATGTGGCATTAGAAAATACATTCAAACCTAAATTTACTTCCCTTCTATCACCAACCCCTATTTTTAAATGCTATGTTAATTTATATGGCGAAACAATGTTTGGAGGTCGGGGAGTAATTCATAAATGTATGAGGGTGAAAGCGCAGGCACAGCTAGTATAAGATATATATGTGATTTTAAGAAAAAACTTACCATTCAATCCATTTACATTTGGCATCCCTTGACTCATATTATCATAGAAATAACTGTCATCGTCCTGTTCAGATTTTATATGGAATGGCATCGGTAATAAATGGTCACCTTCTAACCTTTGACTCTCATGACCGTTCATATTCGTAGCGACCAGTCTTTGACCCATTCTTTGGGCTATCGCTTGGTCCAACCTCTGTACTAAACTTTGGTCCAATCGTTGGACCAGATTTTGATCCAATCGTTGAGCTAAATTTTGATCCAATCTTTGGGCCAAATTTTGCTCCAACGCATGTGAGAAATTTTGCTCCAATAAATGATTGTCTTGAGCACACTGCACCATGGACATTCTTCTCGATTCATGAGCCAAAATGTCTTGATCAATATTTCTATTCAAATGATGCGAGAGATCTAATTCATGATTCAAATCATGAGATACTTCATGCCTCATATTCTGTGGTAGAACATCACCAATTCTTAAGTCCTGCTCATTTAATTGCTGCGCCAATGTTTGGGCCAAACCATTCTGTAGTTCCAATTCATTTGACAAATTCCTTGCCAATTGTATATCCAAGTTTCTATTGATAATCAAATCTTCATGTCTTAAGTTCTGTGGTAGCTCATTGGCTAAGTTGTGAACGAGATCTGCATCTGAAAAGTTCCGTTGTAAGTACCCTGGTATTTCATTGAAATTTAGACTTCTACTCAAGTGATTAGTCTTCAGCATCAGTGTGGACATCTGACGAGGCGATAATGGCAGTTGGAAGTTGTGAACTAAGGAGTTGTTTAGGGATGTTTGCATGACCTGATGTAGCTGTTCCATGGATATTGGTGTGTGCTGGTCTGGTGCTTCCATTTGAAATGGCTTTTGTAGCTGAAAATCCATATTAATCTATTTAGTTTATATAAATTACACATGGAAAAAAATTAAAATAATATTTTAAAAAATTTGACATTCATAAGAAGCTAAAATGAATATTATATAAACATGATTAAATTATTTTTGTTTTTTTTAATTATTATTTCAAGGATATATATATATATATGTGAGCATAGTTTTTATTTTCAATCTGAATATTACCCCAAACAAAAGCTAATCACTGAATCAAATAAACAATACCACCATTTTGTTTAAATAGCAAAATGTTTACATATCTGTTAGTTTATTTAAATAACTTTACTTAACAAAATGGAACTAAGGACAAGACGCATATATTAATAACATAAAAAAATATACTTGCTAATTGTAAAACTATAAAATTATCCTCAGTAATTGCTAATGGTCATTCTTATTAATTGTTCATAAAGGAATAGTGCTACATTATGAATTAATTTCCATCACCTTTTTTGTAGACTCTACATTACACATTTTCACCAATAAAACGACAGAACGTTGATAACTCTTATAAAAAAAATATGACAAAGAACTTACGATATCCGCGTACTTGAAAGCCCTATTTTCTTCGTCCAGGACATGTTGGTCTTCTCTCTTCACGAAATCCATTGTGTTTTAACGATGCGGCTTCTTTTATTGTACACATACACCTAATTTAATAAGAAAAATATTTCATCCTGAATTCCTGTAACGTTCTGTTCATAACCTAACATTCATAATTTAAATCAAATTGACCGTACAGAGATGTACCTAAGTATATAGAAAAAATAATTTTACAAGTCACAAAATTACATGTTTCGTCTAATTGTTACAGTAGGAAATTGTAAGTTTTAAGGATAAAAATATAAAAATTCTATTCACTTGACGTTAAAAAGCGAAAGAAAGGAAGCGACTTTACCACAGACAAGAAGATTTCACAGAACATCATTCAGTGTTACTAGTAACTGAAATATCCCAACTGAGAAGGTAACCTAATCATTAATTATTTAAAAATGGCGGTTTAGTTACTTATATATTATATTTTGTTATACTTATAGGCGCAAATTTCACTATTACCTTCTACTCAGAAGGTTTTAAACTAAAAGTTTAAAAAATTACCATAAAACTTAAGTTACCTTAAAACTTTTTATGGTATTTTTGATCTATAAAATATATTTAACGCAAAGGCTGGGTTACAACTGCAAGTTTTAGTTTTATATAATTATTATAATATAAGTAAAGATATTTATTTTGTGACAAGGGTATTTTGTTATTATTGACATTACATTCTCACTTGTACTCTCATATCGAATTTATCCTGATAAACATTTTGTGACATAATATAAATGTAAACAACCGTTAAAAATAATTTAAAAGGTGTTGATTCGATTGGTATATTTAATTATAAATATAAATATTAATGTAAATAAAAGCTTTCTTATAGCAATACTTAGCCTCGCAATAGACAACAATAACTCTATTTATATTTTCGTTCAGAAGTTATCATACTTCTATTCAGGAATTATATATACTCTACTCACTTTTCATTCACACTATAATAAACAGCTTTTAATAGCTGGTTAATTTACTATTATTATTATCCCATAAAAATTACAATACAATTATATTTTTATTCCACTTTACAGAAAAAATGTAAATGGAATTATGAAACCAATAGACTTATGAAATTAACTGTCAGTCTCAAATTTAGGCTGTCAGTTATTTTCATAATTATTTATTTTTATTCATGTTTCTTTCCAGAATTATTTGCATTAGCAATATCGTAGTCCCAATCTCACCAAAACTTCTTATTAGAAGTGGAATATATAAATATCAACTGAATACAAGGTAAATTTAAACTTACTGATCCTAAATTAAAAATATTGAAAAGTACGTAAATACAATAACCTCCATAACTTAGCCGGCGTAATTCTAGTTTATTTTACCATGGTCGTACCGAATTTACCAGTTTTTAAGGCTGGGACTGTGTTGAACTGACGGTACATTGCTAACAATGGCACTGGTCTCCATTACAGAATCCATTCCCCCTGAACTTACTCATTTTGTTTTTATTTTTATTGGATGATAATGGTATGGTACACTTGCCTGTTCAGCTATTCAATAGAGTCATGTTTTTAGACAAGATTATAACGATTCGGCATTATTTATGAATATTGTGTTTATGTAATTATTTATTAAATTTTATGTAGTATGTGTCCATACATAATATTTATGTATATTAAATCTTATTCATAATTTTTACATTTTTATTTTTAAATGGACTATACATACAAATCTCTGTTTGCTCTATGGTTGACTGGGAGAAAATACCACAAGGTGTTAAGTCCTAATACCATTGTAGGTCATTGTCCTCCTCCATCCATCCATTGGAAACAATTATCATTAATTCCTTATCATTCACCATGAAGGGCTAACTTTTCTGACCATGGTCATCCTATCATCTGCCATTAGTGCCCTAGTATATACTGTTAACATAGTTGGGTACAGCATACCATATATATACATCTATACATATAAATAAAATTGGAGTGTCTGTTTGTAATATTGAAATAACTGTTTTATACTGTATGCATATGAATATAAATATGGAACATACACCGAAATGCAATGAAAATTGAAGGCATGCAATTTTTTATAAATGATTAAATTTATGTCATTAGAATTATTGGCATGTATAATTATTAGTTAGCATAAAATTACTAAATTCAATAAATTCTTTGATGCTATAAAAATACCAGTATTTCTAAATTTTAGACTAAGAACTACAACATCAGACATGTCGAAATCAGCACTGGTCATCCTTGCCCAAGGCGCTGAGGAGATGGAGACCATCATCACTGTGGATATGCTCCGAAGAGCTGGTGTAAGTTTCACTTGTTAGGTAGTTATTGCATTATTAAGCTGTGGCATGTGCTGCAGTCAAGTTAGATGCTTATAATATAGATGAAGAAATAAAAAAATCTAACAAATTCATTTTGTGCCATTTATAAGCCACAAATGTTATGAAATACAAGACTTATCAAGTAGTTGCATATGTATATATTTATTTATACATATACATATATTTAGTACATAACAAAACTGTATTGCCTCAAAAATAACAAATCTTGTCATATTGACTTTAAAGTGCATTTCCCAATATTTTGATTAAGTTTTTCATGATAATTCAGGTAGTGTTTAATCGCCATGATCATGGGTAAACTGAGGGGTAGATAAATTATATATACCAATTACAAAAATAACATAATTACAATACAGATGTAACAATATATGGATGGATAAAGAAACAAAACTCACAATCAACAGCCGTCTTCTACAACATGATTTCTAATTGCAGGTGACAGTGACATTAGCAGGTCTGGATGGTAACAGTCCAGTGCTGTGCTCCAGGCAAGTGACTGTGGTACCTGACAAGTCACTGGCGGATGCACTCGCAGAGAATCCTCAGTATGATGCTGTAAGTTTGCGTTTTGACAACCTTCCATTTTCCTTTCAGACCCTTAGAACCCATTTTTCACATAAAAAAGTAGCCTATGTCATCAGGGTTTGTGTACCAAATTTTAACTGTTAAATCAGTTCAGCAGTGTTAGTGTGAAAGCGCGACAGACAGATCTCAGAGTTACTTTCGTATTTTTAATATTAGTAAGTTGGTATCCAAACGATGCCAATAAATAAAGCATCTATACAACGCCATCTGATAATAGATGTTTAATGTAACTCATTGCATTGTAGATATTTTTTTTAAGGATGTTAATGGAATGGTGCACCCGCCTGCGCTAACGGTTTACGCTGGCGGGGCACCAGTGGAAGATGATAAGATGAACGCGTGGAGGTCAACCTGACATGGTACATTGCTAGTAATGGGTTATTAAGTCCACATTACTAACAATCCCCTTTCCCCCCCATTGTAGATATTGAAAGTATCATAAAGAATCGAATAGAATAGAAAAATTATGATTTTCGCATTTATGCCCAATTTACACTCAGTCCGCGTGGGCAGGGAAGTGAGCAGCGCGAGAGTGTAAACACGATATTTCCCATGCCATTGGCGCTGCCACTCGCGCTGCCCGGCGCTCCCTCGATTGTCGGTTTTTCGTGCGCGAGTCTAAGGACTGGAAGCGTGTTTTTACATTCAGCCCTCTCGCACAGTTGTCGCCCGGCAATATTTCCGGCAGCGCAAGTGGCAGGGGAAGCAGCTGAATGTAAACGTAGCATAAAGTATATTTTGTACACATCTTTAACATATATATGCCCATTATGTAACATAACATAAAAAATATCATCCCAATTCCTTCAGGCGTAAAAAAGCCGTATTTTTGCCGTAAAAAAAACATATATTAATAGTTTATACTTCCTGTTGTACTATATGTATCAAAAAGTAAAGGCCATTATTTTTGTTTTCCTTTCTTATATGATATTAATGATAATATGTAATTTTCTGTATGTAGGTAATTCTGCCTGGTGGCCTGGAGGGGTCGGACCGCCTCTCCAAGTCCAGTGTGGTGGGTACACTTTTGAAAGAACACGAGAAGGCTGGCAAGATCGTCGCTGCCATTTGTGCTGGTAAGTGTCACAGCAATACGCTGCATTTATAGGCTCTGTGGTCAAGCTATTTAGCTGTTATTCCGATGGTAAGCAACCATCGATTCTGACACTATCTTCCGCATTTCTAAATTTTAACGATTTTATTTACTTGTTTCATTTAGATTTTGCAGTGATAAGAGCAGACCAGTCTCTACAAGCAGCACTCGTTCACGAGTATGACGGATGAGCCAGCCATCACTGCACTCGTACCATATTTAAGGGAGCCCAATGACCCGGCTTTAAAAAATAGATAACAACCTATTCTCAGACGTACCGAATGTACATATAAAATTTTATCAAAATCCGCCAAGGTGTATTGCAACTATCACTGTAACAAGAATTTTATATATTAGAGATACTTAATATTTCTACAAACAGCTCCGACGGCGTTCGTTGCGCACGGCGTGGCTCAAGGCAAACGTGTGACGTCATATCCGACAACCAAAGACAAGATCGCAGGCGTGCCCGGCGACTACCAGTACGTGGAGGGCGAGAGGGTGGTCGTGGATGGTAACATTGTGACCAGCAGGGTGAGATATTGTCTTATATCATTTGTGACTTGCAGGAGCTGACAGAAACTACGGAGACTTGTATAACAATGGATTTTACGTATAGTATGTTTTTTACAAGCAATCGCAATTTTAATAGCAAGGCCTATTACTTACTTACTAAACGATTACTTGAATGACGAGCGTGCATGGCAATAGATTTTCATGTACGGGATTTTCATTTAATGTTAGACATAGACACCTATATAAATACCTATGCATTGTAAATAAACTGGCTTTTAAAAAAAAAGTAATTCAATCGAGTTTCTTGCCAGTTTTTCTCAATTGGATCTATATACCGAACTGGACTGTAGGGCAAAAAAATTGTAATGTAAAAACTTGACGTTCATAAGCGGCTAAAATGTCCTACATGAAAAAATGATTTTTGAATTTAATCCCGGAGACTAAATTGACAGGTGTAAATGTCAAATTTTCAAGTAACGTTACCACCTATAGCGGGCTAGTGTTACACCTGTTCAGGCAGGAGTTGGCCTTCAGTCACTCCATAAGTCCTTCCGCGGGTTTGGAGTGCCATCTGCACTCGCCCCTATCGTCCGGTGAAGCTGTAAACGCCTGCTGCTGCCAACAGCATTAGAGCAGTCCGAAAAAAAAATTTTTTTTTTCCAGGGACCCGGAACAGCGTACTGGTTTGGACTGACGCTAATTGCGCTGCTGACCAACAAAGAAAAGGCTGATGCAGTGGAGAAGGGCATGATCATCACCGGTTATTAATTATATTCGCTATTATCTCATATGTATAAATCTATAATATTGTGTACTTTATGTATATGAAAAAACCTACACTGTTAGTTTAAGTGTAACATTCATATATAAAGTATAATTTATTTTTCGATCTGTTATGGCTCTAATAAAACATTGTTTATAAATTATCTTTTATTTTTAGAGTTATACACACTTCTGTATCAGCCTTTTCATAGTCACTGAATATCTCCATCATAGGGAGGGGCCCTATGATGGAGATAATATTTATATTATTATAAACGTGATATTTACGGTGATAATGTTTATGTTTTAAAGGTAAAGTTTGTGAGTTTGAATATTCGGGATGATCTCCGGAAATCTCCGAAGAAAAATATCCAAAATTAGATCAGTAGGTACATATCGTCATAGTGTTAGAATATTGACGGATATCATGTAGTAAATATAATTTACGGCCTGTGCTGTATCGGTTTGACCTTACTCCCGCTGGTCGCTAATTGGAATCCTCGCACGTCACAAACAGTACTATGGGACACAGTTACATAGATACATCAAAATAATTATTGCATTTAATAATGGCTAGTAAGACAAATCCAATATTGTGTACTAAGCACTGCCGTGTCTAAACTGTGTCAAAATAGTGGAGACTGGAGCGGAAACAACTATTTATTAAAAAAAACTGTAATAACTGTACATAGGGACAGGAATTCACGCTAGAACCTAAGTGGTCTCGGACAGTGCTGTTTCAGAGGAGCTTCCTCCCGCGTACACTTAAGATTGTGGAATGAACTTCCTGCCGAGGTTTTCTCACGAGACTACAGCATGGGGTTTTTCATGGTTATATTAAGGTTTCTTAAGCGTCGGCAAAGCGCACGTGATACCCCTGGTGTTTCAGGCGTCCATAGGCTACGGTAACCATTTACCATCAGATGGGCCGTATGCTTGATTGCCACCATCGTAGTATATAAAAAAAATACAGAATCCAACATCTATTTATCACGCCTCTCAATGATAAGGGTGATCTACCCCTAAATATATATTTTTATTATAACATTTCAGCATTGAAAAATACATACAACATCAAATTTCAAACCTTTACGATCAACCCTTTACGATTTTTTTATAGTGATATTAGTACTTCAATGTATATGACAAAACAACGTATCAGCTAGTTATTTAAAAAAAATAATGGACAATCTGCCAGCAAGATATAGCATTTAGATTTTATTATAATTTAGGTTAAAATAAAAGTCAATTATATACAATAAATCTATATTTGGTTAATATTCAATACACATATAATATTGCAACATACATTGTAATAAATAACTAAATGCATGCAATACTATTATTAAAGTCAATAAATATTGACATACAGTTTATTTCTATACGATTATAATTATTTACCCTCCAGGACTCGAATCTGAGAACTCACTATTCCGGACTGAGTTTCCAATTACGCCAATATAAGACTACAAATACAAAAAGTAGTAGTAACTTAGTAATTTTAAATTTCTTAACATCATTCTTTAATTATATAATTCAAAGCTAAATATATCTTCACGCTTATAATCCCAAATGGTATGAGCAATGCTTGACATACCCACATTTCAATTCATACATGCAGAGGACTAACCTACCGTCGTATCTCTGATTTGGTTTGTTACATGTGTTTCCATTACCAGCATCAATACGTACTATATCTTAACACAAAGTTTATCTCTGTCCTTTATTATCGAACTTACTATAACGTTCGAAGTAGGACTAATCTAATTACAAGGTCACCATTCGTTTCAAAATTTATTTCTTATTTAACAATGATCCTAATAATATACCATTAAATTCTAATTAATAGTCATCAGGACTGTACAGAGTCGGAAGCATGTGGTCTATCCACAGATACGAATTGCAACAGATATCAAAAACAAAAATAAGCATGATGAGTGTACTCGCTCTCTATGGCTATGATTATTTAACAAGTTAATCGCCCCGATGATATCAGAAAAAAATTCACATGTGCCATGCTAACTTTATTAGATAATTTAGTTAAAAATGTATCAAGGATACTTTATGTATCATAGAATTTTTTTTTTGTCAAATTTCCCGGAAAAACTTTTTTTATGTGACACACATATAACTGACATGGCGATTAACGTGTTAATCCTATAACTCACGCAACGCCATCACCCAAAGTGCAGTCTGCAATATTTTTAACAAATTACTAGCACCATTGCTAGTTATATATAGATATTTATACATATAGAAATTACACCACGTGCGCTGTAGCATGGTGCAGATGACACGTTCCAGTAATGTTTCGTTTCTCTATTGAAAGTTGCTACGATTTACAAATTATGACTTAGTATTTCAGCTGTACCACATCCGTAATATATTAAAACATGAATAACTGTAGTAACTTAAATTTAACCCAGCCAGAATGTTCTAGTCTACAAATAATGGTAACTACATGCCATGCTACAGCGCACATAGTATAATAACATTTCAGACTACATCTCGGCTCCAGATGGTGCTGGATATATATACAACGATTATTTAAAAGAGCAACACGCAAGTTTCTAACAGACTACATTTTGGCTTTAGATGGCGCTGTATATTACGAGTAAAAGACCAAGTTTCTTGTTTATTCTTCAGCTTTCCGAATGAGCGGTAGATTAAAAAAAGAATAACTGACTATTAAAAAGTGCTTAAATTAAGTTTATTTGAATAAAATATTTTGTATTCTATTGTATTATTTCTGCCCACAAGCAAAAATAAAAAAGGTAAAAAACAAAACTGCATCTGTTCAGTTTTGATACATGTTCGTTTGAGGTAATATTATTGTCTAACTCATAGGTAACAAGTTACAAATGATTACTTAAATGAAGTCCTTATAATAAAAAAAATATAAAAGCAGTCTTCCAAAATGAGATTTATGAATATCACAAAAGGAATCGACGTAATTCGCTCATCTCAACTTAACGCGGAGTTTGTAATACAAAATTTAGAATATATCTAAATATATATGACTAAAAGGTGACTGATATAGTGATCTATCAACGTACAGTCCAAACCACTGGTCGGATCGGGCTGGAATTTGGCATGCAGGTAGATGTTATGACGTAATCATCCGCTAAGAAAGGATTTTGATTAATTCTACCCCCAAAGGGATAAAATAAGGAATGAAAATTTGTATGAAACTTTGTCAATTTTAAACCGATCGGGCTGAGACTTTGCATTCATAAAGCTACTATGACGTAGGCATCCCCTAAGAAAGGATTTTGATAAATTCCACCCCTAAGGGGATAAATTAACGCGAGCGAAGTCGCGAAGCAAAAGCTAGTATTTTTTATTGTAGACCATGTTTATCTGTTAATGAATATTTACTATTTTTGTTCTATAATTGGTGCAGTAAAGAGTGTGAATAAAATATAATATATCTGTTTGTAATAATGAACTGCATATATATATTGTTGTTAAAAAAAATCACAAACCTCTAATTCAAGAAACGACAGATATCACGTGTCAAGTTGAGATGTACGGGGTATATATTATATTTTTGGCAAGTACTTATATACTAGACAAGCTTAATAAAGATCAATCCCTTTACATAGAATTACATATAATATTCTACTTATTAAACACATAATAATTTAGCCAACGGGCTAATACTTCATATAAATCCTTTTACATATATTATTACATGTTATATTTTACTTTCTAAATACACAAGTAATTAGCCAACGGGCTAATACTTCATATAAATCCCTTTACATATATTATTACATAATTTTATTACATAATTTATTATGTAAACCAGTTGCTAACAATTATCAATTGCAACAGATTAAAACTAATATATTTTTTATAACTGATTAAAAAATATCAAAAGCAGTAGCAATACTGTTTCTTGCCAGTTCTAAATTAAAATAGCTAGTCCAGAAAGTTCACTTTAATTTTAACCTAAATTAATTGTAAATAAATATTTAATATTTTTAAATTCCTTTAGGCCGTTTGACAGAAGTAGTTGCAAACCGTACAATATAACTTACAAATCGCTCATATATAATATATATATATATATATACTATAAAATCACCTGTACATTCCACATCTCCTCCACATCTTATTGCCCGTTTATTCCCTGACCGTATTCCAAACCCTAGGTGAATGCTTAAACCTAAATTAGTTGTATCTAACAAATCTACTCTTTTAAATTCGTGTATCGGACCATATATCTATAAATAATCTAAATATTACTATGTACTTACGTGTACGAGTATGTTAGACATATTAAAAACTACCCTCTGATTATATAACAGTACAACTGCAATCGTTTCTTTAAAAGGATTGATTTCAATTTGATTACACTTTAAAAGTTTAGATACAAAATCAGTTTTTATATACATGTGTTTTTACAATTATGAATATTATTTTATTTTATTAGAGCAACACACAAGCATCTCGCTTGTTCTTCTTGTAAAATTCTCGCTTGTCTTATTCAAAAGAGCTTACCTTAAGTTTATTTGAATAAACGATTTTCTATTTTTATAGTTACAAAATTACAGTCGAACTATCATTAAATATCTTAACATAATTTATTAATTAGTTACTAAAAGTTTATACAACCGCATTTACCTTCAAATATACAAGAGTACTACACTAGATAATAATCTACACTGTATCATAAAACGCAATGGGATGTACAAATTCAAAGCACAAATTAAAAAACTACCCGTTCGTTATGTAACACTATAGCAATCGTTTCTATTAACAGTTTCATTAAATAGTTTCATCTGACAACAAATATATCACAAATCCAATTTGTATGATTCGGCATTGCAACTATAAAATATTTCATACATTATCACAAAATTTTGAATTTTAATCGATTTAGCATATGTTTTCATTGCAACAGTGTTACATAATCAAACCATTGTAAACATATAAAATGAGAAATAACGTCTAACGAACGCAATTGAAAGAGAACAATTAAATTTTACGTCTCCCTCACACAACTGACCCAAAATTGAGAGAAAGTATGTTGACACTACTAAACGTAACATGACAAAATTTCAAACATGACTTAAAGGAAACTTCCTAAACACAATCGATTTACTATTACTTTATAGAAACTTCCAGGATTTGACTTATCAAACCTACATTATCATATCATACTATATTTTCATTTATTTCTATTTCATTAGAGCAACACACAAGTCTCTTGCTCGTTCTTCTTGTAATGAGCGGTAGATTAGTATTTTATTATATAAAATTAGGATTTAGATTATAGTTACAAATTACAGTCGCAGTATCATTAAAAATCTTAACATCATTTATTAAGTAGTTACTAAAAAGTTTTACAACCTCATGCAACTTCAAATATACAAGAGTACTACACTAGATAATAATCTACACTGTATCATAAAACACAATGCGATGTACAAATTCAAAGCACAAATAAAAAACTACACGTTCGTTATGTAACACTATAGCAATCGTTTCTTTTAACAGTTTGATGTGACAACAAATATATCACAAATCCAATTTGTATGATTAGGTATTGCAACTATAAAATATTTCATACATTATCACAAAATTTTGAATTTCAATTGATTTAGCGTATGTATTCATTGCAACAGTGTTACATGATCAAACCGTTGTAAACATATGAAATGAGAAATAACGTCTAACGAACGCAATTGAAAACGTTAAACGAACCTAATTAAAGAGAACAATTAAATTTTACGTCTCCCTCACACCAACGGACTCTAACTTAGGAGAAAATAAGTCGAAACTACTAAACAGTAACACGCAATAAACTGACAAGATTTCAAACATGGCTAAAGGAAACTTACTGAACAATCGAATTACTAATAATTTACAGAAACTGCCGGGAGATTTGACTTGTCAAATCTACATTATCATATCTTACTATTTTTATTTCATTACAGCAACACACAAGTCTCTTGCTCATTCTGCTTGTAATGAGCAGTGCATTAGTATTTTATTATATAAAATATTTAGATTATAGTTACAAATTGCAGTCGCAGTATCATTAAATATCTTAACAACATTTATTAATTAGTTACTAAAAAGTGTTACAACCTCATAGGCCTTCAAATATACAAGAGTACTAGACTAGATAATAATCTACACTATCATAAAACACAATGGGATCTACAAAGACGACCTCGGTGGTCTAGTGGTCTAGCACACCGCTTTAAGACCGATGGTCGCGCGATTTCTCGCACGGCACAAACATGAGTATAATTGTTTGTATCGGTTTGGGTGTTTTTTATGTATAATATGTATTTACAAAAAAAAATCTATGTATATGTATCAGTTATCTACTATCCATAACACAAACTTTAGCTAGCTTAACTTGGGTCTAGATGGCGCTGTGTGAATTGTCCTCATTATTATTAATATTATTACAAATTAAAAGCCTTGCAGCAAAACCAAGTTCAGCAACTTATGCCGTACGTTAGAGATATTAAAAACTGCTCGCCGATTATGTAACACTATAGCAATCGTTTCTTTTAACAGTTTCAAATGACGCCAATATTAGCGACCTAAAGTCGACTGTTAAATGCATGAGTAAATAACTGTATAAATTCGAAATTGGAATTCCTAACCAAAGAGATATTTGAGATCCAAGTGGCCAGTACGACAAAACGCCTAAACGACGAAAACGATCGAATTACTATTAATTTGCAGAAACTAACCGGAGTAGTAAGATATTTTCATATATTTTTATTTTATTAGAGCAACACACAAGTCAGTTGTTCGTTCTTCTTGTAATAAGCGATAGATTAAAAAAAACTAATGTAATGTTAAAAATAATTTAAATAACCTATGACTATTCAAAACTGCTTAAATTAAGTTTATTTTAATTAAACGATTTTCAATTTCTATAGTTACAAGTTACAGTCGAAATATCATTAAATATTAAATATCTTAAGATCATTTATTAATTAATTAGTTACTAAGAACTTTCACAACCTCAACAGCCCTCAATATACAATAGTACTACACTAGATAATAATCCTATACCAGTGATTCCCAAAGTGGTCTGTATCGACCCCCAGGGGTCTATGACAAATTGCAAGGAGTACTACGACAGCTGTCTCATTGTTTTTACTTTATGTTTTTAACACTAAACTTTACTACAGTTAAAAATTTAATCAATACGAACAGGTAAGAATGGGGGAGTCTAGCTAAAACCGAAAAATATGGCAAGGGGTCTACGACACAAAAAAGTTTGGGAACCTCTGTACTACGCTATATAATAATACTACACTAGGCTAAGGCTTGCAGCGAAACTGAGTTCTGTAAGTATCCTTAAATAAATTCAAAACATCTGTTAAATCATATTTACTGAACAAAGCCTATTACTCACTAAACGATTACTTGAATAATGACCGTGCATGGCAAAATTGTTCATGCACGGGATTTTCATTTAATGTTAGACATAGACACCTATATAAATAAAGATTGTAAATAAACTGGCTTTAAAAAAAAGGAATTCAATTGAATTTCTTGTCAGTTCTCAATTGTATCTATATACTGAACTGGACAGTAGAGAAAAAAATATAATATAAAAAAATTACCGTTAAGCGACTAAACTGTCTTACACGAATAAATTATTTTCAATCTTAATGTACGCAAGTATGCAATATTTAATATATTTAAATTCATAGTATATACACTAGTTATCCCCGCGATTTCACGCGCATGACATTTATAACCTATGTGTTATTCTTAAGTACTTATACGCTATATTCTGTACAGATTCATTAAAATCCATACAATAGTGTTTCCGTGAAAGAAAGAAAGAAAGAAACATCCATACATCCATCTACAATCACAAACTTCCACGCTTATAATGTTACTAAGATACTAGTAAATTCATCCCCTACTACTGTAGGGGATGAATCTACTGCCGTATTTCTGAATGATATTGTTTTCTGATTTTGTTTACAACAAGTTAAAATACATATATATTTTTTAATAATTGCAAAAACATAAGAGAAGTTTCTTGCCAGTTCCCAACCAAATTACCAAATACTTAGTTGATTTTCTCGAAAAGATTAGAAAATTAACTTAAAACTTAACCTGAATTAATTATAATACATGTTGAATAATTTCAAATCCCTTTGGGATATATTGGATCGATTCCGTTGACAAAGCCAATTAGATTGCGTTCGAAGTCGTTACAAAGATTTTTAGTTAATCAAGAACAAAAGTTACATTATAATTAAATACAAATAAACTTAAGTATTTACCAGTTGTCCAAAAAGTCATAACCCGTTTTTGGTAGGGCGCTGTCGGTTAGCGTTTCTGTTGATTGAAACTCAGTGCCGGACGACGCGTGGCTAGATGACAACAGACCGCGATTCTCCTCGGATATATCTGAAAATTTAAAATGTTAAATTATATTTATTTAATACCACTTAAATTCAAATCTATACATATAAATAAAATTTAAGTGTCTGTTTGTAATATTGAAATAACCATTATTTACTACATGCATATGAATACATATACGGAACATATATCAAAATAACATTTTTTACAATTTTTGCCTGTCTGTCTGTTTGTTCCGGGTAATCTCTGAAATGGCTGGACCGATTTTGACGGGACTTTTTGGCCATGTAGCTGATGTAATAATGAATAACTTAGGCTATTTTTAATTTACAAAATATTATATTTTTGACAAATTAAGACGTTGTGAGATGGTAAAGAACAAGCCTGGTAGATTGGGACCTAATGGCTGGTTATCATACATTTAATATACGTTTTATATAATTAAACCATGGAACTATATATATTTCATTCATTGCCTTGCCTTTATCCCATTATTTGGGGTCGGCGCAGTATGTCATTCTCTTCCACTGCTCTCTATCGGCCGTCATATCTAAACATACTCTTCTTTTATTCATATCATCTTTCACACAATCTATCCATCTTTTCTTAGGGCGTCCCCTCCCTTTACATGCAACTATATATATAACGTATGAATATACATTTGTACATCCATACATCTTCCTCCACCTGTCGCTGCCCTCGCTAAATATGTTTATTTGTTTATACCTAGCTCTGAGAATACTACATCTTTATCGCCTTAATTGACATATAAATGAATTACTCATTACATTAACAGTCGACAGAACTGACATCAGTATGTAGATATATTAAGTGACTCATAATGAGATAAAATCTTTGTTTGGAATTCTCCGTGTGTTCTAGTTTTGAAAGATAAAATGAGTCATTTAAAGAAATACAATTAACTATACATATATGTAGTTCTCCACTTGCTGACTCAGCAAATGTTATATTGCCATATAAATTATCGCTATTAAAAAATAGGAGTTTATGATAGAAGGGAAATTGTATTGTATGTATTATTTCATGCTAAATCGTAATAAATATAAATTATAAATTCTGTCGAATATATTAAAAATAATATTTTTTATCCGCGAGATTGTTAGCGGAGAATTTACATTTTATTTTAATAATAATAATAATCTATACTTATAATAAATCTGTAAAGAGATCAATTCGGTACATATATTTCCAAAATAATTATCAGGGGGTGATTAGTGTTCGATACTGATGCTAAAATGCAATCAGTAAAATTTTTGTCTGTCTGTCTGTATGTTCGTTATAGAAACAAAAACAACTCGATGGATTTTAGCGAAATTTGGTACAATTATTCTTCATACTCCAGGTTATAGTATACTATTCATCACGCTACGATCAATAGGAGCAGAGCAGTGAAGGGAAATGTTAGGAAAACACATCAAAACCACTGAACCGTGAGGAAGGACATAGGCTACTTATTTTACGAAAACGCAGACGAAGTCGTGGCCAAAAGCTAGTAATGAATAAAATAATACGTTTTGGGCTAGACTACCCTACTACCCGTATCAGTTAGAGGTATAAAAAATAATTTACATCCTATTCTCAGACCTACTGAACATACACACAAATTGTCATAAGAGAATTGTCTGAAGAGTTTGTTAATCTCAGGAAACACTGGTTCGAATTAAAAAAATATCTGGATTTGTCAAGGATAAATCTCCTATAGGCAATCTCCAAAATGCAACTATATAACATCACGTACCGACCAAGAGCAGTACTAGAACCAATAACACTAGTTTTATCTAGTGTTACTTGGGTCTAAATGACGCTGTGTGAATTATCCTGATCATCATTATCTGCTTCTTCCTTATCCCATTTATTTGTGGTCGTCGTAATATGTTTTTCCCTTCCATTCATCTCTGTTCGCAGTCATTCCGTTATTTACTCCCTTTCTCACCATATCATCTTTCACACAGTCCATCCATCTCTTTTTCGGTCTTCCTCTACCCTTATAACGATCCACATTCATATGTAACACCGTCCTTAGGATATGATCTTCATTCCTACGCATTACATATCCATACCACTATAGACTATTACTCTGTAACTTCTCCGACATCGGTGCCACTTTCATACTTTCTCTGGATGTATTCATAAATTATCCTGATATTATTATTATTATTTTCACTATTGTGGCATTTTCTCAGCTTTTTCTGGTATTTTACCACACTTGCGAGCCGAAACCAAATAAATGTGGTAATTTATTATTATTATTATTAATTTAATTCAATTGTAATAGTACCCCATTTTAAGCAAGTATTAGATAGTGAAGTATATATATACCTACATTGTTATGATTAACAAACGATATGTCATTAATAAACTAATGAATTCTACGATTGCATTAGCGGAGCATAATCTATTGTACTGAAGATGTTACCACGAAGTGTATTTAATACGTGCTTAATTTAAACACAATTAAAATTGATATAACACGTTTACATGATGAAATATGGTTGAGCGCAATGATGGCTGGCTCACCCGTTATACTCGTGAACGGGTGCTGCTTGTAGAGACTGATCTGCTGATAACTGACTGATTTATTTGTTATTCAAGTAACTATTTATTTATATCAACTTTGCTATTTAGCAGTTTCGATTCACACAAAATTCTTAAGAATGAAATTCTGAACAATATTTATTTAAAAGAGCAACACGCAAGCTTCCTGCTCGTTCTTCTTGTGATAAGCTTACGACTATTCAAAAGTGCTTATATTCAGTTTATTGGATAAAGATTATTTCTATTTCTTCTATATTATGATTATGAAGTCTTCTGAGTCGAGAATGTACCTTATTTTTATTTAATTGTGCGCGACCAACAATATATGACATAGTTTTCAGTATGTTTGCAATTTTTATAATGTACAAGTGTTGACTTAATTACTCGTTGCTACGGTATGTGTTAATGTTTACAGAATATATTTTAATAATACAGAAAATTACTCAAATCAAATATCTTTATTCATGTAGGTCTATTACAGACTCTTAAGATATATCAAATCTGCAGTCAGTTCGGAATGTTTTCGAGATGCGAAGAACTGATAAGAAACTCAGCTCGTATTCTTTTCAAATAATAATAATAATAATCTTTATTTGTCTCAAATAAACTAATACAATTGCTGCCCATACAATAATAAAATTTAAAAGTAATGAAGGAGACAAAACGGTCTCTAACTCAGATATGTTTGTACATGTTTACAATAATATACTTATTTTTAAATTCAAATTTGGGAGTATACAGTGACCACTAGTCTTTTAACTATTTTTTTAGTATTTTTACTTATTATTTAACATTTAGACTGTTTTCAAAGTTAGCATATGATCATAATACTAATCCTGGAAAGTCTCAAAATAATTCACACAGCGCCATCTAGTCCCAAGCTAAACAAAGCTTGTATTATGGTTACTAGACTGACCGATAAATACTTAAATAATTTTTTTTGTAAACACACGCATAACATATACAGAAAACACCCAGACAAATACAAACAATCGCATTCATGAATACAAGCGAGGTATCGAAGCCTCGACCACCGGAAGTGAAGCGGTGTGGTAAACCGCTAGACTACTGCGACCTGCGTCTGTATGTAGTATTTTATTACATAATAGCTAACCTGAACTTCGTCTGCATCACACTTACTTGACACTTGTAATTATATTTCATACAATTTACATAATATCTTTTTAAATTACAGCCTATTTGTTATTCTTATGTATTAGCTAAATTACTGTAAACCAGTGGCACTCAATGAGGAAGTAGCCATTATTATTGCTAAAAGTTGCATATAGATGGCGTGATTGGTATCGATGGAATTCTTCATAGTTTTGCAAACGTTTTAAAAAACAAAACTGTGTTTTCAAAAATGTTTAATCAATTTTTAAAAAGTTATATATACATGTTAAAATGAAATAATGCGTTTAGAAAAGTAATTTTCATATATTTACTCATTTTGTTATTTTCCAGTACTTAATTACACTTTAATCAGTGCTAATATGGGGCTCAATGTTTTCAAAATGCTTTCATAGATGGCATTGTCGTCATTTGTATCGGCCTAATTAAATGTCTTTTTTATATTTTCCAATAATAAGCACTTAATATATTATTATTGTAAATTAAACATATAAAATTTTTTTAAGTAAATGAAAAATAGCCGAACAAGCAAGTAATAATATTTCCAATAATACTTATGTATGAAGTGTTGTCATATTATAAATAAATACATGTATTATCGATTTTTTTTAATAATCGATAACAGGATTTTATTACGCATTATTCGATGATGCTTTTAATGAGTCGTTGTGAACAGTAATTTTTCATTATTTTGTATTATAGCAGTGTTCCGTTTCAAAGAACGGAATATAGTAGTACATTATTAGTGTCGTTGGTTATTTGCATTTGTACTGAAAAATCGATTACATAATAATTTAAAATATCGAGTACGAATCGTAGTTGTCTTCGAATACTGGCAACTGGTAAGATTAAATTAGTATTTAATAAAAAGAGAGAAATCGATCCTAATTCGAATATCATAAAGTTGATTTTCCTTTCTCATTAATATCATAGCAGTTTGTTTTTAACTTGCGTATGACTCTGTGGTATGATGTTTAACGTGTATTGTTATTGTACGGTGCATACATTTCAAAAATTATATTTTAATGTAGGTACATACATTACTTTCATACATTTCAAAAATTATATTTTAATGTAGGTACATACATTTCTTTCATACATTTCATACATGTCAAAAATTATCTTTTAATGTAGGTACATACATTTCTTTCATACATTTCATACATGTCAAAAATTATCTTTTAATGTAGGTACATACATTTCTTTCATACATTTCATACATTTCAAAAATGAACTTTTTATGTAGGTACATACATTTTTTTCATACATCTCATACATTTCAAAAATTATATTTTAATGTAGGTACATACATTTCATAAATGTCAAAAATTATCTTCTAATGTAGGTACATACATACATTTCTTTCATACATTTTATACATTTCAAAAATTATATTTTAATGTAGGTACATACATTTCATACATGTCAAAAATTATCTTTTAATGTAGGTACATAAATTACTTTCATACATTTCAAAAATTATATTTTAATGTAGGTACATACATTTCTTTCATACATTTCATACATGTCAAAAAGTATCTTTTAATGTAGGTACATAACACCCCATGTCAGACCCCTTGTATTTGGAAGAAACTTAAAAATAATGCCAAAAATATTAGATGAATATATTTTTAATACGAATATTGTTTTATTTTTGTTCATCAACTTTATCCCTCACTAACAATACTAGTAGTAGTACATAACCTGGTTTATACCGCTAAAGATATTGAAAGATATACGAGTAATTCAGAATGTTTGGCGTGAAAGCGAGACAAATAGACAGACTGAGTTACTTTAGCATTTATAATATTTTTAAGAATATCGCTATTAAAAATAGGGTTGGTGAAAGACGGGTGAAAATTTAGGCGTGTATGTATTTTCAATGTAACATTATAAATAAAAAAAAAAAAATTGTCCATAATACAAAAAAATATTTTTTCGGGGTAGGCCACCCCTATGACTTAGGGGTATAAAAAATAGATAACAACCCTACCTCAGACCTGGCAAGTATACATATCAATTTTCATCATGGGAGAAATATGGCAACTAACACTGTGATACAAAATTTATATATTGTAATACACTACCTCTAAGTAGATATATATATATATATAGCGGCGCACCCGCCGGTAGCCTCGCGCTGTTGGCTCGTTGCTAAGCAACAGATACCCCGGTAGCGGTTGGGTAACGGGAGGCCGGCGGCAGTTGGTCGTTGAATACCCGCAGCGCAATAGTCTTACAACTTATTTTAATTATTTTTATGACGATCCAACAATATAAGATATAGCGGAATTCTCATTAGGTAAAAGAGGGGTACATCGTAGAATACATGAGGTATATACCAGTAAATTAATTGTAGCTAAAATCAGTCTCATACATATAACGATTGAAATAAAAAAACGTATAGCCCGATTTTGATACGTACGAGTATAAACGTATCAAAATCAGGCTATACGTATAGCGCAGACGCGTTACAACATATCAAAAAAATAGGCATGGAATGTAAAATAAACCATAACATAATAGGTATATACATTGGCACATAAGCCATATCTGCAGTGTCGGCTAACGATATTATACCTACACATTTACATTGAATCTTGAATCGTCCCTAATGATGTACACGATACAGTAACCTACATATCTATTATATACATATCTTTGCAAAACAGATGTCATGTAGCTGAATTGACTGCCATCTATTTTCATGCTTTGTTACTAAGCACCCACTAGTAATCCGAACTGCTTCAGATCTAGCGACATCTAGCGGCTACGGCGGCGAAATAAAATAGCCCGAAGAATAGCCCGAGTTAGGAAGGAACCATTTTCTTGTATGGGATGGGGTATCTGTATGTAATATTATGTTATCTGTGCTGTAAACTATCATTAAAATCCGTTCAGTAGTTTTTGTGTGAAAGAGTAACATACCATCCATCCATCTATCCACCCATACTCACAATCTTTGGCGTTTATAATATTAAGATAGATAGATAGATAGATAAAAATTTTATTCACGTTAAAGGCACACACACACACACAAAAGGCACTGTAATAATAAGAACAAAAATAAAACAGATATATTAACAAGATGAATACTAAAATGTAAGATTACTACTAAAATGACTCAATTTTTGAAGTTAGTTAAATAGTAACTCACCTCCGCTCGACTTGACCATGCTGTTCCTGTAGTCTTTATCCAACTTTATATTCCCCGTTGGACTTTTGAAGTTCGTTCTGAAGAAGTTATCCGAAGATGCCACTATCTGGGTAGGTGTCTCCGCCGGCACCAAGCATTCTTTTTCTTCGTCCTTACTCTTGAAATTCCCCATAAACTTGCTGATAAACCCTGGTGACGTCACCCCACTGTCTTGTTCCTTGTAGCTCTTTAGCACATCATGGGATTTTAATGCGTTCTTCAGCTCTGAGACTACTTTAGAGTGGGATATGGCAAGTTCGGACATGACTGGCAGTGGGGACGACGGTTGTACGTCTTTCGATCTATGTTCACTCAGAATGCATAGATTAAGCTGGCTCTTTGTTTGATATATGAAAGGGGCTGAGTGCTCGTCCCTAGAATATTAAACAAATTCATTTAAACGAGTACTAGTGGTCGCCCAGTGGTTGAAATTCGACCGTGGTAAGAAATACAAAAAGATCTTTGACAATAACAATTAAACAAAAGAGTACATATTCGTGGGTGTTAAATAAATGGTAGAGTATGTATTTCTATATTAATTTAACGTATTTTATATGCACAATTAAAAAAAAGTGTAAAAAAAATAATGTTATTATTACTTAATCCGGAGGCATTTGATTACATATGTCCAGTCCAACCAACCAACATTTGTATTCATGAGTATGATTGTTTGTATCGGTCTGGATGTTTTCTATGTATATTACGTATGTATTTGCAAATATATATATATGTATTTTGTATTTGTAATAATATTAACCAAATGTAAAAATATTAGTATAGCAATAATGGCTTTTATTTTTTTTATTTTTATATGTATTTGTATCTGTTGTCTAGTACCCATAACACTGGCTCTACTTATCTCGGCACGAGATGTGTGAATTGTCCAAGGTTATTATTATAAATATACTAAGCTGGGGTAGCTGAATCTGTTTGTTTTGCCCCTCCGATCGATCCCCCGTCCAATTCAAACGGGGTCGAAATACCGCGCGAGCAACCGGGCGCCTGCGCGGGCCCGGGCGCTTCACACCGTTGACCCCGGTCGCACCCTCGATCGATCCCCGTACAATTTAAACGGAAATCGAAATTACGGCCTGAACCGAGATTCGAAGCCCTAGCCCTAGCCCCTAGTACCCCCAGACTAAGGTCGTATCCGTCAGGCGGAAGTTGGTCTTCAGCCGCTCCAAAAGTCCTATTGTGGGTTTGGAGTGTCATCTTCAATTGCCCCCTAACGTCCAGTGAAACTGTAAACGCCGGCTGCGGCCAACCAAATTAGAGTGGTCCGAAAAAAAAATTTTCCATATCATTCAGCTTTCACACGTTGACCGTTACACATCTCCGCTACTACTATCCATTGTCGTCTGAGTCCAAGGGTATGACCCTTGGACTCAGACGACAATGGATAGTACACCTAACAGATTTGGAGTAGTCCGAAAAAGTCTGTTCATTCACTTACTTGTATGACACATTTTCATCTTGTATCACCCGTTGTCCATGTTCTCTACCAAAGAATGACATCAGATCATCTTTCCTCACCGGCGGATCATTCAAATCAAACTCTAATGTATCTAATAGAGCATACCGGAGAGCAATCTCCGGTTTTATTATAGATTCATTGATGATTTCCACCTAGAAATTTAAATATTCCTTAATTTCTAAGTGAAAAACAAAAGGGATAGTTGATTTTTGTTAATTGTAGATCAAAATTATAATATTTTACACTAGCTGTTACCTGCATGAATTTAACTATATATTATTTATATTGCAATTATCAAAATTTATAAAGTAACAGACGCCTGTTTATCTTTATAACATTAGCTATCTGCAAGTATAGTCCCATCATAATCTGTAGATGTTTCAGAGATTGCCAATTTTATGGCAAATAAAGGCATTTACCTCTTTCGACGTTTCAACTATGTTGCACTAGCCGTGGTCATAAGCTGACTACTAGTACAGCCTAATAATACCTTTTTTTTTATTGGGTTGTTTGGGCTATTGCCAGATGTTTGCAGCACCTGTGGCACTGCGACCTACATAGATCTATTGTGCTCGCCCTTTTCAAAGTTACAACTACCTAGACCCGTCAGAGACAAGAATTGAAAGATCTTCTTAGGAGCGATAGTTTTTATTTCCTTGGGAAAGAGTGTAAACTTTCCAAAGGACATATTTCGTTTATGCATGATTGGGCTACAACCACATAGGATGTGAAGCGGCATTTCCTCTTCAGTTTGGCAGATTCTGCAGATACTTGTCGTGCATAGCATGGTAGCATTGTAATAATACCTTTATTTGCCATAAAATTATTTGTGTTAAGACCTGATTAATAATTTAAATAATGTTTTTCAACCCCATTATAACTACTCGATTATATTTCTTTGTAGATTAATTCAACAATTATGAGGGACCGTAATTTTTTTAATACTATAAAGTCATGATAATATTTTTCAGTTGCTCCATTCATTTCAAACAAACAAATCTTTTTTTTTATAGTATTTGTTGCTATTGTTTACACTTTTGTTTTCAATTTCCACATCAGACTATAGATTACATTATCATAAGTAGAGGAGGTAAAGACAGATAAGATTTATTTTAATTGTATTTTAATTGTAGGATAACTTTTACATTGTCATGAACAACAGCAACTGACTATAGAGTTTGGAGTGAAAGACACCTCTTTCACTACAAACTCTACAGTCAGTTGCTTACTTTGAAAGTTGAGATGTTTTTTTATTTATGAGATAACAATGGAATGGTGCCCCTGCCTGTGCTAACAGTTTACGCAGGTGGGGCACGAGTGAAGAATGATAGGATGAACATGAACAAATTTACTGGGAATTTATCATGGTTTCCAAGGGGAGCCGTGTGAAGGTCAACCTAATATAGTACATTGCTAGCTATTGCTAGGATCACTCCACATTACCAGTAATCCCTTCCTCCTATTGATATAAGGTTAAATATGGCAGAATTGTTACAAGGTTCATCATTGCCTTATCTTTATCCCATTATTTGAGGTCAGTGCAGTATGTTATCCTCTTCCACTGATCTCTATCGGCCGTCATATTTGAGCATAATCTCCTGTAAAAAAAGATGGATGTATTGTGTGAAATATATGAATATCTTTCACACAATCTACCCATCTCTTTTTTGGGCGTCCTAAGAATGTAAGAGTACCACAGTATATAAATGTAAATATAAGATGGACTTAATTTTCCGGAATTAGCCTCTCATTTGGGCCTTTGTGCATGTAGACAAGACTACTAGAGTAGCCAGCCAACTGCCTCCCAAAAGCGCTGACATCTCTTGGGTGTACCACAGTATTTTTTAAGGGGATTTGAATGACAAACAAGCTGACAGTCCACCTGATGGTAGTGGTAACTGTAGACCTAAATACATGAACATTTGTTGGTATCAAGTTTTATTGCCTGTGTTGAAATTACAGTCAACTAAAGATTCATTCCTGTTCACCCTATAATTTCTCTGAACACAAACACATCTTACGAAGCAAACTGTTTTACAACAGAAATATCTGAGGCTAAGTCAGACGTATCCGCGCAGACTCTGTAAAGTCTACTCTAAACTTGAGAGCAATTTATAATATAAGTTAAAAATAGGGATGGTTCTAAATAGAAAAATATCTGCAAATTCTATAACATACCTTTTCTTTCTCGGTTAACGTTTCCCATATATTCTCGTAGGAAGTTTTCGCTTCGACGATATCTTCGTGTATTTTCGTAGCGATCGGGTTCATATTGCGAAAGTATTCATCAGCAATAGCGCTCAACGCCATTGTTACAGGAAATTTTAACAGAATCTTCTACAAATATTCACTCGAACTCGCAAACACATATACTATTAATTACTACATCACGCTACACATTAATACACATATGAAAAAAATTCATTTGAAATCGATTTCTTCATAGCTTCACACTTTCAGTTCAGTCAACTCAGGGCGGGACCACAGATCAGACAGACCGATTATTGATTAGGGAGGGCAACGCAGTGTTTCCAACACTCTGTATGTATTACATTATAAAATAATGGTGGTAGATTACATAAAATCATAGTAGATTTGAATAGATTATTTCATAATGTATTTAGAATTTGAAATAATTAATATTAATTATTAAATAAGGTTTGCACTTCTATATAAAACTGCAAACTGAAATGATTCTGTATGGATGATCGGTGGTGATGATCGATGGTCGATTCCTTACAAGGTATTATGAATTTTAATAAACAGTCCGAGAGATACAGTTTTTCTGTTTAAGGTTTTAAAAATATGCAATTTTGTCGTATTGTTGTAGTTTACCGGGCCTAGTTTAAAAAATGTTGATTTATAACCATTTTTTAACTTGGTTTTACACTTAATTTTAATCATTGTATTGTATTTATGGAATAATTTATAGAAGAAATATCCTTTAGACAATTTTCGCAAATAGTCATCGCATTGATATTATCACTTTGAAATAATATTTACTAATGGCAATATGTGTGCGAAGAGGACACATTGCTATAACGGCTCGTTCGTTTCTAATCACCGAAGTCACAGCAGTACCTATTAAAATTAATTTTAAGCCATAATGCATAGCAATAAGGTTTAAAGTATCTTACAGATGGTTTGACCTGTGTACAAACAATTTCTATCTCTTTCCGATTTATGATAGTATTGGGTTGGGTGGATGGATTGCATTGAATATATCGTAATGTCAAAATGGCTTTCTTATTCCATGTTTATTTAGTAAATTATATTGAAATAAATCTGTGTAGGCTGTGTTAAACCCTTGTTATTAGTGTTAAAGTGATCATGTTGCATAATACCGGCCCTTACGGGCCAAATGACACGCCAGCAAACATGGGGGCACCGCTAAACATGTCCCAAATCGGAGGAATGAACATCTCGCATAACATAAATAATTTGAGCAAAATGCCACAACAAACGCCTCAGCCGTTTGCACCGAATTACAATTTCCCCAATTTCTCGCCTTACGCACACGCTCCAATGAACATGGCTACGCAAATGAGTCAATTTCCCAATTACCATTCGCCTTTACAGAACAGTTTTGTTGGCCAAAATAGCAGTACACATCATGAGCCTAGTTGGCAAAACAGTATGTTACCTATGAACTTGAATATTCAGAACGACCAAGTGCAACAAATGGGCCATTATTCTAATTTTGATAAAAGTCATCCTATTAATGATTACAAGGACATGAGTCAATATCGTAAACCTCCACTGAATATACCTCAAGTTCCCACTAAGGCTTACCACAAGCATTCCGGTCTCGGTAGTGATTTCAATAATTTTATGTACCATGATAGCAACAAGCAAAATGTTGATTTCAATATAGATTTAAGTGCAAAATCTCAGGAACGTCTCGATTTGGATAATACGAGGCGTAAAAGTTTAGAGAACACTGTTAAATTGATTGAAAACATTTTAATAAACACTACCAAAAACAGAGAAATGAAATTAAATGAGAAAGTAATTGAGAATACACAGACGCATGATGAATCTGTGTCGAATGTAAATTTAATAAAAACTAACACAGATGATACTGACGGTCATGTATCTGATGAGCAGCAAGATGAAGAAGAAGACGGTAATATGTCTGCCGGAGAAACAGACCAAGAGGATGCATCGGAGTCTGATGTTGATGTGAAACCAATTATAATCGACATTGAGCCTGTATCTGATGGATCTGGACCAAAGATTGAACCTGACGTAACTGTTAAAGTGGAACAACTCTCGACTTGGGTGGACTTGGAGAATATGCAACCGTACCATCGTGACATGAACGGAGTGGGCAAGGAGACTGTACCAGAGAGTAGCATAGTTGATAGTGAATCAAGTTTTGTAGAAGCTATGGAAATGATAAAGAATGGTATATATCAACTATCAGATACTTGTTATTAGATTCACTCTGCTTGCCTCATAAATGCTTTGTAAAAAACATGTATATATTTTGCTAATTGCAAAGTAAAGAATGTTACAAATTCTCTGGTTTGATCTAATTTAATGCTTATTTAAAGACAGTGATAAATTAATAAGAATATGCCACCAAGATACCTATTAATTCAATAATTTTGTTTATAATTTGTATCAGACTGGGTGTTTTATATGTATATACGTATTTATACTATTTATACGTATAATTAGTAAAAATCACGGGATCTTACCACATTTTACATTTATTTGCTGAGTTCAGTTTACCCGTGACTATGATGGTTGAAACACTACTGAAATATCGGGAACTCAGCAAATAAATATAAAACACAGTAAGATCCTGTGATTTTTACTAATTATATGTATAAATAATGACCGTGTCAAGTTTAAAACAGTATATATACTTATTTAGAACAAAAGAGGTATTATACCAGTTATCTAATGCCTATTAAACAAGCTGGACTTAGTTTAGGACTAGATGTCTTTGTGTGAAATGTCCAGGGATATTATTAATAACTAGCTATTCACCTCCGGCTTCGCATGAGTGTACATGTATTATATATATACCTTATTCTTGAATCTATTAAAAAAATTACTTCAATAATAATAATCTCAAGACAATTCACACAGTATTTCTAAAGCTTGTGTTATGGGTACTTGATAGATGATACATAAATATTTTTTCTTTTCGTAAATACATACATATTATATATAGAAAACACCCAGACCGATACAAACAATTATACTCATGAATACAAATGTTTGTGCCGTGCGAGGAATCGAACCCGCGACCTTCGGACGTAAAGCTGTGTGCTAGACCGCTAGACCACCGAGATCGTCTTTATACTATGTAATGATGATTAAATAATAGATGGTATCATATATATGCATTTCCATACTGTACATTTATTACTTTAATTTGTTTTGTGTAATTATCAACAAAACCCCACTCCTATGTTTTCTGTTTAGTAACTAAAGGTTTGAAGAGGAAATTAAATCATATATATGCTTAATTTCTGCTTCTTCTAATTGGAATGGCTTCCACCAAAAATGGTGGTTATTGTAACAATGCCAAACTTTAGGGACACACAGTGGTGTGGTTTTCTTGACTATGCTTTATTTATTGCAATCAAAACACATGCATAGTAAGTCTTGTGACACTTGTATGTAATATAAAGTATGTTCAACACATTGAAGACGACATCGAAAAATATTATTTCTCACATAGGCGGTATTTTATTTATTGTTAATTACATATATTATTTGTAGTGTTATTTAAGTGTACAATAATTTGAGGAGGACATTATTTAACATATAGATTTATTTTAATTAAACTGCCAACTGGTGATCACCTGGTCCCAACGTGTAAATTTACGTTGCGGAGTCACTCACCAGTACCAACAGGTGGGGGACTCCGCATGCAGTCTTTAACGTTTTAAATTCAATGTAATGTTACAGGTTCAAACAACGACTCATATTTCGAATGCCCTCACTGTAGTCTCGTACTGAAACATCCCAAACGATTCCTCATACATGTGAAATGGCACTCCTTTGGATTAACCAATGAAAAACGTATGGAAATGATCCGCGAGAAGGAACAGCGCAAGCACATGAGGAAAGAGGCTCGAGTTCTACAGAGGATGCATGCTAAAGAGGTGACAGACCCAAGCAGTGTGCCTAAAGTGTTTCCATGTAAGGACTGCGATAAGATATTCAGTGTTAAAAGTAGTCTGAAGAACCATAGACAAAGGTGAGTTATTTGTAGTTGATTATCTCTTTTTATTATACAACTAGCTACTCACCCCGGTTTCGCACTCGTATACATGTATTATATATATATAAACCTTCCTATTGAATCACTCTATCTGTTAAAACAAAACCGCTTCAAAATCCGTTGCGTAGTTTTAAAGAACTAAGCATATGGACTGACAGACAGCGACAGCGACTTTGTTTTATACTATTTAATGATGATGATGTGTTCGGTTACGGACTACCGATAATTGACCCACGTATACGAAGGGGGGTCTCACCCCTCACCCCTCTGAATGACATTTTAAATTACGAGTTCACTGAAACTAAATATTTTCATGTTTTCATGTCACCCCCATACAGAAAAGTGGTCGTATTTGAACGATTATTATATTTGCTAGAATCTAAAATAATTTTTGGTAAGAAGTAATGCATAATGATCCATGAAATCCTTTAGAATAAAAGTCATTTATGGAGTACTAACTGGTGCCTGCGACTTTCTGCGCAGAATTAATACTTCGATAATTATAATCGAAACAGAATAACCAATTTTGATAACATTTTTATATGTATACTCTAGTCCAATCGGACTGAGAATAGGTTATTATTTTTTGTCAATTATTTTTATGATTTATTATTTAAAATACAGACATATTAATTTATAAAAATATTTATTGTAAACTGTATGAAGTAATCTAGAAACTCGGTAGCGTGTCAATGCCAAGTTTAAGAGAACTGGCGAGCAGCACCGTGTGTAGTTTTACACGAACCATTTGGAGCCACTTTTGACCCCCTCATAACTCAAAAACTCTTTCACATAAACCTGTCAACCTACAGTTTACAATAAATATTTTTACTATATATAATTAAAGTAATATATTAAATAATATTGAAAGACTGGTAAAACTGATTTCCACTCAGCATACAAATCGTAGCATGAATGGAATCACATCACCAAGTATAATGTTCATATATTTTATTCAATTAGTTGTTATTTTGCGGAACTACATTTCATTAGGTACTTAATTGATTTATATAATTTTGTTTAATAAAGAGCCAAAATACGTGTCGCAATATGGTTGTAAATTCAATAATGGTCGGAATTTAATCCCCAATATGAAGGTCGTAATGCTTCCAGTAGTGGTCAGGTTTCCGCACTGAATTTGTGGTCTCACACTCCTTTTAAATCTATACATATAGATAAAATTGGAATGTCTGTTTGTAATATTGAAATAACCGTTTTTTACTACAGGCATATGATTATAAATACGGTACATACGGTTTGGCATAAGCTACTTTTATTTTAGAAAAATAAAGTTAAATTCCACGCGGACGAAGTCGCGGGTACAGCTAGTTATATATAATAATAATGTCTCTGGACAATTTACACATCGCAATCTAGTCCCAAGTTAAACAGAGCTTGTGTTATAAGTACTAGACAACTTTTTGTAAATACATACATAATATACATAGAAAACACCCAGACCGATACAAACGATCATACTCATGAATACAAATGTTTGTGCCGTGCGGGGAATCGATATCGGATGTGAAGCGGTGTGCTAACCGCTAGACCACCGAGGTCGTATAAATATAACTTTATTTTTACGAAATAGAATGGCAAACAAGCACACGGCCTTCATAATAAGTAAGCGTGTTACCACTTACATATTGGTATTCTAAGTGTATTCTACGTTGGCTGTATTCTATATGCACATAGAAATAATAATAATAATATTTCAGAACAATTCACACAGCGCCATCTAGTCCCAAGCTAAGCAGAGCTTGTATTATGTGTACTAGACAACCGATTTAAATAATTGGATACATTTTTTTTGTAAATAAATACATATTATACATAGAAAACACCCAGACCGATACAAACGATCATACTCATGAATACAATGTTTGTGCCGTGCGAGGAATCGAACCCGCGACCATCGGTCGTAAAGCGGTGTGCTAGACCGCTAGACCACCGAGGTCGTCATAAGTTACTACAGTTATTAATGATTTGACATATTACGAATGTTGTACAGCTGAAATACTAAGTCGTAATTTGTAAATTTTCTACTGTGACGGCAACTTTCAAGAGTGAAACGAAACGATTTCAATTTGCCAGAAAAAAATTCAAATTTGTCATAAAATATTTTCCTTGTAAAAAAGCTTTTATAAAATTGAAGAATTTATAAATGATAATAATGTTTTTGTAGAAAATATCTAAATTAAAATTCATAGCGCTGACAATGTTATCTGATTCAACAGAGATTAAGTGCGTAGCGGTTTCTATGTTGATTGTCGCATGCCTAATCCTTGTTGCTAATTAAATATAAGTAAATCAATATTTATTTAAAAGAGCAACACACAAGTTTCTTGTGATGAATCTGCATTACGAATAAGCAGTAGAATAAAAAAAACTTGACTATTCAAAAGTGCTTATAGTTAATTTGAATTATTAAGTTTATTTGAATAAAGATTATTTCTATATCTATTTCTATTACTATATCTCATTCATAATTTAAGAGCTACGCTCTTGTCGGTGGAGCTCTTGCCATTTTCCGCGATCATCCATCATGCTCTTTAATTCTTGATACGACACGACTCCCATTTTGTCCTCAATTTGTTTGATGTAGCTATGCCTTGGTCTTCCCCTCCCCCTCTTTCCTTCTATTTTCCCCTCAATAATAATTTTCATGAAATCATCGTGCCGTATCATGTGTCCTAACATTTTTCCTCGTCATGACTTCTCACTGCTCCAATAATCATTCCCTAGTGAGTGGTAATACCCTCTCAATAGCAGCATTAGCGCCTGGACAACATAAGGAAATTTGAAATTTTCATGTGGTTTCATTTTCATATGTTCTACTCTAAAATGCCGAAAGATTTCTACCCATGTTGTGTGAAGTTCTATTTTCTCATCGTACCATTTTTAAATATTTTCTTCATTTAAATATAAATTTTCTCTTCGAATTTCTTCAAAGATAAAATTGTCATTAATAACAATATATTTTACTTCCCATTAAAATGTTAATAAAATAATCTAAAAATATGTTTTAGAAATACAAATGAGTATAAAATTATACAACTGAGTACTTTCAGAGTACAGGAATTGAAAAGAGTACGGTTGGCGAAAAAAGAGTACAAAACTCAGTAAATAGTACAGTATAGTAAATAATATAGTAAATAGTTGGTCACCTTACCAATATGCCGCTTAGGAAGATTGTATACAAATACACACATTTATAAACACTAATTACTAATACATACACACTAATTACACAAGAAATATAAATCTACTGCCTACTACCTACTACATAAATAATCTACTGCCATCCTACGAAACTCCAGCAAATTATAAGTAAATATATCTAGATCTGGAAAGCGACTAACTACACCGTTGAGTAGACTCAATGCCAGAGAAGTAGGAGTCTGTTTGGCCAGCTCCGTTCTTCTCCATGGAACATCAAACAAGTTTCGTCTTGGTGTTTGTACATAATTATTGGATACGTATTAATTATATGTACAGGTACCACGCGACCCGTGCTAGGGAGTGCAAGATCTGCCGCAAGACGGTGCTCGGGTGGATGGCGCACCGCGCCCACCTGGCCACCCACACCGGCGTCACAGGGTACCAGTGCAGCGAGTGCCCCAAGAAGTTCAAGTACTCGCACTCACTGGCCAAACACAGAGACACGCATTTGGTAAGTCTTCGTCTTCTTCTTTCATGTCAATAGCAACTATAGGGTAGTTGAATTAATAATGAGCGTTTTTGTTTCGAAGTTTATGGATTCGTTTTCAAATAATGGTTCCAAATTAAGTATTGTCCATCGCTTTTTCCATCTTTCTGGTAATTTTCGGATGCCAACTCGAAAAAAATATTCGTCTTTTGAGGCAGTCCAATCATCAACCCATTTTTTGGATTGTTCATATGAAGTGAACTTCAGCTGGGTCAGACCCATGTGTCATCGACTGGAATAAATAATAGTCCGAAGGAGCAATGTCTGGAGATTACAGCGGGTGGGGTAGTACTTCCCATTTCAGAATTTCTAGGTAGATTTTACCGGTTTTGTAACATGTGGCCGAGCATGTGTCATGCTGCAAAATCACTTTGTTGTGCCTTTCTTCGAATTTTAGCCGATTTTGCTTCAGTATGACTGTTATTCGCATGAGTTGAGTCTGATAGCAATCCCCCGTGATTATTTCATTCGGTTTGAACAGCTCAGTAGTAGATGACGCTGCTGGTCCCACCAAATACAGAGCGTAAGCTTCATGCCATGAATATTCGGCTTTGCGAAGAATGTTGATGGCTGTCCGGGCAATGACTTTTTGCGCTTGGGTTATCATAACGAATCCACTTTTCATCGCCAGTGATAATGCGATTCAAAAAGCTCTTCCATTTTTGGCGTGAAGAGGAACTTTCCGCAAAAACTCTTTATCTGGTACGTATTTTTTGCCGTACGTAAGGTTAGACAGTACACTGATACTGATACTGCTAGATTAGTCTATTTTAGTTATTTTCATAGTTTACTCTCTTATGGAATATTACTATGGGGAAAAGCGGCAGATATTAAAAATATATTCATATTACAAAAACGTGCCGTTCGAGCGATCTACTGTATGAAGAGTCGTGACTCATTAAGAGAGAAATTCAAAGAGGCAAATATTCTCACCGTTGCTTCTCAATTTATATATTCAAATATCCTATATGTTCTTAAAAATCTTGACTTATTTCAAAAAAACAGCAATATTCATAATATTAATACTAGATTTAAAGACAAACTTGCTGTCCCCAAGTATCGTTTAGAAAAAGTTAATAGGTCTTTTATGGGAATAGGTATAAAAATTTACAATAAGATACCAAAGGATATGTTGGAATTACCCTTAAATAAATTCAAAACATCTGTTAAATCATATATACTGAGCAAAGCCTATTACTCACTAAACGAGTGTGCATGGCAATAGTTGTTCATGCACTGAATTTTCATTTAATGTTAGACATAGACACCTATATAAAAATACATTGTAAATAAACTGGCTTTAAAAAAAAAAAGTAATTCAATTGAGTTTCTTGCCAGTTCTTCTCAATTGGATCTATGTACCGAACTAGACGGTAGGGAAAAAATAAAATTATAATGTAACAATTTGACGTTCATAAGCGGCTAAAATGTCCTACAGGAATAAATGATTTTTGAATTTTGAATTTTTGAATTTTGTAATTGGACATGTTCGAAACAATATAAACGGTCATTATTAATTCAAGTACCCTATAAATGTACTTTTGCCAGAATGTTGCGACGACTTTTGCGCATTCTGTTGCATTTTTTAGATCTTCCTTTGTGCAGGATGTTGGGCATATACAATTATACATGTATACATTTGGTAAGTATATATATGTATATACTAGCTGTACCCAAGGTTTCACCCGCGTTAAATTTCAATATAAAATATAGGTTATATGTTATTCTGATGCATAAGATATATTACTGTAAAGTTTCATTAAAATCTGTTTAGTAATTTTTGCGTGAAAGAGTAACAAACATCCTTTTTCGGACTACTCTAATGCTGTTGGCCGCAGCTGGCCTTTACAGCTTCACCATATGTTAGGCGAGTGCAGATGGCACTCCAAACCCGCGGAAGGACTTATGGAGCGACTGAAGGCCAACTCCTGCCTGACGGATACGACTTTAGTCTGAAGGCATCATTAGGGGTTCGAACCTCGGCTCAGGCCGTCGTAATATCGATCCCCGTTTGAATTGGACGGGCATCGATCGATCGATCGGAGGGGCAACAAACATCCGTACTCACAAACTTTCGCGTTTATAATATTAATAAGATTATTAGCTATGCCTTCGACTCCGCGTGGTAAGTGTATATTACTATACTACTATATTATTACACTAACTGTGCCCGCGACTTCGTCCGCGTGCAATTGTGATTTTGGATAGAATTTTTAATTATTTAGGCTAATCATAAAGAGAAAGCCAGGCCAGAAAGAAGAAAGAAAGAAGTTCCATCGCTTTTGCTTAAAAAATTAAGAATTTCTTTACTAACTTTGTTGTTGTTATTATTGAAGTGTTTTATACGACATTTGTAACTTTTTTTCAGGCAGATTTAGAACAGACTCTTGTAGTTTGTTGTATAGGCATAATTTTAGTTTCGCCCCTAACAAGAAAGTAATTTTTTTTACAGGAAAAGACACACGCTTGTCAGGAATGTCCCAAGAAGTTCGGGTCGCAGGCGCTCCTCAAAATGCACATGAAGTGCCACGAGCGGGTGCAGCGGGGAGCCACCTTCAGATGTACTTACTGCGGCAAAGGATTCTTCGAGTCATACAATTTACAGGTACTTACGTATTCGAAATATCTCTATACATGTACGTCTATTACAGACTATTATGATATGTCAAATCTACCGTCAGATCTGAATGATTGCGAGATGAGAAGGACTTGCTAGAAACTCAGCTCGTATTCTTTTCAAATAAATGTTGTACATGTTTACAATAATACAGCTTCATTTTTAAATTCAAATTTGGGAGAATAGAGTGACCATATGCTATTGCAAAAGCAAATAGTCTAATCAGTGTTCGTAACCCGAAGTAATAATATAAAATTCCAACTCACCAAACGATACCTTCGTTTGGTGAGTTACATTTAGAAAGTTTAGGAAAGTGTTTGCTATACTTTTTATGAAAGTTTTGCTATACTTGTGGTAAGGCAAAATGTACAGCAAAGCATGTGTGGATGCAAGGTGCTCCTGACTAGCTCCACACAATTAACTTTTGTATTATTTTAGTATAGTCTTTAACAAAACTTTAATTAATTAAGTTTGTTCCGACGCACCTTCATGATAATAAACACAGAAATTACTAATTGCAAGAAGTTGCTATTTAAATTTTTAGAGACATTTTAGATGTACCTACTTCATTTTATATTAATTTTTCTTCTACAAAAATCTATAAATCTCATTAAAAATTATCATTACATAGTATAAAAAAAAGTCGCTGTCGCTGTCTGTCCGTCCCTATATATGCTTAAATCTTTGAATCGTTTTTTTAATAGATAGAGTGATTCAAGAGGAAGGTTTATATGTATAATACACGTACACCCGGGCTAGGTCAGAGCGAGTAGCTAGTAAAAAATATATTACTGAAGTCAATATTTAAAGCATTGAATCTCGAAAAAGGTGTTAGCGAAGACAAAGCTTAAACCTAAACTTTACATGATTTATAGTCGAATTTCGACCACTGCACGACCACAAGTTATAACTTAATAAACCTTACAGGTACACGAACGCACGCATAGAAACGAGCGGCCGTTCCATTGCGAGATCTGCAACACAAGTTTCGGCACCAACTCCAGTCTCAAACGGCATATTAAAGTTGTAAGTATTATATCATAATCTACATATAGAGAAAATCCAGACCGATACAAACAATATACTCATGAATACAAATGTTTGTACCATGCGAGGAATCGAACCCGCGACCATCAGAACTAAACCGCTGGAACACCGAGTCCGTCATTAATTTGTATCTGTGTACAGTCGCACAGCTCGTCGAAGCCACACGAATGTCCGACGTGTCACCGGTCCTTCGTGTCAGCCCTGATCCTGGAGCGACACGAGCGGCGCGCCCACGGTGACCCGGAGGACTTCAAGTTCGTGTGCAACCAGTGTCCCTGCAGGTCAGTACTCACTACACACTAGTCGGTAGGTGCCTATACTGGGCATGTTTATGTCAATACTCGGCACCCTTCCATTAGTTTGCGTATCCCGCGCCCACGGGGATCCTGAGTACTTCAAGTTCGTGTGCAACCAGTGTCCCGCAGGTCAGTACTCACTACACACTTGTCGGTATGTGCCAACACTTGGCATGTTTATGTCAATACTCGGCACCCTTCCATTAGAACGTATCCCGCGCCCACGGGGATCCTGAGTACTTCAAGTTCGTGTGCAACCAGTGTCCCGCAGGTCAGTACTCATTACACACTAGTCGGTATGTGCCAACACTTGGCATGTTTATGTCAATACTCGGCACCCTTCCATTAGTTTGCGTATCCCGCGCCCACGGGGATCCTGAGTACTTCAAGTTCGTGTGCAACCAGTGTCCCGCAGGTCAGTACTCACTACACACTTGTCGGTATGTGCCAACACTTGGCATGTTTATGTCAATACTCGGCACCCTTCCATTAGTTTACGTATCCCGCGCCCACGGGGATCCTGAGTACATCAAGTTCGTGTGCAACCAGTGTCCCGCAGGTCAGTACTCATTACACACTAGTCGGTATGTGCCAACACTTGGCATGTTTATGTCAATACTCGGCACCCTTCCATTAGTTTACGCTTTCACATGATTAGGATTAAGTTCAATGAATTTGTAATAATAAATACACTGTAATTATAGTTATTTTTAAACTTTAGTGTTTACTTGGAATAAATTATTATCCAATAATAATTTCAATATTAATATTTTAAATAAAAATTCAATCGTTATAATGATAGTAGTTCTTAAATTGAATAAACAAAAATAACTAATATACATTACGTTACGACTCCACATAACTTAGATTAAGTTCAGTGTGAAGTCAGTCCAAGTTACGACTCCACGTCTAATGAACGCGTTACTAATCAGCCATGTAGCATAATCTATACATATAAATAAAATTGTAGTGTCTGTTTGTAATATTGAAATAACCGTTTTTTACTACAAGCATATAAAGATACGGTACATACACCAAAATAACATCTCTAATCTCTGAAATGGTTGGACCGATTTTGACGGGACATTGTTGGCAGGTAGCTGATGTAATAAGGAGCAACTTAGGCTACTTTAGAAAAATAAAGTTTAATTCCACGCGGACGTAGTCGCGTGTACAACTAGTAATTAATAAACTTACTTTTACTTAGTTACTAATATTTCTTTATACATTTTGCAGATACTTGAAGCACAAAGATCTTCAGAAGCACATTTACAAAGTCCACCCCAAGGGTAAGAGAAAGAAGAAGGACAAAAGTGACAGCGAATAAACTCTTAACACGACGGAATAAGGCGCAATATTAGATAACACTTTTAAAACTGTTGATAGGCAATGTGTAATGCAAACTGACATCTGATATTCTAAGGTGAGACAAATTTATACACCAGAGTGAAATAAAATTTAGTATTTTCATTTATATAAATTAGTTAGTTTGTATTTCCTATTGCAATTTAACAGACTGTAAAGGTATAACAGTGGTTCCCAAAGTGGTCTATATCGACCCCCAGGGGTCTACGACAGCAGTCACCTTATTGTTTTTAACACTAAACTTTGCTACAGTTAGAAGTTTACAAAAAATCAATCCAGGTAAGAATGGGGGCTACACAAAACCGAAAAATATGGCAAGGGGTCTACGACACAAAAAAGTTTAAGAACCTCTTCGCTATAAGATTAAAACTAAATTATTTTGATTTATTGAACATAATAATTTAGTTTTAGTAAGTGTTTGTAAAATACGAACATTGTGTAGTGAAACAAAATAATTTAAGATATATTTTAAAGAATTTTTATTCTACATATCTGGGAATGGTGAATATAGATTTATGTTGTTTTACTAATATTATAAATACGAAAGTTTGTTTGTATGGATGGATAGCTGGATGTTTGTTACGTCACGCAAAAACTACTCGACAGATTTTGATGAACTTTACAGTAATATAGCTTATACATCAGAATAGCACGTAGGCTATAATTTCAAAAGATTTTATGTTAATTGGATGAAACAATGATTAACGTCAAGTAAGTGTGATCACTTGGCGGGGCTCGTATAAAAAATTGTTTAGGTGGGTAGGGTAACGATTTCTCACAAATAAAAAAAAAATGCATAAAAATAAAAGTTTTTTTTTTATTATTATTAATGGGTTTGCGCTTGGTCTTACCTCATCTGATGGGAAATTATGGTTACATCTAGGATGTAGCGCGCTTACCCAGAAGATATCTATTCACCATAAACTTGAAGAATCCGGAATTGTATTTCTACGGGAACACGATCGCTGGAAGAAGAGTAGTATTCCTCTCTTTGGCAATGCGTAAAATTTATTCATTATAATTGTCTATCTGAATTTTCTTTCAAAGTTTTTACAAACAATTCAAATTAAATATCCACTCATTTATAGCTGATACGGGAATAAAATAAATTGCCTTTTTTACTTTTCTCATTTGTGAAATAAATAAAAAAATTCAAGATAATTTTTACATTGGTACAAGTTATACGCAGGAACGGTGGTAGCTACGCCCCTGGATGCACATAGGGTATAAGTTTGCGGGTGAAACCGTGGGAACTAGTAATAATTGTAATTGCAAAGGTATAAATGGACACAAATAATTATTGCAATGACTATATATTATGTGGCACTGAATTTATTTAGAAATATATTTCGGTTAACGCTTCTAATAGAGTAATATTTAGAATTTATAATGACTTGATTGATTTAATATTTGTACGCTGGAAACAGCAGAATATGACGAAACATATATTATATATACTTACCACCATTGTACATACCATATTCTGACAAATAAATATATTATTATTATTATTATTATTATAATATATTATGATTTATTTAATATAAAAGAAAACTACACTTTATTTTTACAAAGATATGTAATAATGTTGTCAGCTCGAATATTAATAAATTTAAACTAGTATATAAAATGTATAATATATAAGTTAGTATTTTTAAATTAGTTTATATTAACTACAGATTGTAATACACTTCTAAACTAAATTATAATTATAAAATACTAAAATTAAATGTTTATAAAATGAGATGACTAAAAATTGTTTATTTGATATTGAAGTTAGTGATAAACTAAATTAATTTAGAAGTAAATTAGTTGGAATGAATTTACATAGAAGTGAATTAAAATCTGAGTTCTATTGTATGTACAGACTAAATAAATTAGTTAGTTTAGTGGACTAATGTAATGTTTTATTGTATTAGTAATACAATATGAATTTTTATTAGGTTTATACTCGCATGCAAGTATATTACGACATAAACTGTTATTATAGACGGCCACGGTAATCTAGCGGTTTAGCATGCCTTATATTCGATGGTCGCGGGTTCGATTCCTCGCACAGTACCAATATTTGTATTCATGAGCATGATTGTTTGCATCTGTCTGGTATTTATCTATGTATTTATAAAAAAAATATAAGTACCTATATCAGTTGTCTAGTACCTAAAACACTAGCTCTGCTTAGGTTGGGACTAGATGGCGCTGTGAGAATTGTTCAGAGATTATAATTATTATTCAATATTGTAATAATTAAGCAACTAACATATGTAAAAATGAATGACTGAATGAATAAAGAAACATATACTTTACATTTATATACTTTAATGTTATAATTGCTTGCGAGTATATAATCCATAAATGTTACCTTAAATAATATATTTGTAAATATAAAAAAAAAACTAGAATGTAATTTTAAACTTTATATGTGTGGAAATAGAGTTAAATTTTATGGTAGCGGAATAAAGAAAAGAAATATTATTATTAATACAAATTTAGGTATATTGCTTGATTATAATTATAGTGTTTAGTATGCTCGATGTACTAAAAGACATGTTTGAATAAAACTGCGTTAATATATTATGTATATATGTAATTATTCGGTTCATATGATTTATATGTAACTTTAACATAAAAGAACTTATAATTTAACTGTATGAATTATATTTTTTTTAGTAATTTAGTTTTCTTAAGTATTGTTATAAAATGTAGTTGATGCAGCGACTTTTTGTGGATTTGCGACAACATTGGTTTTGGGAAAGTATTATTGTTATTAGTATTATAGGAGGTTGATAACAACTTTGTGTATCACAATATGAACTGTTTCAGTCAGGGGCCATCCGTAAATTCACATGAATTTAATGTCACTCGTGAAATACATTCCTTGGTGTGACGTCACATATTTTGGAATCATGTTAACACTATTGACAGCTCGGTGTGGTAGAATACACCACTTAACTTCCGATAGTAGCGGGTTCGATTTCTCGCACGGTACAAACATTATATTCATGAGTGTTCATTTATATCGTTTTAATTGTTTATGTATTTACAAAAAAAATCCATATGTATTTCTATCAGTTGTGTAGTGCCCATAATACAAGCTCTGCTTTAGTTGGAACTGGATGGCGCTGTGTGAATTGTCCTGAGATATTATTTTTAATGTTTTCGTTGGTAGTTCAAATTTTGTGTATTAATACTGAGATATATAGCTTTTAAAATATAAAGTCATGGAATTAGAACCCCTTCACGTTATTGTCACAAAATATCACACATTGTCAACCCTTCTTTTTATTGGGTTATTTCGGTTATTGTCAGGTGTTTGGAGCTGTAGCACTGCGACCTACATAGATCTATTGTGCTCGCCCTTTTTCAGAGTTCGCCACCCAGACCCGTCGGGGATAAAAATGGAAGGATATGCTTAGGAGCGATGGTTTTTATCTCCACAAGATAGAGTGTAAACTTTCCAAAGGAGATATTTCGTTTATGCATGAGTGGGCTACAACCACATAGGATGTACAGTGGCGTTTCCTCTTCAGTCCCTTAAGGAGTGACATTTATGGATGGACCCGTGTATAGATGAATTGTTAACTGTAGCTGTTTTAATCGTATTATTACAAACAAACAATTCAACATAAAATTAATAATTGGTCACAAAAAGTTACAATTATTAGAGCTTTAAAACAAACTCGGCAAAGTAATGCCAATTATTGGTTTTGTATTGTATATAAAATTTAATTATTATACTTACAACTTCAAGGCAACACCTATAATGCCATGGGGGCCGTTCAAGTATTACCTAAACAGATTTATTACAATTATATTTACCCTTGTCAGCAAAAGCAAGAAAAGCTTTACCCCCCCCCCCCCCCCCCCATGCTTATGTAATCATTTTTCATTAATGTATTGTTTTTTTTTTGCAAGTACAATGTGAAGGTTGCCATGCGTAAAAAAGTAACTAACTACCGATGACATAATCATCATCTAGAGTTGCCTACCCCCTTGTCATCCAAAATACACAAAGCCAAGCCCCCCCCCCCCCCCCCCCCCCCGGCCCAATAATTTAACGGCCCCATGAGGCATTAAGGTCACTATTCGTACATCTTTAAATAGCATAAAAAAAGTCTCCACTGCTGCCTGTTCGTTTATATCTTTTAAATTACGCAACAGATTTTAATGCACTGCATTAGATAGAGTGATTCCAGAGGAAGGTTTATATATATAATACATGCGTGTTATAGTACAGAACGAGCCGAGAAATACAAAGATTTGTAATGCATCCGTGCGAAGCTCGACGGATCGCTGGTATATTTATATGCAGAAGAATAAATAAATAAATTTAGTCATAAAAGTATCTATACGAACTATTCAAACGTGATATTTCATTATTAAAACCGTTCAGCAGTCTTGATAACAGAAGTGATATTAATAAAAGATTTAATAAATAACAGTATAGAATAGAAAATCATTTATTATAAAAAAATTTTTTTTTAATAGTCATTACATTTTTTTTTATATACACTCGTTCAGTACAGTTCGTACAGTGTATATAAACGTCTTAGTGCCAAGGCGTGCGTTCGTGCGCCTGCGCGTTTTATCTAAAAGTGCCAGATGCGCGGTAGCGACTCAGGCGTCAGTGTTTTTGAGTTTCGGCCGCTATTTTGAAAATTGAAACATTTTTACAAAAGTTACACATTATTTTCTCTTACTCCAAAATTTCACAAAAAGACATATAAATAACAACATTGAATACACAAACATCGACGGCCTCGGTGGTGTAGCGGTTGTCATTATTTCCGATGATCGCGGCTTCGATTCCTCATACGGCGCAAACATTTGTATTCATGAGTGCCATACTCATGAATATATCATGTTTGTATCGGTCTGGGTGTTTTCTATGTATACTATGTATGTATTTACAAAAAAATCTAATTATATCAGTTGTCTAGTACATAAGCTCTGCTTACGGGGACTAGATGGCGACTGTTAATTGTCCAGGGATATTTATTATTATTTATAATAATGATCTTGTATACATAGTAAAACGGCGGGGTGACACAGTTTGTGCAGCACTTAGTAGACAATATTTAGTTTTGTCTTACTGGCCTTAATTGCAAGTACTGCTGATAACGATTATTTGGAGTATCTATGTAACTGTCCCATAAAAAACGAATAAATATTGCAAATTAATGGATAAACCCAAGACGAATCATATTACATTTGAATATTTTGTATAAATACATTTTAGTACAGAGCTAAAAGACGATCTTTTGCAGTGTTGGCTATCTTTTTTTAATAAATTACAAAGCAGAATAGGTCTTGCTCTTCGCCTGTCTGTATTATAACAATAAAAAAAAAGAAATTAAAAAACTTTATTTTCGCTATGTAGGTATGATAAATTATAATTGAATTGCAAAAAGCATATTTATAAATATAAAATGTACGAGTAAACCTCGAATTTCAAATTGTTTTCCCCCAAATTTAATGTAAGTTGAATGTTGTCGTTAGATGTAAATTTTTAAATGTAAAATATTATTGTTTAATTCATTACTTAATATAAATTTTAAAATTTTATATTGACTTTTTCATTTATCGTTTTATATTCCCTCTGATCGATCCCACGTCCAATTCAAATGAGGATCGAAATTACGACGGCCTGCACCGAGGTTCGAACCACTAGCGGTATCCTCAGATTTAAATCGTATCCATCACCCAGTTGATTCGACCACTCTATAAGTTCTTGGCGGGTTTGGAGTGCAATCTGCATTCGTCCCCCATCGTTCGAAGAAGAAGTAAAGGCCAACTATGTATTTACAAAAAAAATATATAAATAGTTTTTATCGGTTGTGTAGTACATAGTATAAAATAAAGTCCCTTTCGCTGCCTGTCCGTTCCTATGTATGCTTAAATCTTTACAACTACACAACGGATTTTGAAGCGGTTTTTTAAATAGATAGTGATTCAAGAGGAAGGTTTATATGTATAATACATGTACACCCGTGCGAAGCCGGAGCGAGTAGCTAGTTACATGTAACACAAGCTCTGCATAGCTTGGAACTAGATGACGCTGTGTGAATTGTTATGAGATATTATATATATGTTTTAGATTTAGTGAAGAGTGTGAACGAAGATTGGTACTGACTAACCACCGTGAAATGTATAGCTTTTCTGCGCTATTGTCAGGTGCTAAGACCTGTAACACTGCGACCTGCTAGATCTATTGCGAACTTCAGTTATGAATAAAACTAATAACATTAGATTTTAATATTTATTCTTATAGTAATTACTTATACAGTATCTTATTAAGTTAACAACATGATACAATAAAAAAAAGAGAATTTGTATGCAAAATAAAAAAAAGAAAAATTAATTTCAGAAACGAAAATCGGCCCATTTAAAGAAGACCACTAAATAGAAACTGAATTACATATTATGAACCTTAACATATGTCAAAGTTAATATTAAGTCGGAAATATACAATATTCACCACAAGTGCGGTTTGAGTGTAAAACCCTAGACTTTTTCTAACTGCATACTCAATAGATGGTTTATGTTATTACAAAACAATGGTATTACAGAACAAAATAAAAAAAAAAACAAAATTACAAATCAAACCTCACATAGCATCATGACTGTTCAAATTAAAAAGTTATCCAGCAAATAAATCTCTAACAATGTATTTCAAAATCAGTTGCAAACGTACATTGTTATTTAAAATGATTTAAATGCATATTCAATTTGTCCATTATATAACATTGAAATATTTACAAGTTCTTACATTGTATTATTATTAATGCATTTCAAAAATGCACAATTCTTAGTCGTATGTGATGAAACTTAACTCCTAAACGACCTATTTGGATGAATTTTGTAAATGAATTCTCGATTCGTTATACAATTAAAAAGACAAGTGACCATAGACAACTTAATTGAGCAGGCGCTGAAATAAGAAACATGGTCATTGATACAATGACGAATTACGGTACAATATATTCTATGCTCAACAGATAGAGCATAAATTCCAATCGAATTTATTAATAAACTAGCTACTTACCCACAAACACTGCTAAATATGTTTTTTATTTATTGCGCTGCTCAATGTATTTGTATGCCATATTTCTAACAATTTGTATCTAGACGACACATAAAGAAACTTTAGTTATACCAAACATGAATTTATAGTAATTTAGATTCCCATGGCAACATCGCGAAATTCATTATAGATATCATGTTTAATAAGGTGAGACACTGAAAATATTGAATTCTTTTTATTACCTTTCTATTTCAAAAGGCTTTAATACATATTCAATATCTTTTTACAATTTTGTTCCTGCAACTTCTTTTTTTAATAAAATTATTTCACATTAAATAAGTTACCTTCTCAATATGGTAGGTTGGACTCCATTTTCCGCAATTGGCCTCTCATTCGGGCCGTTGTGCGTGTAGACCTTCTCAATATATTACTTGTAATAAATTCAGGAAATTTCCAATGGGACATGAAATAGGAACCAAACCCAGGGCATATTTGGACACTATACATAATATTGTTAGATTTTGTAATACAAAATATTATCTCTAATAACAAAGATTATATATTCTCAAAATTAAAAGATTGACATGAGATTTTCTGTGACCTGCCTTATGTACGTTAACCTTTTGTACTCACATAATAATCTAGCATCCCCTAATACACACTTAGTATATTTACGGATTAACGGCCAACTTCAATATGTCATCACAAATTCAAGATTCTGGATACTTTGGTTTGAAAATTATCATTATAAACCAAATGGAATTAGGAGTAAAGGTTGTAGTGACACAAATGTGATAGTTTGAAATTCAGTAGTGGTTTTGAGTCTGTGTAAGTGCCAATTGTGGAATTGAGACATTTTGTTGGAATATTACGAAACTGGTATACAATAATGTAAATTTTAATAAAGTTGAAACACTAATCTTTTGATCCTGATTATTAATAATATTAAGTTACATGTAAATAATAGACAAATGAAATAGAATTTTGTGGATAATTTTACAAATATAAAAGAATCATCTTATCAGCTAAAGTTACTTATTGTACCTACATTTAATCACTCTGTCCAGCCGCTTGACGTAGTAATATATATATTTTCTCCTTTATCCAATCCTTATTGTATGGAGCATATGTGTTAGTTGATTTTTGGTATACTAAGCAACTTAAATCCGCTAACTGAAATGTAATATGTTAGATTAAAAAATTGTATAGATATGTATGTATTATTTTCAGTGTCCATCTTGGAATCACTCAAAAACTATGAGTGGATGTGGTAAGTAGGTCGTGGGTAGAGTATGATTCCATTAGAATCTTTATCTCTTCAGACATCAGGTTCCTATGCCTTTTAAGGCAACATATGTTGTCAGGAACTGTTAGTTGGTTAGTTCAGCAGATTGGGATTACTTATGCTGTGGCTTGTATTTGTAGCAGCAGTGGTTTTTACTGTGTTTGTATTGAGATACTCATAAACCTCCGATGTTATAGTAAAAAAATTATTTATGGAAACATTGTTTACACTTCAATATCAGTCTCTGTGCATATGTACATAGGCAGTTAGAGACAGTAAGAGACATTGAGAGACATATACATGAAGGAAAATTGTTCTAATATATCCTATAAAATAGACAAATAAGATGGTAGCAGCAAACAGTGGGTACAGACAGTTCTACAAATTGTAACATTACGAAATAGTCATTCTGAGAATATCATGGATTCAACAAGTCAGAACCGGGTTTAGCAGTTCCTGGAAATTATGACCCAGATATAGCCTTAGGATATCTTTTGCCGATATATTTTAACAATCGCCTTCATCGCTTGTGTTCCTGTCCTTGCATAGTCAAATCACATCACATCGTCTTATGATGTCCGTAAAACCTTTGTAAGTCTTCACAAGGTAGGACTAAAGTCTACCTCTGTAGACTGTAACTTAACTGCCAAATCTCATCCTTCAACAGTAACTTCACGTTATAAAACCAGATATGTATTTATTCTATGTACTATAATGATTAATCAGTATCATTATACTGTCGTATTGTTCATTAACAGTGAGTAGTTTAATGATTAATCAATATAATGAACGTGATTTTATTCAATGTTAATAACACAAACGTACCTGATCAACAAAATCGAACAGTTGTGAAATATCGTATGTTATAGTGGGAGTATTTGGATTCCGTCTCTTCAAATGTTCCTCGTAAATCTTGCAGACTCCTTCCATACAGTCATTAACGCTCTCGTAGTCCGAATATGTCCTAGTTTCGGGCCTCGGACCCGGTTGCACCAACAAAATTGTATGGGACTGAAAATTATAACCTATGTTACCGCCATATTTTTAAAAACAAAAAGATATTAGTGCCTATGATTTCACTTACCATTTTTTATATTAATTGCAGTAAATAATATAAATTGAATGTAGACTGTTCGATTATAATATTATATTTATGAAGGAAATTAAAGTCGCTCGAGAAATGTCCATCAACATAGAAAAAGAAACAATAAGTTTTTTTTTATAAATATGATCTATTTTAACGCTCCTGGATGTCAGAACAACAATATATTTTTATTGCTAACAATGGATACTAGTCCTTCTGCCGAAATATTTGATTACATCATTATGTTTCAATTATTGTTTTACGGCTCTGGGTACATATTAACTATAGAAAATTATTAATGACTGATGGTGATAAATGTATTGTGTTGCATTTTATAGCAGAGATGTTATGGATATGAAATATTGGGTACGGATAGGTTTCGGATATGATTTTTTTTCGGTTTATCCATTAGTTTCGGATAATTTAGGTTACGGATATTAATTTTTTAAGGAATTTCATAAGTAAAATACAAATAGCTAATAAAATTGTTACATAATGTCTCGATTAGGCTCCGTCCCGATCCGATATTATCCGAAACTTTTATTTCGGATTCGGTTACGGTTACGATATATTATATCGGATACCCGATAGTTTCGGTTACAGTTACGGAGCTCCCTAACATCCTTGTTTTATAGAATATAATTTTTTCTCATAAGTTTGTACATAGAAACTAAAAACTACATTTCAGAATAAATAATACTGGCAACAATATCAACATTGACGAGCGGCGATGGCATGAATCGTGAAACCGCATTCAGATTTTTTTTTATCTTTTGAGAATTCGTTCTACCATAGCACCCCGATATACGTTACACCGTTTTACGGGAATTCGCAGTAACGCGGTTATTTTTATTGATTTCGTGCATCGGTGTGTTCCATTACGACAATTTAGAAGACGAAACGCGTAGAAAGGCATTACGTGCGCAAGCACGCAGTTCGCATTCGATTTACAACGATTTCGGACGTGTTCTTTGTGGAATTATTTTACGTACAAGTGTACATTATTGATTTATCTAGAATAATGCCATCCATAGAACTTACAAATGAGTCCTTTGACAAATAACATTTGGTATGACATCGCAGAAAGTGAATGCGGCAAGTGGTGACAAAAAGCTTTAATATATCTAGAAATACTGAAGAAAATTATTGATGATGGCATCTCTAACTGAATTATATTAAATGTAACGAAACTATTATTCTTTGAAGGAAAACGCCTAAAAGAAGCAGAAGAACCTTTTCAGTTTATACGACGTCAAAGATTGTTTGACAATTGTAGTGTATGTGGAAACACTAGCAGTTTATTATCTATCGTCTCGAGCCGAGCGTACACGGACCGCCGTGCGCAAGAGGGAAGGGATTCCCTGCGCAAGCGCCGCGGAGTAAAGACGTGGAGCTATGGCTAACGAGCCGATATTACGTCGATAACAACTTACATACAAGAAGACATAAATAACAAATAAGTGAACACTATATGTGGCGACGAGGCAAAATGGATATAAATAAAGATAAGTACAAAATCATTTAATAAGATATACATATACCTACGGGTACGGAGTAATTACAAATTTAGAAGGATTATGGTGGGGCCGCACGGGGAGCGAATTATATAGACCTATACAGAAAAAACAATAGCTGGGTAACATCGGTTTACGATCGATTTGCGCCAAGTAAGTAGGTACCTAATTATAAATTGTACTTGCTATACCTATAGTGTCTCTAGCTGGTAGGAATAGTCGTATTAATAATCATTGTAGTAATATGTTTACGTATATCCGTGATTTATTATTTTTAATGTGTGATAATTTATTTATTTATTAGCATACAAAACAGATTACAGTCAATATAATAATATAATTAGGAGCGTGTAGTTCGGTACAGAACTGGATTGTAATCCAACACTATGTATGCCTAAGAGCTAAATTATATAGACGCATTCAATATACGCTAGATAGCTAGATAAGGTTATATAATAAAAAGTAAACTAAATAGAAAATGATATATAACTACGTAATGCAATGAATTATCATGTTAACAGGATTTTATTTATATTAAAGAAAAGAAAATTGGTACAATGTTAAATATAATTTGTCTCTTTACGGTGGAAATTTAATTGTCTCCGGAACTGGACCAGCGTTGAATGGAAAATATCTATATTTCTATTCGAGACAAGAATTTCATTTCATAATGTTGTACTGCCTGCGCTGACGTGGCACTGATGGAGTATGGTTGAATGAGCGCGGGGGGGGATAGGATCGGTAGGCCCGTCGTGGTGGGTTCGTGTTAATTTGTCGCGATTGTTTCTGGGGGGAGCCGCGTGGAGGTCCCTCTGGCGTGATACATTGTTAGTAGTGGGATTATTTTAACAATCCCATTCCCCCTTCCGTATTTCCGTGTTGAAATAAAAAATCGGTAATGATTGTAGTTGCCGCTGCATGTTCGTTTCATGAGAGGACGGTGACGGTGAGATGTTTATGGGACATCATATTATGTGATGCAATAGACCTGTGGGTATGAAGTAAAATAGAGCACTGTGCGGACGACACGTTTGTTTTGCTTTATCTTTTCTAGGTGTCGATGCACTTTAATTACTTTTGGCAATAGGGCCGCCTTATTGTATTTATACAGATGTGGTGACTAGTGTTCAAATGTCACTATTCTCTTTTAGGGTATTGCTGCAAATGGAAGTGGTCTAAAGTTCCTCTTTCTAACTGTAAGGATCACATGATAACCTAATATTACATTTTGTACGGGATAATATTACGATGTTGTCGAGTGATACGATATTATTACAAATGATGGGGAGCTGACAATTGTACCTGCATTATAGTACTGATGTTGGGTATTATATACAAAACAACAATAGTAAAATCTAAAGTGGGGTGACACACACGGTTTGAGCAGTGCTTGGTGGAAAATATTTATATTTGCCTTAATTGATTGCAAGTGTTGAAGTATCTGGGTAACAGTGTCCCATACATTTCGATGCGGATGAGTTGTTCGGAATACCTGCAGACTATTTTATTCTGGTATTCGAGCAGAGCCGCGAAGTAGTGTGGTTAAAATGTTTTTATTTGGCTTATGGATTATATAATTTATAAATAATAATTATTAGTGAGCATTCCAATGGATGCCGGTGGGAATTGCAATTGTTCTGCATAGGAAGGTTTTAAATGGAGATTAATTATTAGTTTGATATATTATGTTGGGGTCTACTATACATGTTGTGTAGTGCAAGGTGCCTATCTACTTGTCTGGCATATATTTAACAATTTGTGCTTTGTGTTAAAATGAAGCGCGCATCTACACTTGCGACCTAGAAGGCAATCTTTTGGTTTGGTGAATTTAGTGTCTAATGAATTTGTTGAAGAAAAACAAAAAACAACGTAGTCAAGAGGTTGAGATGCCGACTATTATATTGCGAGGAAGTGTGTCGCTAATGGCCGGATGTAAGGTACAGGGGTGCTGTTTCTGTATGCGGTGTGTGGTTTCTATAGTCAGTAACACTAGAACGAGAAAAAGGATACCTAATTATGTATATAGAATTATTCTATTATTTTTACAGCAATGACAGTGATTAACTTTTAATAATAAGCTATAGTATAGTACAGTGGTGATGAGTATGTCTTTATGGAATCATATTTAAGATTCTCTCTAATTTAAAAATACCAGTAAATTAGAAATTGCACAATAATGGTTACATGAAATAGAACTACTATTAAGTTCTGAATTATTGTACCTACTCGCCTAATGCATTATGCGGATGAGTGAAGGGGTTATTAGAGTGGAAAAAAAAAAAATGTTTTTATATTCTTTGAAGTTTCGGGAACATGGAATAGAATATGAATATTCTTTATTTAAAGAAGCTTGAATAAATAATAGGAATAATAGCCATAATTGCATTAATGTACCGCATTTAGTAGCTGTGGAATGGAGTTAGAATTTGTTTTGTGATCACATGCAGACAGCACTGACAGCTGTTTTATATGAATGTGACGGGGATGTTGGAGCGATGAGGAGTCATTTTTAATTGACAGTTAATCCAGTTGCGGCTGGAGTTGTGTAGTGTCGCGATACGCGAAATAAGTGTATTAATGTGGTTTTGAGTTTTGAGATAGCTAATAGGAAATGATACCTGCTTCATTGTAGTATTTGTAAAATATATACATGTATTTGTTTATCGTAATAGTACTGGTGTTGGTCGCTCTCTAAATACTTTGGCCGCATTGCAGGGTAGCCAAAGACAAATTAGCGTGTTTTAACTTTTACATACGTACTACAGTGCAACCTCGATAAAACAAATCGAAAAAATATATATATATATATATATATATATATATATACGTAGTATATCAAGTAATTCGTTGAACTGAGATTTATTATGTTGAAGGTACGTTGGTCTAAACTTCGTTATAAAAAGGTAAAAAAAAAACCTGCTAATTGAATCTTTAACAATAGTGACGAGCAGCAGTGTTTACAAAACTTTACATTACTTTCCATCGAACAACAATTATTGTTCTACGAACAAAAGTACGTCGAAACATGTCCTGACATGAATCACATTTTATGAGATAAGAGATAAGTAGAGTTAGAGTCATACCATTGGTGGGAACATTATATAAAGGTTTTGGGTTAAGAAAATTCCTTAGAATGAGGTGTTTTTCCAAATTAAAAAAAAATAAATAATAATGTCGCAATGTAAAGGTATATTTTACATCGATTCTTATGGAAAATCCAAGGGATTACAAAGAATTAGTTAAATCAAGGAAGTCGTTATATACGAGGTATATTATTGTGAATGAGGTGCGTTATATTATGGCTGCACAATTATTATTATTATTACTAGATAATAATGTAAACCATGATGCATGATAGTAACAATTACTAACGATACATTATTGGAAAAATAAAATAGTTCTGAGGATACTATTAGTATTCCTATACTTTAGATTAGAATTATTTACTGGACATTCTTGTGGAGTAAATAAATCTGAAATATGTTTAATATTAGTAGTCATAAATGTATATATTGTGAAAATTAAATGGATAAGAGTGGCGTTTAATTGTGCTATAATTATAAAATTTGGTGTTTTGCAGGAGTTCATGATTTGCTTATAAAGTGACTATTGGCTCAGATGACCTTAAAGAAATTAGCAAAGGAAGAAAAACAATGAGCATAATACTAATAACCAATCCTTAAAGAGGATGAATTAAGAAGTTCAATGGAGTTATAATGACGGTGACAATAGCATTGATATTCTAAAAAAGGAGCTACAGAGGTAAGGTAGACTGGGCCGTCAAGCATTAAATTGCGTATTGACGGACAGGTTGCATTAAATTGCGTTGGTTGGCTGGGCCATCAGGCATTAAATTGCGAACTGATGGACAGATTGCATTAAATTGCGTTGGCTGGGCCATCAGGCATTAAATTGCGAACTGATGGACAGGTTGCATTAAATTGCGTTGGCTGGGCCATCAGGCATTAAATTGCGAACTGATGGACAGATTGCATTAAATTGCGTTGGACTGGGCCGTCAAGCATTAAATTGCGTATTGGCGGACAGGTTGCATTAAATTGCGTTGGCTGGGTCGTTAAGCATTAAATTGCGTATTAACGTCCAGTTTGTGTTAAATTGTCTTTGGCGGGGTCATCAAGCATTGTATTGTGTATTGATGAATGGTGTCCTATTCATTAAAGGTAAATTGATAGAATGTTGCATTAAATTGCGGTTGAATATAAGTAATAAAAAATTGCCAGTTTTAATGCATATTAATTATCGGAGTGAAATGGAGCGGATTCAGTAAAATATAATAAATCAAAAGTCATAGGACACAAATTAATTTTGGTCGAAAATATAATTTCTATAACTAATATAATTGACGATTGCTGGAGTACGTATCGCTGTGGTGATATATGTGGTATATGTCGATCACTCAAAGACTGGTCTGATAACCTTTCCTAATATTTTAGCACTAAATTAAAGCAGGTGATAAGAGAGATAATTTTGGTACGATGAAGAATGGTTATAGTTATACCCAATTAATACTACATGGACTGATATCAGATGTGTAAACAGAATATAGTGGAAAGTCGTTTGCAATTGTTGATGCAACTCTTGATATAATAATAATATTCTGGTATACCACCACAGGACCCATCAATATTTTATGGAATGATAATAATAAATAGTGGGGAGTTTTGAAGAAATTCCAGATTATGTTTTAGATAATCAGTTTTCAAATGTACATGATAAAGAAAAATACTACATGTAAATAACACGTTGCATGAGACAGATAGAATGGAAAAAAATATAAGTATTTACCTTAAACCTACAAAATATAAAGTAGTGACTACTATGATAGAGATATTCTGGTCATAAACATACAACATTTTTTCAGAAGTGCTTTATACTAATCTTACATAATATTACACAATAACAAAGTGGAATAACGATTATATGAAAACAAATATAAAAGAAGAAAGGTGAAGTATGTGAAACACAGAGTAAATTGGAGTTAATATATAAATGTAATTTATATTCAAAAGAAAAAATCACGGTGCTGGTTACGCTGGAAAGGCCAATCGCACTAGAGGCATTCGGCTTATGTGTGGCAGTATAGTGTCAAAATGAGTCCACCATCGTTGTAACGTAGCACACATGCCTCCAAGGAACAAATACCTAATAGAGTGGATTGATTCATGCTTGAAAAGAAAATAAACTTAAAAAGGAGAGAGATGTAGTGTATGTGGAAACACTAGCAGTTTATTATCTATCGTCTCGAGCCGAGCGTACACGGACCGCCGTGCGCTAGTGGGAAGGGATTCCCTGCGCAAGCGCCGCGGAGTAAAGACGTGGAGCTATGGCTAACGAGCCGATATTACGTCGATAACAACTTACATACAAGAAGACATAAATAACAAATAAGTGAACACTATAACAATAATGCTTTGTCGCTCAGAAATTCTATAAAATTTAAAAACAAATATAAAACTCATTTGGAAACTAATGCAACAGCTTCTCTTTTTGAAGACTGATTCGGTCATCTTTTATTCCTGAAGTATTTTTATTAATAACAAATAACCCAGGCAATTGAAGAGGAAAAACTTAATTCGGCGGCGGCGCAACGTGCGGCGCTGTAGCAGTTATGCAGGATTTACATTATGATGTACTTAACAATTGTAACATAAATTGTTTCTATTGTCGAACATTTTATTAAATATATTCCTCCTATTATAAGTTGTTATTTCCTTTAGACTTATCTCAAGTATACAAATTTTATATGTAGGTATTTATATGGAAAAGTTGAATGCAAATTCGACCTGTCGCTCTCACCATTGGCCCTACCCATCGAACAATACTCTAAAGAGGTTCTACCTCTCACGTAAGTAGTAGATATTTTGTTTAAAAATATAAATAAATTATTTGTATATACTTATACGATTCCATCAACTACCTACCTATAAAAAATGTGTATATATTTAGAGACTGGTTCCATGGTAATGACATATGTCAGAACTTACTGTTTTTTTATGTATTTTTTAATGGAGAGGCAAAGGAAACTATCCAAACAGCCAGTTAATTACTATTTTAGTTGACATCTGACATTTAAACAATTCTGCTGACTCCTGTCAATGGCTGTCATCCATCGATTTCATTGTTATTGAAACTCAAAATAAGCAATAAATTCTATTTATTTCCATAGAAACATTACTTTATAAGTATTATTATTATATACCGTATTCACATTATTTAGTGTTTCTTTCTTATGCCATATGTAAATACACATAATATGCTAAAAATTTATATAAAACTAAAGTTCTGTGTTTAAATAAAGTTTCCCTCCTTAACTACTAAAAGTACAAATGGATGAATCTGAAGTTATGAAAACTTTTAAAGAGACTTTGAGGTGCCAATCTTCGAAGAAACCGTTTCTAATATACAAAAACAATCAGAATGAGAGTTCCTGTGATGTTAGCAATAACTTGTATAATTATAAAAATATTTTATCAGATATTTCATCACAAATAAAAGCTATACAAAGCGCGGATAGCGCAAACAGTGGTACTAGTAGAGTTAAGAAGAGACTGGGAAAATATAATAATAAGTGTGTATCTGTCAATATGTTGCCGTTAAATGATGAGGTATGTATTTAAGTATAAAGTTACACAACTGTTTACTTGAATTACATTCAGGAGGCAAATAAATATGTTTAGCGAATTATATTGTTACCGCTATTATTTATGTTGTGTTCAACTGGTACTGGCAGCGACAGGAGGAGGAAGATTAAATAACGAGTCCAGTGGTGGTTATGTATAAATGTAATATTCTTGTGTTATTTACAATAGTTGTATGGTTTTATTATATATATATATAAAACATATATTTAATGTATGAGAAAAGAAGCGATTGTGTCCCAATCTGATAGGCTTATTATATCTTCTATCTACAACGTTGCTAGGCAACGGTGTTGCCGCACACTATCCGTAAATCGCCACATATGTATTTATGAGGGAAGTTACCTCAAAACTTCCTAACTTTACAGGAAAAATAGTGGTGTACAAGTATATAACACAACAATTGATAATCGAAAATATATTCCTGAACAAAATAAAATTATATAATACTACGGAATAGATAATACAAATACTTAAAAAGAGACACAAGCTATCTTGTGAAACCAATTATCTTATGATAATTGGTGTTCTGTGGACAAGATATAATACACACTTTTCAAATATTTAAACATACTTTGTTTGTTATACCAGCCAGTCTGATCAATGATTGCAAACCTCATTTTAATAGTATTATTAATTTTTTTAATAGATTAGTACTTTATTTATTCTAATGTTTGATTGCAAAGCAAACCCATTACAAGAAGAAATTAAAACTTAGATGTTTACATGAATGTTAAGACACATGTAATTTGGTCGACATAAAGTTTTATGTATTTTACAATATAAAACAGCTTTCTATAAAAAGGCTTTTAACTCACACAATATAAATCCTGAGATCCTCATACCTATACCTGGCCACCATAAACTTTAGTTTCCAAATTGTTTTAAATTTGTTAATAAAACATTTCTTTTTAGTTACCACCACAAGAAAAGAAAGTCAGTAAACAAGATACCCAATTTGTGTTGGACACTCAGTTAATTGAATTCATTGACAAAGTTGAAAATAATAACATTGTAAAGGGTGTAACTCAAGAATTTAAAACTTCTTTTAACAATTCTACAGAACCCTTTGATGATATTGTTTGTGATAAGTATTCAAGTAAGAATAATGAATGTAAAAGTAAACATAATGAAATAAGTAATGAAGATGTACTTGATAAGGAAGGTAAAGATTATATAAACACTGAATGTGTAAATAGTTTTAAATCAACACATTTAAACAAATGTAATACTAATATTATTCTTGATTCCGGACAAGAATCCAAAGAAAAATATTTAGATAAAAGCAATTCACAATTAGAGGAAAATTGTACTGAATTGATTGATAAATGTATGGAGATTGAGTTAAATTTAAATTTAAAAGATTCAACAGATGTAGAATTAAACACAAGTCCTGTTTTAAATATTAACAAAAATGTAAACAGAAGATCAACAAGTTCATCTCCATTAGTTTACAATCTTGACTCTTTTGAGAAATTTGAGAGAATAGCCTATCCTTTTATAGAACACAACTCAGATGTAACATCTGTAAAACATTTGATTAATTCACAAATACTTGAAAAAGAATTAGTTATACAAAGTAATTTTGATAAACCTCAAACATTGAGTCCTGTAATAAAAATAAATAATAATAAATTGAATACTTCTAAAATATATGATCCACATACAAATGTTAATGGAGAGTCAGATGCACCTTTAGCATTAAGGATTAATATGTCACCAGATTTAAGAAAACATAGATTTATCAATTCATCCAAAGATAATATTAAGAATTACAACAATACTGTAGAAGAAGACGAACTATTGTTTAGTAGTGATGAAGAAATTCATTGTGAACAGAAAAATAGTGAAGATATACCGTTTACATGTGCTATACAAACATCATTTTATGACCAATCTGATATCTTAGATAAAACTATGTATGTTGGTTTTCAAACTGCAAGTAATAAGTCCATACAAATATCAACTGTCTCATTTACTAAAGCTAAAAGTCTTTTAAATGATGTAGAACAGAGTAATAGTATAAATAATCCATCAGTATCTGAGTTAGTTGAAATGTGTGATGGTCTTAATTCTAAACACGATGGACCAAGCCATATTGATCCTAAAAAAATTGAAATCCCAACATTTCAATCATATGATTTTAACATAAATATTGATAGTAAAATTAGTAATGTTAGTAAGTCAACAAATTACCTTAATGAAGATATACAGGTTTCCAACGAAAAATGTATTGAAGATAGCAATAAAGTGGCCAGTACCAAGGAAACACTTCAGAATGTTATTGTTACCATGGACACCAAAAATACTCAAAATTCTAGAAAAGCTTTAGAGAAGAAAATATTTACAGAAAAGCGCAAGGTTGGTGGCTTTATGACGGCAAGTAATAAAAGGATCAAATTGTCTGATAATGCTTTAACAATGTATAAAACAGTGTTTAAAGACATTGATTTAAGTGAAAACTTTGAAGAAAACGAGGAATTTAATCAAAATATTAAAAATGTAACAATGAAAGTAAAATCGTTGGAAAATACTGAGTTTACTGATAACGAAAACAAATCACTAAATTTAAAATATATCGCAGAAAACAATGCCAATGATTATGCGATAAAAAAAAATTCAGAAGACATTGCAACTGAAGTGTTTCATGGGAAGAATTTCGATATGCTACATTGTGATAATAATGTTTTTGGATTTCGAACTGCAAACAATGAAGATATTAAAATATCAGAAGCATCTATGGCTAAGTCCCGAAAAATGTTTGAAGACATAAATTATTGTGACAATTTAAATGATTGTAATGAAAACAGTAAACAAAATTATTATTTTCAAAATCCTGTTGCAACTTTGAATCAAACTCAGAGTAAAAAACACAGTTTATCCAGTTTCTTAGGTTTCAAAACAGCAAGTAATAAAGCCATTATTATATCTGAAGAAGCTATTGCTAAGAGTAAAAATTTACTTGATATTGAATTGAATGAGTGTAATGTTAAAAGTGCTAATACAAAAGTAGAAAATTCAATAAATGAAGCAAATAAAGAAAATATGTCTGGTTATACATGTAATACTTTAAAGGGCAAAAAAGAAATGTTTAACTCTAGTAATGCAAACAGATCATGCCAAACAGAAATCGAGAGTGATATTATCAGTGAAGAAAACCAAAAGAGTGGTCTGAAAGAAATACATTCTATTGAGTTCAGAACAGCTAGCAACAAAATAATAGATATATCACAACAGGCATTGTGTAAAACTAAAAATATATTCAAAGATATTGAGATTTCTGAAGTAGAAAACAGTAAAGTGGTAACTCAAAATGATGACAATTTTGGAAAACAGATCACACCTAATAATTTTGAGTTTGTTGGGTTCCGAACAGCCAACAATAAGGATATTGCCATATCAAAACAAGCTTTAGCTAACACTAAAATGGTATTTCAAGATATTGATTATTCTGAATTTAAAGATCCGTTATGCAAATTACTAAATATTAAGAAAAAACAACCTCCTATTGATCAAAAAAGTTATAATGTATCTAATCATGAATTAGATTTTGTTGGCTTTAAAACTGCTAGTAATAAAGACATTGACATATCCGAGAAAGCTATGGTTAAAGCTGGAAATATATTGCAAGATATTGAGAACATAAATGTACTCTATACAGAAGGCATAACGGGACCTCATCCTGAATTCAAAACAACAAATACTAAAGTAGTTAATATATCTGAAGCATTACAAAAGAGCAAAAGCTTATCAGATAATATACATGCAAATGGATTTAATGCATCTATTTCACTAAAATCGAAAAGAGCCAATATGAATGTAAATGAAAATAATTTAGTCATAGAAGAAGTGGCAATTTCAAATTCTAATAGTATGAAAGATATTAATCATCCTGTTAAAATTTCTACTGAATCTAGAAATGACATTGATACAGTCCCTAATGTAAGTAAAATTAACCACAAATTCATTGGATTTATGACGGCTAATAATAAAGCCGTAAACATTTCTTCTGAGGCTTTATCAAAAGCTAAACTTATTTTTGAAGATATTGACAAAGCCGATAATTTACCTAACCATAAACAAAATGAACCTTTTCCGTGTTTCCAAACTGCTAGTAATAAGGAAGTAATAATTTCGAACAATGCGTTAGATAAAGCTAAAAATCTTCTGAGAGATATTAATATAAACCCTAATTACAAGATTGATTCGAACAACGATTCAGAATTAACAAATATGAATAATGTAAATAAAAGCAATCATATTAAGGAAACAGGCTGCCATGGATTTAGTTTTAAAAACGCTAATGATAAAGATATAAATATTTCAAAAGATGCACTGAATATGTCCAACAAAAATAAAGAAAATGTTACTGATAATCTTAATACTAGTTTAGATAAACTAATAAATACACAAGTTATTGATAATTTTGATCAAACGTTGTATACAGAAGACTTTTTAGAAACGCCAAAACAGCTAAAGAGGTCAGGCAGTCCTATACTTTCATGTCCAAGGGCTAAGAAAAGGAAACAATTTGTTACACCATATAGAAATGACAAAACTGAAACTAGTCTAACAACAGAAGTTAATATTAAAATTATTGATAAACCCATAATAAATCCGAATTATAATTGTAAAACAATGAAGAAAATTTCCTTAAAAGATGTTACAGTTTTAGAAAATGGTGATAAAAAAGATATAGATCCATATCTTTTAAATTTCACATTTAGAACACTGTTAAAATTCGAATTTTTAGACCAGAGAAATGATCTAACAGATAACAAAATGGATGTAGAAACATTGAAGTCTTATTTTTTGAAAGATGTAAATAAAAAATTAATACCTGACAAATGGTTGGATAATCACATAAAATTAATATTATGGAAATTGATAAGTTACGAACTTAAATTCCCTAATGTTATGAATGGGTCATGTAAAGCTGGTAATGTGATAAAACAGTTGCAATATAGGTATCAAAGGGAGCTGTATAACGCCGAAAGACCAGCAATTAGGAAAATATTAGAGAGAGACGACACAGCAGCTAAATGTTTAGTGTTGTGTGTAGTGGACATTATTACTGTAGAAAATAACAGGTATGTTTAATTCATTTACAACTAATTATAGACATAAATCAAATAAAGTTGCGAAATGTACTATAGTTCAGAATTTTACTGCTTTGGTAGCTTTGAAAGACTCTTTGTATTAAGTTATCTACATAGTTACCTCTGTCGCATATTTCATTGTCGCATTTTATATTACAGTTTGTTTTGCATATTGTTTTTACGTGGTTTTATTCTACATAACTAGATGCAGGAATATTGTACTTTGTCCTTTTACAATAATATATCTTGAAAATGTAGAAACAATATAATTAGATCACATATTTGGACGCGTAGTTGCAGAAGACAGTGAAACAAGTTATTTGTTCTTAGACCGTTGTTGATTGTACTTTATTAATAAATAATTTGAACTTTTTTATGTTTCAGTGATACTTGTCTAAACACAGAACTTCTATTATCCGATGGTTGGTACAACATACGAGCGTGTATAGATAAATTATTAACCAAGCATGTAAGAGATGGTAAAATAAAAGTTGGAACGAAACTTATTACTTCTGGCGCTGAATTACTCAACTGCGAACAGGGAGTTGCGCCGTGGGAGGTAATTATTTATTCAAATAAAAATTTTGATGTTATACTACTAATAATAAAACTTTAGAAACTCTTAAAACAGTGAAAGTCAGTTTTTTGTTATGCTTGAATGCAATAACGAGTTAGTCAATCATTGTGAGATTTATTTATTTATAACTAGTTGACCTCCGCAACTTTGTCTATATTACACTTATTTGACATTTATCATTACATGTCCAAATTCATACATCAAAATAGGTTCAGTAGTTTTTGTGAAAGAGTAACAAACATCCATCTATACTCACGAACTTTCGCGTTTATAATATTAGTAAGATAGTTTTTTGGATGGAGAAGGGTGAGGTTTATTTTTCTCAATCATTATCAATAAGAGTAAATTGTGGGCAGCAGCTAGCGCATCATATCATAAGTTTTAATGAATTTGACTTTGTACAAAGTTGTCTGCATGGGAACTTCTCACTTAGCTATCTTAGCCGCCAAATAAAAATATTTGGAGCCAAAGCAAGAATTTAAATATTTCTTCTATGAAAACTCACACGATTGTCAGGCCACTCGTATACCCACTGATTCTTTGGCTTTCAACTTACACATAACAAATGTGTAAGGTGAAAGTATGGTAATGCAGTAATTATTGCCTCGGTAATCTAGCGGCATTCTAGGTGTTTGTAGCCCAGTCATCATCATCATCATCTGCTTCTTGTAATATGTTTTTCTCTTCCATTCATCCCTGTTCGCAGTCATCGCGTCATTTACTTCCTTTCTTACCATATCATCTTTCACACAGTCCATCCATCTCTTTTTCGGCCTTCCTCTGCCCTTATAACCATCCACATTCATATGTAACACCTTTCTTAAAATATTATCCTCATTCCTACGCATTACATGTCCATACCATGATAGTCGATAACTCTTCAACCTCTCCGACACCGGCGCCACTTTCATACTTCCTCTAATGTATTCATTCTTTATCTTACCTATTCTTGTCACACCACACATCCATAGCTTGTCGTTTGTAGCCCAGTCATACTTAAATGAAATATCTCTATTGGAAAGTATACACTCTACCCAGAGGAGATGTAAACCATCGCTCTTAAGAATATCCTTCAATTCTTCATCTAGTTAGTGAACTTTGAAAAAAGGCGATAATAGATCTCTGCAGATCGTGCTACACGTCTAAAGTATATGGAGTACCCCAAACTCCTCAATAAAAATAAGTATGGAATAGTGCACTCACCTGCACTAACGGTATACACTGGCAGGGCACTAGTGGAGGATGATAAGGTGTTAATGAAATTCAGTCAGTAATAAATACACCAGGAATTAACCGCGTTAGTTTCCGGTAGGAAGGCGTCGAGCTCAACATGATTTGGTACATTGCTAGTAATAGGGCACTAGTACCCATTACTAAATCAAGTAGTATAATCCCCTTTCCCCTACCACTCATAGTCACATGAACAAAAAACATTACAGGATACATCCACAGTCCGTTTGAAAATATGCGGCAACTCAACTCGACGAGCACGTTGGGACGCGCGCCTCGGTTACCATGGCAACGGCGCCATCTTGTCTCGCCTGTCAAACGTGGCGCCCGATGGCGGGAAAGTTGGCCGGCTACGTGTTGTAGTGACGAGGGTGTATCCACCGCTTTATGTAGAAAAGTTTGAAGACGGCAGTACAGGTAGATATTATATATTGCACATGACGGCCTCGGTTTAGCATACCGTTTTGTTTTTGATGGGTTTGATTCCTCGCACGGTACCAACTTTTTTATACATAAGTATGATAAAAAAGAAATGTAGGCTACTTTTTAATGCGCAGAAAAGGGTAGTAAAGTAGGCAGTCAGTAATAAATACACCAGGAATTAACCGCGTTAGTTTCCGGTAGGAAGGCGTCGAGCTCAACATGGGTTGAAAGTAGTCTAGCTTTTTAGCCCTGTCTTGCATTCGATTCCTCGCACTGTACTAACTTTTTTATACATGAGTATGATAAAAAAGAAATGTAGGCTACTTTTCAATGCGCAGAAAAGGGTAGTAAAGGGTTGAAAGTAGTCTAGCTTTTTAGCCCTGTCTTGCATTCGATTCCTTGCACTGTACTAACTTTTTTATACATGAGTATGATAAAAAATAAATGTAGGCTACTTTTCAATGCGCAGAAAAGGGTAGTAAAGGGTTGAAAGGAGAGACGAAAGGTAGTATGGAAGTATCGTAATTTTCAAAGCTAGGAGTTAGATAGTTATTTTTTAGACTGTTGATTAAATATAAATAAATATGATATAAATAAGTAAAATACGCGAACTCGTGCGAGCTCGTGGGCGTAGCTAATACAAAATATTTATATGGACTTGTAGAATAGGCGGTCTTATCGCTAAATATATTCTTCCAGTCACCCATTAGGGAGAAGAAATAGATAACACAAGCTTATAACCCATAACACAAGCTCTGCTTACCGTGGAATTAGAAAACGCTGTGTTAATTGTTCAGGGTTATTTATTTATTTATATATATATTCATATATAGACATACATAAACTTAATACACATATTCCAAAGAGTGTTTCTATATATTAAAAACTGTATTATATTTCAGTAACAAGGTCCGAGCGACTCGAATATATCCACCAAATGAAGTACGAGGCTGATAGACAAGCGATGATGGAGAAGTTATATGAAGAAGTGGAGAAGGAGCTCTCAGATGAGGTGATTTTATTTGTTAAATTAATTTTTTATTTTCACATCCGTTTCATTGTTTATGATACGTATGATGGTATAAGACATGGTGCAGGTATGTCTACTTATTTAAAATATAAAACTTATTTTACTCGATGATAATGTAGTATTCGACGTAAGTGATAGAATTTTTAAATCTATACGGTCGTGGGTTTGATTCCTCGCAAGGTATAAACATTTGTATATGATTATGATACTAATATGATTGTTTGTATTGTTCTGTGTGTCTATTATGTATGTATTTACAAAAATGTATCTGAGTATATGTCCTCTACATATAACACAAGCTCTGCTTACCATGGAACTAGGTGACGCTGTGTGAATTGTTGGGATATAATTTATTATATGTCTATACAAGTTTTAAGATAGTATAAAATATGTTAAAATATCTGCCAGGATTCAGTGGAGTCACAAGAAATAGGCGCAAGCAGGAAATCAATGGACACCGGGTCTCAGATTGCTCGACTCCTGAAGAATAGTAGAGATCCGTCGGAGTTTAGGGTAAGTACATGGGAGTAGCCACCGTGGGGAAGATGGCGCGCTTGCCCAATGATGTAATCATCACTATTACAGATTCAAACGAGTCTGTAATAGACCTACATGAATGAAGATATTTTGATTTCTTGAGGAGATAAAATGGAATGGAGGATGATAAGATGATTATGAGGTCTGGTCGGTTAGTCCATCGTGTTTTCACCAAGAATGTATCACGGTTTTCAGGGGAACGCGGTGTGCTAACCGCTATATCTACCACCGAGGTCATCACCGTCGTCGTCGTAATAATGTTTATTTTATATTGCGTTGCCATCCATTGATTTAAACCACTTTGTAATAAGGTTATTGTCGCTCATAATTGCAATACTACTTTTTTACGAGAGGCTTCTGTAAAAGTGTATTAGGATTTTTCGGTTACGAAAAAGCGTTACCGTCGCTTGAAAGGGCGTAGACCTATAGCAATAATCATAGTGTTTTGTAAAATAATAATAGTGTTTTGTTCCTTGAACAATGTTCCACGCTGAGCTTCGAGCTGTTTGTATTGCTACAGACCACACATCATAGCAATAATCTCTCTATAGTGTTTTGTCATCTTTCACACAATGAACATGCCCATGTTCCACCTCGCAACTTTTCTATAACCGGCGCAACTTTCAATATACTCATTCCTTATTCTGTCATTCCTGGTAACCACACATCCATCTTAACATCCATCCATCTTAACATTCGCATTCGCATTCATTAACCACACATAATAACACAATTTTATAAATCTTATGTCGTATTATGTATTGTCTATTCTTATGAATATGTTGTGTGTGATTAGTAACAAACTTATATACGTATGTATTTTTAATGCCGCATCTGAAAAATAATTTACGTCCATTTCTCCTACTGAATCTAAATATGTATAACTCAAAGGTGACTGACATAGTGATCTATCAACGCACAGCCCAAATGGAGGATGATAAGATGATCATGAGGTCTGGTCGGTTAGTCCATAGTGTTTTCACCAAGAATGTATCACGGTTTTCAGGGGAACCGCGTGGTGGTCAACCTGGCATGGTATTTTGCTAGCAATTAGGCCCTTAGCCCTAACAACTATTATTATTACTAACAATTCCACCTATTGTTAATAGTCGAAAATGCCTTTGACCAATTCAACATTTATAATTATATGGATATACATATTACAGGCAAACTTAACAGAGTCTCAAAGGAATGTTCTAGAAGAATACAACGCAAGGAATCGTGAGAAGCTTCTAGAAAATATACATGCTAGAGTCAAAAGTAAGATGGACAGTGCTGGTCTGATTTTCACGAGGAATACAATACCCCTGCTTAAGGTCAGAGTAGCTGATGTTAGAGACAGAAATGGCAATGTGGAAGTAACCAAAGGTAATATTTCCCTCTCAAATGTCGATAAAAATGCTCACTATAATGTAACCAAAGGTAATATTTAATAATAATAATAATCTCAGTAGAAAATTTGTATGAAACTTTGTTAATTTTAAACCGATCAAATGTTTGAGACTTTGCATGCATAAATTTTATATGACGTAGGCATTCCTCATAATTGCAATACTACTTTTTTTTTAAGGAAGAATTTTGATAAATTCCACCCAATAATCAGTGTTTTGTTCTCTGAACAATGTTCCACGGGGTTAAATTAACGCGTATTGCGACGCCGAACATGGTGTATGATTAGTAACAAAAAATAAACGATATATCTATCTATACATATAAAATTTAATCAGGCGCGCTGTTTCGCAAGTTTTGTTACAAACATTGTGAAACGAGAATATTACATATAAGAGTTGATTAGGTTATTAAAACATATATCTTTTCAGCCTTGCTCTCAATATGGAAACCAAATGATGCACTAACAGAAATTATAACCGAGGGCGCTTGGATCGAACTGTTGAATGTTGTACCCACAGCTGTCAGGTAAGTTTTTAGACCACCATAGTGGCAATCAAATGTACGGCCCATCTGATGGTAAACGGTTACAGTGCCCTATGGACGCCTGAAATACCTAGGTGTCACGTGCACGTTAACTTTATATACACTTCTTGAAAAACCCATGCTATTGTTTCTTGAGAAAAATTCGGCAGGTAATGAAATTTTAATGAAACTTTACAATAATATAGTTTATACATCAGAATAACACCATAAATCTCAAGCCGGTGAAACCTTGGGCACAGCTAGTAAATATTCTACTAAACTTTTTTCCAGGTATTCGGAACTACAATTATCAGCCGGCAGACAAACGACTTTTAAGCAAATAACAGTCAAACAAACTGACAAACTTAAACCCTACACGACATCATTGAATCGAACCTGCTATCCTATTACACAGCTAGCCAACAACCCATCTATGGTAACCGATTACAACGAAGTCGACACAGCCGGAGTGATATTCGATATAGATCCAAAGAATCGAGATTTCAACTCGAATAATCAATTCCAAAATGTCCACATTGCTGACGAGAATAAAAATATAATCTGTGTAAATTTCTGGGGCGGTATTAAAAAGTTTGGTTTTAGTAACGTCTTAGATACAGGACAAATTATTTCATGTGTAAATTTGCAAAGGCGATCTGGCAGCACTAGGCGGTGCGTGCCCCAATATCGTGCGACTGAATTCACTTATTTCACAAAAACTCCCAAAAGTGTTGCCAACAGAAAATTAATGGAAGATTTGGTAAATAAAATTAGTGTAAATAATGGTTTTATTGATGATTGTATGAGAATTAAAAGTAATACATTACATAAATTACGTAGCAATGAGAATGATGTAACCCCATATAGATTTGAAAACCATTATGCTAATAATATTTATGTAGATAGTCCTTTAGCAACAAGGAGCAATCGACAAGAGGAATTTAACCTTACCGGCCTAGATTTTGAGTCGACATTCAAACAAACGGACACGCAGGAATTATCACCAAAGACTTTACAAAGAAAGAAGAAAGTCAACGAAAAAATAAACAAATTAAAACAATATGGCGAACCGCCTCCTTTAAGTCCTTTAAATATTATTAATAGATCGGAAAAAGCGACAAAATCTTACAGGAGCCCCTTGTTAACAAGCGACACTGCTAATGTTGCCACGATAAACAAAACACCGAAAGTTACCAATACAAAAAATACACCGAAAAATGAGAACATTAGTTCTAGTCCAATATTGTCAGTGATGAAGACATGTAAAAGTGTTAAACCTGTGAAATTAAATTTCAATAGTGTTGCCATAAATGAGAGCAATTGTGATATTGATGGGTTTGAGGAAGATTTTGAGGGTAGTCCTCCATTGAGTTTGGATTAATATGTATACTTGACATTTGACAAAGTGCATACAAACATGATCAAATTGTATTAGTTTTAAAACTTCGTTTTTACACTAACATTTTTATAACAATGCAAGGGAATTTAATGAACTTGCTTTGCTTTTAATTTATGGTAAAATTGTCTTGACTTCTTCCCGAAGCCTTATGTGAGCGAAGGGAATGTTTTATTTGGCACTTAATTTAACACAGCTTTATATGGAAAGACGGTTTATAGTTTTAGAGAAGAAAATAATGTTAATAAGCAAATACAGCTGTAGAAAAGAAGTGCAATGACGGTTTTATAAAAAATATTTTCCTAAATATAAAGTATTAGAAAAAAATAAACAATATATAATAAAGTTTGATGTGGACTCCTTTAAGGTGAATAAATAAAAATGTTGCCAGTTCAATAAATTACCGTACAAAGTTATAAAATTATAACCGGAATATGTTGTCATGTAGAATAGCTTAAATTATAAGTTATATAAATACTTTTATAGAATTTTTCAACACAATTTTATTAAAAAAAATAATGTATATGATTTTTAACTTAATGTTACCTATGTAGTTTATGGTTAAATTTAATTGTCTACGGGTCAGATTCTAATCAATGGCATGTTATATACATTTATTAATTTATTATGTGTATGCGTACAAATATAAACGTAATATTTATGGAATTACATTACTACTTAAATGTCGCCATCTAAAAAAATATTTCAAAAAAACATACAAATATTAAGAATAACTCAAAAACGACTTGTCAAATCTTGATTAAAATAATATAGACCACACAATAAGCACTAATTCTACTTTGAAATAAAAAAGACTTATCAAAATCGGTCCTTGTATTATTGAAGTAACACTTTAGGAACAGTCGACGAACAGTCGACTTTAGAATCATCTACATTTTTGATGTTGGTTGAAAAATTAAATAGTAGGAATGTGTTTTGTAATGATTATGTATTGTTGTTATATTTTTGTTATTGTGTCTGTCTGATTTTGAAAATACTAATCTCGATAAAAATAGTTATTTTAGGTTTACTAAGTATATCGTCGAAAAAATTTTGTGAATATGTTTCTGTACTGACAGGTGTTGTTATATTTTGTTATTGTGATTAAATATTTATAATTTATATATTTTGTTTTGTTTAAACCTCTGACTTACAAATTTTCTATAGGTAAGTTTTTATAGATATTTGTTTTAGCTAAATTGGCGTGTATCCGTTACTCTAAACGGGTGACTAGGAGGAAGTGGGCGGGACATTGTCAGCAATGTGGTCTGAGGACACCATTGACAAAAATGTACCATGTCAGGTTTGGAAACCATCGTGCCAAATTTGGGCTAACTGACCTGACCTCATCTTCCACTGGCGCCCCGCCAGCATAAATCGTTAGCGCAGCGGGTATATTCATCCTCCATCCATTATCATCCTTTAAAGAATGGTGACTAGATTGGTAGAAACACAAAAAATATTATAATCTAATTGGGATTTATCTCATCTAAATGGACAGTAGGGATAGTGAAAAATGTTACGCAGAAAAGTTCTGTAAGAATAAATGTTTCAGGTCGAAATTATTTCAGTTACCTAGACAATGATCATGAGAATAATAATAATAATTTAAAGTATTGAGTTGGCTTCTAAGTGATTGCTGATTTTAGTGTAAGAATGAAAATTCAAACTTTATCTTTTAAATATAACTTTATTTAATTAAGTACCTACTATCCGTTTTTGTCGATAAACTTTAGCCATTGTTTTAGATTCCACAAAAAGATTTTATTAAGTGGGATTTCATATCATTATTGTCATTAAAAGTTTTACCATTTCCATATAGGCTAGGCGCTGAGCGGATCTGTTGACACGTCAGCCTATATGGTTGATGCCAATCCAACTTAATAGTAGTAAGAATTTAATAAAATTATGTAATTTATTTAAAAAACAATAACATATAACAATTAGCGATGAGAACTTTGAAATAACATCTACAATAATAAAGGCTTTTTGTTTTGTATTGCCAACAAAAAAAAATCGTTTTAAGTAAACGCGTGCAACTCTAGATGTCAATTCAAGGTGACCTCCAACCTTCAAATACTTACTGCTTTGACGTTTCCATAACCTGCAAAAGTACAACAAAACTTGATTCTTATTTGAAAGTTCTACCCGCGTAGACCAGTATTGTGTCGGGATGTCTTCGTAATTAATTGCTAGAATTATTATAACGGCCATAAATTCGATTTGGCATTAGTGTGGAATTATTTTCAGTGATAATAGTCCTTAAATATCGTACTTGTGTTCGGCATATTTTGAATTAAGCCATATCAATTGGTAAGTTTTCTATCAACTTTTTATTTGCATTACGTTTTCTCATTGAAACGGTATTGGTTATAAATAGCCGGCCGAATATACAGGTTTGTTTAAAAGTTAAAACTATAAACAGATTACCGTAGTGACATAATAACAGAAATTATCTTTTATTATTATGAAGACTTACTTACCTATTTTCTTATCAATATTACCAAGTCTGTAGTTTTTTTACTGCTATTGATAAAAAACAGATTTATTTAATTGCATTAAATATTTTTATAAATTTTTATAAAAGTCAATAAATGTGTTACACACATAACATTATAAATCATTTAAGTATATACTTAATATATTTTTGTATATTTAGTATATTACAAGAAAACCGGAGGTGCATTCAGTTCATGTAGAATGACTAAGCTGCTAATATATATAGCTACAGCTATAGATAATAACATATATTTGATAAATGGAAAAATGTGACAGAAAAATATTACAAACAAATAGTCTTTTTAATGGATGAATATGAGGGTTAGAGGCGGATTATAGAATGATTAGGAGGTCATCACTCATTCCATTCACTTACAATTAGTGATATATTAACGAGGACTTAAAAAGGGTTGTTTCCAGAGTGAACTGTGTGGAGATCAACTGACCTAGTAAATTGTTAGCAAAGGGGTCACTAGTTCCCATAACTGACAAAACCATTACTCCTCATTAATACACATAAATGTACCATTATTTAAATGACAAAGTAGGAATATAAGAACATAATTTATATGTAGTATATAAATTATTATAATTAATTTTAAATAGTAACATAATTTTAGTTCTGCTTGTAAAGGGTGTGTGGGTCAAATATAAATATACAATAAGATTAAATCAGTCATAGTGATAAGAGTATGACGGATGAGCCATCACTGCACTCGACCATATTTTAGGGAAATGACTGCCCACCACACCGCCACATGTCTGGACATTTTAGTGAGCATGCTACTAATTCCACTCGAACATGTCACAGCTACAAAATTTAATTATTATTATTGTTATTTATGATTGCTTATTAGAAAAATATTAGGATTACCTAATTTGTCTAGTATAGTAATATAGGCTATGTTACTCAGGAATAATATAGCTTTTAATGGTGAAATTTTTTTAAATAAAGTATAAATTTCATAAATTATCTTTCAATTAATTGTACTTCTTTTTCATTACAAACATACAAATCTTTTCTATTTACAATATTAGTGTACATATATTTCAATACGTAATATACTCTACCTACTGATCCACTCTAGATTTGGGTATTTAGATTAATTTACACAAAACCTTAACGAATGCAATACTAAACAGTCCTCAAGAATCACTGTTGATGGATGAAAACCACATGAAACTCTGTTCAGTAGTTTTTGGGATTATTAGGAACATACAGACAGGGTCCTTTATAGTATGTATAGAGTTCATATGAAGTTTATTTAAATGACTTTATATTTTTTTCTTTCAGAATATGTCAGTGTTCTTTTATTGTTAAATGTTTTTATTTGTTACTGTTACATCTTATATTATCTGTATAATGTATTGTAGATAGTCTATAGTACACAGTATATTATCAGATAACACTATTCCTTGTTAATGACTGCTGTAACACAAAATATACTAGATAAACATCATAATAGAGTTGTGTATGAAACTGTAATAATAATAATATCAGGACAATTCACACAGCGCCATCTAGACCCAAGTTAAACTAGCTAAAGCTTGTGTTATTGCTACTAGCTAACGGTCACAAATACGTATATTTTCTTGTCTTAAATACAGGTCGCGGGTTCGATTCCTCGCACGTAACAAACATATGCATTCACGAGTATGATTGTTTGTACTGGTCTGCCTTTTTTCTATGTATAACACATATGTATTTACGAAAAAAAATCTATATATTTATATCAGTTATCTAGTACCCATAACACAAGCTTTAGCTACCTTAACTTGAGTCTAGATGGCGCTGTGTGAATTGTCCTGAGAGATTATTATTATTATAACTCAATTCTATAAGCATCCCAATTACAAATTTTACACTTTTGTTATTTATATCAGGCAGATAAAAAAAAACGAATAAACATATATATATAATCTTAACCGGTTACTATAGCATATATCAATAAATAATTATCACTACACTAAATTACATGATAAAGAATCCTATTTTGTAACACTTGAATAAACAATACTCCAGAAATAGCTTCAAATTAGCAATTGACAACAACATGATCACGTGTGTAGTACAGCCATGTTACACTCGTGATTACACATTTGTGCTTTAATGATTTATTTATCTTTCACTGGCTTTATGTGTTTTTATTATTTCCTTTTATTGATTATGTAATGTTATGTTAAGCTGTTCCCGCGACTTCGTCCGCGTGGGATTTAACTTTATTTTTCTAAAATAAAAGTAGCCTAAAGAACTAAAAATTATTTTATTCGTTCCATTAGGCACTGATAGGTTCAAACTAATATATTTACATCCTGCATCATCCCTTATTTTATCCCCATGGGGGTTGAATTTATCAAAATCCTATTATAGCGAACGTCTTCATCATAGTAGCTTCAATCTTTAATTTCAGTTCAATCAGTCGAAAAACTAAGAAGATTTATACAAACTTTCATCCCCTATTTTATCCCCTTAGGGGTGGAATTTATCAAAATTCTTCCTTAGGGAATGCCTTCGTCATAGTAGGTTTATGCATGCAAAGTCTCAGCTCGATCGGTTTAAAATTGACAAAGTGTCATACAAACTTTAATCCCCTATAATATCCCCTTGGAGATTGAATTAATCAAAATCCTTTCTTAGCGGATGCCTATGTCATAGTAGCTTTATGCATGCAAAGTCTCAGCCCGAACGGTTTAAAATTGACAAAGTTTCATACAAATTTTCATTCCTTATTTTATCCCTTTGGGGGTAGAATTAATCAAAATCCTTTCTTAGCGGATGACTACGTCATAACATCTACCTGCATGCCAAATTTCAGCCCGATCCGTCCAGTGGTTTGTGCTATGCGATGATAGATCACTATGTCAGTCAGTCACCTTTGAGTTATATATATTTAGATTATGTTGTGTAAAGCAAATATTAATAAATGAAATATTATGCACCCTGAGAAAGTATGTGACGTCTGAGATACAGGATAATTCTATACTAGTTCAGATGGCACAATTACACTTGTATGTTCAAATTGTATTGATTCTTATGTACAACTTAATTATGTAACACAACCTATAACTGCATTAAATATTATTATTATATAATGATTTGTTTCAACAAATATTGGCACTTTGCGACCTCTAATCTAACTCTAAACTGTTTAAGACCGCACGTCAAAGTACAATTCGCCACTATCCATCAAGAGAGTATTGATATTTAGTGAAAAAAGGTAATGACGTACCTGATGCTAAATGCTGCATTGCCTATATGGGTCATTGGGCTCCCTAACATATGGTCGAGCGCAGTGATGGATGGCTCATACGTCATACTCGTGAACGAGTGCTGCTTGTAGAGACTGGTCTGCTCTTATCACTACGACTGATTTAATCTTATTGTGTATTTATATTTGACCCTAATAAATTAGTGCTGGTTGGTAGTTTGTATTCACACGTTTCGACTTGTAAAATGTGAACTTTCAAGGACTATTTAAATGAGCAAACCGCAAGTTTCTTGGTCATTCCTCTTGTGATGAGACAGCTTTCTGAATGAGCGGTAGATTAAAAAAAATGTTATGACTATTCAAAAGTGCGTCAGTGTAAGTTTATTCGAATAAACGATTTTCTATTCTATTTAATCAAAAAAAGAAAATTCCACCCTATTGTGATGGAATTCTAATAGTTGTTCATGCACGGGATTTTCATTTAATATTAGACATAGACACCGATATAAATATACATTGTAAATAAACTGGCTTTTAAAAAACATCCAGTTCAGTATATAGATCCAATTGAGAAGAACTGACAAGAAACTCAATTGAATTTTTGGAAAAAAATATAATATAAAAAATTTGACGATCCTAAGCGGCTAAAGTGTCCTACATGAATAAATGATTTATGAATTTTAAATATATGTTATATAATCATTTATTGTGGTTTACTATATTTAGAACACTTACAAAGTAAATTCGTATTTATTACTAGTATTTACATAACCTAATTGTACAACTAAGAACCTAAAATTAAAAAGCTTAAAAAAATATATAATTGGATGACTAAAATATATTATTAAAAGGGGTCCCTTTAGGCAACGTTCCGAAGATACTGGCAGCGTTCCTTCTTTGAATAGCTAGACTAATTCTTTGTCCAAGGTAGCTGCCAGCTCTTCGGTCTTCTGTGATGTCGACTAACCTTTTCGTTATTTCTTTGAAAAGTCTTATAGCGCTAGGACCCCACGGACCAAGGTTCTCGACACCGAAGGGGACAAATTCATATTCGGAGCTTAGACCCCTGTATTTACATATTTTGGCTTTTTCAGCCGCTTCACATGCCGCACCAGCTCTGTTGTTGGTTCCATGTAGATGGGATGGGACCAGCGTGTCTGCACAGGTTGCATCCCATACCAGCACCCAGTTATATTATCTATGCCATAGGTGGAAATGTCGCGAGATAGGACATCCCGGCGGTTCTACAGGGCGGAGTCCACCCACGATCTGACCTCGTTCCTGGACCGGGGGCAGGCGGCCATCGATGAAAACCGGTGGACCTTCGAAACGGCGTGGGAAGCTGCCAATAAAGGTGACATTCGCATCTTATTTATTAGCTAATTACCCTCTTTTTAATTATAGCCAATTATCAAATTTTTATTAGCTTTTAGAGAACTAATTGAGGATAATATGAGAACTCTTATCACTACGATTGTATTAATTTTATTGTATATTTATATTTGACCCTAATAAATTAGTGCTGGTTGGTAGTTTGTATTCACACGTTTCGACTTGTAAGTGTAAACTTACAAGAATTATTTAAAAGAGCAACACGCAAGTTTCTTGCTTGTTCTTCTTGTGATGAGACAGCTTTCCGAACGAGCGGTAGATAAAAATAATGTTATGACTATTCAAAAGTGCTTAAATAAAGTTTATTTGAATAAATGATTTTCTATCTATAGATGATAGTATGGCAATGAGGTCAGGCCAGTTTCTCCATCTTGGTCAATGGCCACATATTTATCAAGACGGTTTCCAGGGATAACCATTGGTATATTGCTAGTAATGGACTTATTAGACCACCTCTCTTTTAACGGCCTCGGTGGTATAGTCGTTTAACACACGCTTTACTTCCGATGGTTGCGGGTTCCATTCCTCGCTTGATATAAAAATTTGTGTTCGCGAGTATGATTGTTTGTACCGGTCTAGGTGTTTTCTATGTATATTATGTATGTATTTACGAAAATATATATCTTAAGTGTTTATATCGGTTGTCTAGTACCCATAGCACAAGCTTTGCTTACCTTGGGACTAGATGACGTTATGTGAATTATCCAGAGTATTACTATTATTACTAACAATCCCCTTACTCCGCACACTGTTGCGTTATCTATCCCCTCCGATCGATCCCCCGTCCAATTCAAATGGGGATCTAAATTACGACGGCCTGAGCCGAGGTTCGGACCTCTAGCTAGCGGTGCCCTCAGACTAAGTAATTAGGAAGCGGCTAAAAGCCAACTCCTTGGCCTTTAGCCACTCCTTAAGTGCTTCCGCGTGTTTGGAGTGCTATCTGCACTCGCCCCCTATCGTCCGGTGAAGCTGTAAAGGCCAGCTGCGGCCGACAGCATTAGGGTAGTCCGAAAAAAAGCGTTACCTATACTAATATTATAAAGCTGAGGAGTTTGTTTGTTTGAACACGCTAATCTCAGGATCTACAGGTTCGAATTGAAAAATTATTTTTGTATTGGACAGCATATTTGTCGAGGAAGGCTTTAAGCTATATAACATTACGCTGCGACCAATAGGAGTGGAGCTGCAATGTAAAATGTGGGGAAATGAAACGCAGACGAAGTTGCGCGGGTCACCTAGTATATAATATTAGTAGAATAGAATAGAATATAAAATCATTTATTCAAATAAACTTAATTTAAGCACTTTTGAATAGTCATAACAATTTGTTTTTTATCTACCACTCGTTCGGAAAGCTGTCTCATCACAAGAAGAACGAGCAAGAAACTTGTGTGTTGCTCTTTTAAATAATCCTTGTTAGTTTACATTTAGTATGGATAAACCCTAAGAGTAACCAGTATTTCTCGTCTGTCCACAGTCATCTCCGCTCTATAGGCACGGACAATAACCATTGTTATAAGTCCTGATTATGTAGGTCTTTCATGCTTGAGACAATACCTGCGCGCGAGTTCTACTCGATTGACAAGGTCAAGCAACGTCCACTGATCTGGATGGGTGACCGCACGAAAAATGTATTATACAGATTCTCATTTTTTATATTTTCAAATGAAATTAAAATATATTCCTGTGGGTATAAAATACTCTACTAGCTGATTTGTAATAGTTATTAACATCTGGAAATTCTTTTGTGAACTTACGCTATATAGCTTTCTGAATGAACGGTAGATTGAAAAAAAATGTGATGACTGCAAAGTGTGAAGCACTTTGCAGTCATCACATGAAAGTTTATTTGAATAAATGATTTTCTATTCTATTCAACAGGTCCAATGTAAAATCTTTGTTCCATTTGTAAACTCCTAAATAAATAAATTGCGACTTACACCTATTTTTATATTTTACTAGCTGTTCCCGACATTTTTACTTCTTTAGCTGTTGCAAACATTTTTTTTATTATCTTGTGGAAAAACCTTCTATATGTAAGTGTAGAATCCTGAGATTATTATTACAATTAATAATAATAATAATAATCTCAGGACAATTCACACAGCGCCATCTAGAACCAAGGTAAGCTAGCTAAAGCCTGTCTTATGGGTACTAGATAACTGATACAAATACATAGATATTGTTTTCGTAAATACATACATAATATACATAGAAAACACCTAGAACGATACAAACAATCATACTTATGAATACAAATGTTTGTGCCGTGCGAGGAATTGAACCCGCGACTACCGGACGTAAAGCGGTGTACTAGACCGCTAGACCACCGAGGTCGTCGAGATTTGTATTCATGTTTGTATTATCGTGGGATTATTATGGAGATGTATGTATGATGTTGTATGTATTTCAGTGGGCGGCATTTACACGGTGATCAGATCGAAGGCGTATGTCTCCACGGAGGAAATGGGTGAAAACTATTGCTTGCTTGGTGAGTTCTATTTCTCTTTAATACGATCCTTTATTTAATTTTTTACCCGAATGGAATGGCATGGATGCAAAGCATTAATTTTATTTTTTAATATTATTATGTGATTGGAATGCCAAACCAGTGTTTTTAATACGCATAAATTTTTTATTTTTATATTTTTACCTAGGAAATATTTTATTCTGTGTTCCCTTAATATTGTAAAGCACGGTGAAGGTTTCCAAGCAGTAAGGTTTTAATATCATTTATTTCTTTGTACAATACAGTGTTACAAGTAGGTCTTACCATATTGAATATTATGTCCAATGTATTCAGCCTGCATACAGGCGTGTAAAAGTTATATAGGTACTACTAGATGTGCTCGCAGTTACAACCACGTTAAATTTCAATTTAAAGTATAGCCTATGTGTTATTCTGATGTATAAGCTATACTACTATAAAGTTTCATCCAAATCCATTCAGTAGTTTTTGCGTGAAGATGTAACAAACATTCATACTTACAATTTTTCGCATTTATAATATTACTTGCTACTCGCCCCGGCTTCGCCCGGGTATACATGTATTATACACATAAACCTGCCTCTTGAATCACTCTATCTATGAAAAAAAAGCTTCAAAATCCGTTGCGTAGTTTTAAAGATTTAAGCATACATAGGGACAGACTGCAACAGCGACTTTGTTTTATACTATGTAATGATTAATATAAGATATATATTAAATATTTCTAACAAGTAAATTAAATTGTTTGTTGGTATGTTAAAATATTATAATTCTTTGCCCAATAGTTTCAAGACAATACATAATTAAAAACTTTTTAAAAGCTGGTTACGTTATTTTTATTGGAACAGTCTTTTTATAACATTGATAAATTTGTTAGCATAAAAATTGTATAACAACATATACAATTTAAATTGTTGCTGAGTAAATAATGATAATTATATGTGTAGTACGTTTATATTATGTAGCGTATATGCCCCAATTTTCGCTAGTAAAAAAGGTTATGCAATACATTATAACAGGTCCATATAAGGAGCAGTGCGCCCGTACAGAAGTTGAAGAGGCGGATTTCCCGCCAAATTCGCCACTGACAGCCGCTGTCAACGTCATGAGAAGTCACGGACATAAGGTTCGTAACCAGAAACTTATAAACCTATTCTTGAGTACGTCATATCAATATTTCAAGATGTATAACTTGTTAAGATTGAAAATATATAAGAAAACACTATCGAAAACAATGGCTGTATGGGTTGAGTCCTTTTGCCTTTCCCTGAAAGGGAAAAACCGAACCAAAAAAAAAATGAGGTTCTTAATTGCCTGAAAAAAGATTCTAATGATTCGGTATTAAAAAAACATACCCAAATTTTCAGCTTTCTACCATTAACCCCTATTTTTAATAGCGATATTAGTACTTTAATTGAAATGAGGTATATCACTCTATATTAGAATAGAATAGAATAACATTTATAGTCCGAGATCCCGCTGCAGAATCAGTGTACCCATCGAGTGTTTGCTGAAAACCAAATTTTTACACATATTTATCATTAGGAGAATTTATATCTACCAGGTTGCCTATCAAAATGTACTAATCCGCTAGTATTTTTAATTAAATTATTAATAATTCATAATCCGTAAGAAATTTCATTGACTTGTTTTTTCAGTAAAATGTCGTTCACTTTACAGCAACATCTATAAAGACTGAAAAATCATGGTTGCCGTTGCGCACCTGGCCGCACTTTTCGCAGCCAGGTGTACACATCGGTATTTTTATTACATTTATTTATGGCACCCACAACGTACATTCATAATTTATATATCAAATTAAAGCTAATTTTTTTCTGTTTATTATCATATACGGTTGCCTAATTAAATCTGGCCGCAAATAAGGGTTGCTGGCTATTAAATATAGTATGCGTCTGACGCATGCCATGCCATTGCGCATGCGTCTGACGCATGCGCAATGGCTTTAAACTGTCCGACAGCTGGCAATCGCTATCCTCGTTTGACTAGTGGTGTTACGCGCTAGCTCTCTTTCACTCTACTTTTAATATTTACTATATTTAATAGCCAGCAACCCTTATTTGCGGCCAGATTTAATTAGGCAACCGTATATGATAATAAACAGAAAAAAATTAGCTTTAATTTGATATATAAATTATGAATGTACGTTGTGGGTGTATAATTGTAATAAAATCATACCTGTGTACACCTGGCTGCGAAGAGGTGCGGCCAGGTGCGCAACGGCAATTTTCCATGATTTTTCACAGTCTTTATAGATGTTGCCGTAAAGTGAACGACATTTTACTTAAAAAACAAGTCAATGAAATTTCTTACGGATTATGAATTATTAATAATTTAATTAAAAATACTAGCGGCCACATTTTGATAGGCAACCTGGTAGATATATTCTCCTAATGATAAATATGTGTAAAAATTTGGTTTTCAGCAAACACTCGATGGGTACACTGATTCTGCAGCGGGATCTCGTACTATTATTACATCACACATCACAACACAATAAAAACGATGCTGACAGCTGCATATAAATTATTATATAAAATAAACGTAAATAAAAACAATCCATTAAATTAGAGGTGAAATCATAATATACAGAAAAATAAATATATAAGAGAACAAAATAGTAACAAACAAGTAAATAATAATATATAATAAAAAACCAATACTGAATATTACGAGTAGGGTAACCAGATTTTTTTTAGCCTATCAGGGGCAAACGCTTAAATAGGCAAAATAATACGGGAATTTCTTCATTCTTTCTCTTTTTTATATATTTTTCTAAGGAGCAAGACAGTTTTTTATTGGTTTTAACATATTTATAAAAATCAATACAATTATAATCGTAATGAAAAGCGGTCATCAACTAGTTTTTATTAAATTAGGGATACGAGATTTTGCGTGCGTGAATATTTTTGTCTAGCGTAGATCGATCGATTTAATAATAAAAAACGTAGCTCGATTCAAATACTGGACAGAGTCAGTCCCGCCGGGACATTTTAATACATATATGTGTCCTTTGTTATATTATTTGTAATTCTTCTTTATTGTATGCTGCGAATAAAGTATATTCTATCTATCTATTTTAAAATCAAATGTGTAGACTAATTGTGGTAACATGGTCAGGTCCACACTGGCACGTGGCTGGTGGACGGCAACCCTCAGATCATACTGTTCGACATCGGCTCTGCGGCCTGGCAGCTGGACTCATACAAGCAGGAGCTGTGGGACACCTGCTCCGTCGGCATACCGCACCTCGACGTGGAGGCTAATGACGCCGTCATACTCGGGTTCATGGTCGCGCAGTTCATAGCTGAGGTGAGCTTGTTTGATATTAACTAACTCTATGTGTTAGTTTTTAATTCATTTAAAAAACAAACATGTTCAATTTGGATTTTTAAACACGTACAAAAAACGCATGTAGCTCAATCAATCTGTATGTTTCTGTGGAATTATAGCTCCTAAACGGAGACCGATTTTGGTGCGTTTTCTAATTGACAAAAGAATTCCTTCAACTTTTTAAAATATATATTATATTATACTTGAATATGTAAATTAGAAATGTATTAATCCGAAAATGCAAAATGATAATGAAAAATGGACTTTAATTTTGAATTCTGAAAGTCGATTTTACACTTTTTTGGACTCAATAAAACTACTTTAACTATAAGAAACTGTATGTTGTTGTAGTTTCGCATCGACTTTAAGGATTTAAAGTCGTATGATGTATTTTTATCCTCGTATTAAATCGAAAATCAAATAAAAATGGAAAAGCGACTTTAAGTATAAGGCATTAAAGTTGATTTCACATATTTTATAATTCTAAAAACTGTATTGTATTATGTATGTAAATTATATTGTTGTAGTTTCGTAAGGCTGCCGAGGGCTACAGCGACACGCCGCCGCGCGTGGTCGCCCACTTCCACGAGTGGCAGGCTGGCGTCGGACTTATCATGCTCAGGTAATCAGGAATGATAACTGTTAAAACTGTTACTAAGAGTAATTATGATGGTGATGATGGCGGTGATGATGATAGCCATGATGATAGCCATGATGATGGTGATGATGATGATAATCAACTCTTAATCTTCCCTCTCATAGAAAATACAGTTACATAACCAATATGCAAATAGCGCTATGGATAAGTTGAAAAAAATATGGAGGAACTGAAAAATAACAAAGAATATAAAAGTGAGATTAGTGCGTACACTCGTGTTCCCCATATTTCTCTACGGTGCGGAGACCAAAAGTGAGATTAGTGCGTACACTCGTGTTCCCCACATTCGTGTACACTCTACGGTGCGGAGACGTGGACCCTGCGGGATATAGAAAAGAAAAAGATAGACGCTCTGGAAATGTGGTGCTGGAGAAGAATGCTTCGGGTATCATGGACCGAATTCAGAACAAACGTTTCTATACTCGAAGAACTCGGCATTACACAGCGTCTATCAGCAACAACACAATCACGCATTATTACCTCCTTCGGTCACGTTTCACGTAAAACGACGCATCCATAGAGCGACTTGTCATACAGGGTAGAGTTGATGGCACTAGACCCCGTGGACGATCACTCATGCGATGGACCGACCAAATCAAAGCAGCAATAGGAGGTCCACTCCACGAGTGTACCAGAATGGCAGACAGTAGAGATAAATGGCGAGCTCTCGTGCGGTAGATGACATCAGCCTCACATCCCACTACGTAATGACCACGACCGTTCTGACAAGAACGAAGCGAATGAGAAGAGAAAAATCCAATATGTACAAATAAATAAAATCATTACTCGCCATGTAAGGGTGGTAATTAATTGGCAAATGGTAGGTATGACATTTGAGAGTATACTGTCCGTTTACTGCTATAATTGATACTATGTACTACTTACTTAGTACATACATCCTTGCAGTACCCCATGATTTAGGGACTACAGTATCCTACCTCCTTATTCTGTCATTTTGTTGCCCATTTGTAGGGTTTCTTGATTTAATCCTAATAATTGTTATAGTAATTAGTTCTAATATATTTTTAATACTTACATAGAAACTCTTTATTTATAGGGTCCGCCATGTAGATGTCGCCACTGTGTTCACTACGCACGCGACGTTGCTCGGCCGATATTTGTGTGCGGGCAACACTGATTTCTATAACAACTTAGATAAGGTATTATTTCCTTCATTTATTTCTATGTTATTTTGAAAACGCTGGTAGTGCAGTGTTACTGCGTTATCGTTATGTGCTATAATTCGCAGATTCGATTACCGCTGAACGCTTAACACATGTTACAGTTTCCCGATTTAATTTGTTTTGTTACCGATATTTCCATTACCGGACAGCTAGTAACAATATGCAGTTTTTTTGTTGTCGTCCATATTTGAACTCAAGAGCTTTGGGCTCAAAGTCGGGCAGTAAACCACTAGGCTACATCGTTCTCAAGATAGCACAATGTCTCAATCATATATTAATATTATAAGACTTGGTATAGACGCCACTTATACGCAACTATCCCTTTCACAGTTCTCAGTAGACGAAGAAGCGGGAAAGAGACAGATATATCATCGTTATTGCATGGAGCGCGCTGCCGCACACATGACTCATATATTCACGACGGTATCCGATATTACGGGTGAGTAGTACCATCTTGCTTCGTACACAATAAATATAATTTAGGGCAGGCACCCGTCATCAGTATACCCATAGACTGATCTGTATTTATAAAGTAGCTATATTTATATATATATATATATTCTTTATTGCACGTATATATATAGTGTAGACGACGTGCCTCGCGACTGCAAACCGGACCTGTAATATAAAACATTAAAAAATTAATAAAAATAAACATATAACAATATATAGAAATAACCATACAAATATAAATGATTACTTACCTTTTACTACATATATGCATAAATTGATACTTCACTGTTAAAATATATTGTTTGTTTGTAGGGTGTATCTGTAAAATTTAATGTTACATACCTGTATACCTACTTATTTGGTAATTAAATTGATCCTACCGCTTGTGCGTAAATAGCGACACCTATAGCAGTTATCACTTCCCTCGCACCGCAGGCGAACGCGTCCACTACCCTCACGCTATATATGCGCAAGCGACACGGACAGCTGTAAACTTCAATCGTTTTTCATTACTGAATATTTCACCACTCCACGCTTAACTGTATCGGCTTCATATAGTAAGAAATAACTTATAGAAATCATTTATAAATGAAATTGTGAGCAATAGTGGGCTTATCTCTGAAAGAGATCTCTTCCAGCCAACCAAATGCGTGACAGATATATACTTTTATTGTATACTTTTGTCAATCATGCTAGTTGGCAGTTTGTATTCACACAAAATTTTAATATGTAATGCTGAACAACATTTATTTAAAAGAGCCAATACAGAAGTTACTTGTTCGTTTTTATTGAATTTTAAATTGAGTCTGCTTTCTGAATTATAAAAACAATATTATATGACTTTTCAAAAGTGATTATGTTAAGTTTATTTGAATGAAGATTATTTCTATTTCTAGGATAATTGATCTATAGCGCTGTTATTAAAAAGTTTATTATTTGTTACTAGGATACGAAGCTGAACACCTCCTCAAACGGAAGCCAGACATCATCACACCCAATGGATTGAACGTGAAGAAGTTTTCAGCTCTACACGAGTTCCAAAATCTACACGCTTTAGCCAAGGACAAGATTAATGAATTTGCGAGAGGCCATTTCTATGGGTGAGTATAGTTATTACAGAGGTGCTACAATTCCTGTAGTCTATAATCATTGTTTAGAATTACGTTGTCGAATGCAAAAAGGTTTTTCCAAATTCGATTGGAATTTTCTGAACTGATTTTTCGAAAGTTCTCTGTAATATAGCTTATATATCAGAATTACATATAGACTATAATTGAAAAAGATATGTAATTTGGGCGAAATATAACGATAAATGTCAAGTAAGTGTGATGCAGACGAAGTTACACGGGTCAGCTAGTTTTTTTTTTTTATAACACAGGGGACAACCGAGCATGCGGCTCACCTGATGGTAAGTGATTACCGCCGCCCATGAGCACCCGCAACATCAGGGTAATTGCAAGTACGTTGTCGGCCTTTTAAAAAGGAATAAGCTCTTTTCTTGAAGGTTTCAATATCGTATAGGTTCGGAAATACCATTGCTGGAAGGTGATTCCACAATGTGGTTGTGCGTGGCGAAAAGTTTCTAGAAAACCGCACTGTGGAAGACCGCCATTCATCTAGATGATCAGGATGGTATTTCAGTTTCTGGCGGGTGGTACGGTGGTGAAACTCAGCAGCTGGTATTAATCCAAACAATTCCTCAGAACACTCCCCGTGATATATGCGGTAGAAAATGCACAGAGATGCAATATCTCGCCGCAAAGCCAATGGGTCGAGTCTGTCACATAGACGTTGATTACCAATAATTCTGACTGCTCGGTTCTGAATGCGGTCAAATGGAAGTAGCTGATATTGTGGTGCTCCCGCCCAGAGATGAGAACAGTATTCCATATGCGGCCGGATCGGCGCCTTGTATAATTGCAAGTTTATAATATTAGTATTATTTTATGTCCGCAGGCATTTCAACTTCGATTTAGACAAAACCCTGTACTTCTTCATCGCTGGCCGGTACGAATATGGAAACAAAGGCGCTGATATCTTCATTGAAGCGCTGGCCAGGCTTAACCATTATTTGAAGGTATAAAAATGTTCATCCTTGTTTCATCCCCGGGATGTCGCATTAGGGGATTATGGGAACATTTATTTGAAGGTATGAAATGTTCATCCTCACTTCATCCCCGGGATGTCGTATTAGGGGATTATGGGAACATTTATTTGAAGGTATGAAATGTTCATCCTCACTTCATCCCCGGGATGTCGCATTAGGGGATTATGGGAACATTTATTTGAAGGTATGAAATGTTCATCCTCACTTCATCCCCGGGATGTCGTATTAGGGGATTATGGGAACATTTATTTGAAGGTATGAAATGTTCATCCTCACTTTATCCCCGGGATATCGTATTAGGGGATTATGGGAACATATATTTGGAGGTATGAAATGTTCATCCTCATTTCATCCCCGGGATGTCATATGGGAACTTTAAATCAATACATGCAAGCAAGCAATCATTAACTCGAAATCCTGTTCTAACCAGTCTGGTTTCTACTACGAGGTAAGGTTCGGATGGAACTCTGGAAAAATCATTAAGTTCACTGCGATTATAGTGTGTTAATTTATGATGAGTATTGTTGGGATAATTATGTATAAATTAAAAAATATCTTCAATAATTATACTGCAAACCGTTATAGGATACGTAGGTTTCTTTATGTCATTGAAATAGCAAATAAGTTGACGTTGAAATTCGTGAATGGCACTACGGACATCACATTATCATGTGACACCATTGTTCTCACGGCTTCCCAGTGTTCATGGGTTGCCATTCCAGAGCACTATGACAAAGATATTATATCTCTTATCCTGTAATTTCACTGCTTTATCTGCAACCTACAACTGAAACACAGCGTACAAAGCAAGCTGCTTAGTGGCTAAAATAGGTAAGATTAGAAAAGGTACCCAAGCATATTATTACTTTAAAATATCTAAAAACCTTCTAATGTTTTATTTCAATTATATTCTGAATCTGGTGCAATAAATAATAAATAAAAAAAAATATTAATAATTCCTAAATGTACTGTATTAATAGTGTTGTATAACGGATCATCATCATCTGCTTCTTCCTTATCCCATTTATTTGTGGTCGTCGTAATATGTTTTTCGCTTCCATTCAACCCTGTTCGTAGTCATCGCGTTATTTACTTACTTTCTTACCATATCATCTTTCACACAGTCCATCCATCTCTTTTTCTGCCTTGTTGTATAACGGATATCTGTTATATTCCACAGTCATCTGGGTCTGAAATGACAGTGATAGCGTTCCTGATCTTCCCGGCGAGGACCAACAACTTCAACGTGGAGAGTTTACGAGGTCACGCCGTCACAAAAGCACTGAGGGACACCATACAGGACATACAGCAGAAAGTCGGCAAGAGGATGTACGATATATGCTTGAGGTAGGAACTATAATGGTAGTACTCGGCGATTTTTCAATTAATATTAGATTAATTGATTTTCCTACAGTTCTTTTTCCATTTTAATTCAAACTTATGGTAATTATATTCTACGATATAATAAATATTATAAAATGTAATAGAATAGAAAATCATTTATTCAAATCATCCTACAATAGTCATCACATTTTTTTAATCTACCGCTCATTCGGAAAGCTGTCTCATCACAAGAAGGAACGAACGAACGAACGAGCAGGAAATTTGCGTGTTGCTCTTTTAAATAATTTTATTGTTACTTTATATTTCTAAGTTGAAGTGTGTGAATACAAATTACCAATTGGCACTAATTCAATTAAATACTCAAATTGAGAAACTAAATAAGACTAAATTAGTCGTAGTGATTAGATTATTGTGATGACATTTGATGATGATGATGACCATGATGATAATGATGATGATTACAGGGGACACTTGCCCGAGGCACCGGACCTACTCCACAAGGAAGATACAGTGCGGCTCAAGCGCTGCATATATGCGCTGCAGCGGGACGGACTGCCACCGATTACTACACACAACGTTGTAAGTATAACCATACTGTGATAAGTTCCTTTTCAAATCACATCAAATCCAATGGCCTCGGTGGCTTAGTGGTTTAACACACCGCCTTACTTCCGATGGTCGCAGGTTCGAATCCTCGCACCGCACAAACATTTGTATTCATGAGTATGATTGTTCGAATCGGTTAGGGTGTTTTCTATGTATATTATGTATGTATGTACGAAAAAAATCTAAGTGTTTATGTCAGTTGTCTAGTACCCATAACACAAGCTTTAGCTAGCTTAACTTGGGTCTGTGTGGCGGTGTGTGAATTGTTCTTGAGATTAAAATAAAATCAATATTTTTTTTATATTAATATATTTTCCCTACTCCAAATAACTCTTCAACATAGTGTATGTTGAAGAGATATAACTAATCGGGAGAGGTGTATGATATCATATGCTTTCATTCTAGGTCGACGATTGGAATGATCCAGTTTTGAATGCAGTCAGAAGATGTCAACTGTTCAATACAATCAACGATAAAGTCAAGGTAACGTACACTTCACTGTCTTGCACTTTAGTTTGAAAAAAAAAGTATAAATTTACAAAACTGTGGGCCTTATGAAGAAGCTCTGAGTCACTCAGAAGACAATGGCTCTACATTGCCCTCTGAGTGACTCAGAGCTCAGGCAGAGAGTCTGGCTATGCTCGGAGTTTCTCTGCGTGATCAAATCGTAAATGAAATTATCAGAACCGATTTTTTTTTAATATAAAAAAAAATAATCATAGTGACCAACATAGCCCGAAGAATTGACATAGCCTGAAGTGCCAATGGGCAGGGCACATAGCTCGTAGGACCGATGGCCGTTGGGGCAGTCCAGTCCTCGAGTAGCGACCATGGATCGGCTGACGCAATGTGGGAAAGCCAGCAAGGTGGACCGATGATCTGGTCAAGATCGCTGGAAGGCATTGGATGCGAGCAGCGCAGGACCGATCGTCGTGGAGATCTTTGGGGAGGATTTGTTGGTTGTTGTTGTTATGATGACGATGACACAAAAATATATCCAAGTTTTTATATCAGTTGTCTAGTCCACACACAAGTTATGCGTACCATGAGACTAGATGGCGCTGTGTTAATTGTCCAGGGTTATATATTGATTTATTTATTGTCAGGTGATCTTCCACCCAGAGTTCCTAACGTCAACCAATCCACTGTTCGGGCTGGATTATGAAGAGTTCGTCCGCGGCTGTCACTTGGGCGTGTTTCCCTCGTATTACGAGCCATGGGGCTACACCCCGGCAGAGTGTACCGTCATGGGTATACCCAGCATCACTACCAACCTATCAGGTCAGTTTAATATATTATTACTGGGAGAAAAGGAGATTGTTAGTAATGGGACTGATCTTATTCCTAGCAATGTACCATGTCAGGTTGACCTCCATGCGTTTCCTGGAAACCTTCGTGATAAATTTCTTGATGAATTTGTCACGATGGGCCAACTGACCTAACCTCTCATCTTATTATCCTCCACTGGTGCCCTGCCAACGTAAACCGTTAGCGCAGGCGAGTGCATCATACCTTTATCATCCATAAAAAATATATATTGTCACTGAGGGGAAAGGGGATTAGAATCGAATAGAATAGAATAGAAAATCATTTATTCAAATAAACTTAATTTAAGCACTTTTGAATAGTCAACAATTTTTTTTAATCTATCGCTCATTCGGAAAGCTGTCTCATCACAAGAAGAATAAGCAAGAAACTTGTGTGTTGCTCTTTTAAACAATCCTTGTAAGTTCACATTTTACAAGTCAAAACGTGTGAATACAAACTACCAACCAGCACTAATTTATTTAGGCTCAAATGTAAAAACACAATAAGATTAAATCAGCCTAGTGATAAGATTGTTGGTAATATTAGGTGACATCATTTCGTGAGTCAGCTGTCACTTACACTGGAGGTGGTGAAGCATAGTTCACATTACTAGTCTATACAATAATATAATAAGTTGCCTATAGATTTCAAAAATGTGTTATAAAACTATAATTAAAATTTTAAACACTAACTATAGGATTTCTTATTTAAGAAGTGTTATTATCGTCGCAGTTTAACTAAATTAAAAATATATTAATTAAAAATGGTCTTTAAAGCAAATTTTGGCGAGTGCAATAAAAATATATAAAAGACGTTATTTGTAATTTTTTCACTCATTTGACTTTGAAATAGTCACCATTCGAACGATCCAATAAAAATATCTCGCCGTTCCTTTTTGTATAGACTCGATCGGACGGGACTTGTAATTTAAAACTGATTTGTATTCACGAGTAATATATATTAATAAATATTATATATTAATGAAATAGTTATAATGAAGACATAGATAAATTTATAAAAATAAATTTTTATTTTTATTTTAATTAATTTAAATAAATTTATTTTTAGTTTATACATTTTATTTGAATATATTATTTTTTCTTTTCAGTTTTCATGCAAATCATATAGCAACGTAATTGTCATATGACATATATGAGTGACTGATATATCTCTAGTATGGAATACATAATGAACGATTTAACTGTAGTATATTAGTCCTCTGTTAGATCTGTTCCCACGATTCGTAATAATGTTAGGTTTATTTTTCAAATAAAAGTAGCTTTAAGAATGGTTTATTTTGTTCCACTCCATTTAGACCACGTTTCGTCCGAGTTTTAACAGATTTTTCCTGCATCATAATTTTATCCCCAATAAGATTAAATCAAAGTCCTATTATAAGATTGTCGGCATATTAGGTGACAATCTTTACATAATTTCAGCTGTCAATCAGTCTAAAATCTGGAAGTGGTGAAGCATAGTTCACATTACTATTTTACAATAATATAAAAATCCTTCTTATTTATTTAAAATGTATTATAAAACCCATATTAAAATTTTAAACACTAACTATACATATAATATAATATTTAAAAACCAATGTTATTATCGTCGCAGGTTCGATACCTCGCAAGGTTTTTTTTTTCGGACTACTTTAATGCTGTTTGCCGCAGCTGGCCTTTACAAACGCTTCACCGCGTTGTGACTCGTGTGCAGATGGCACCAAACAATGTCAGGACTTATGGAGCGGCTGAATCGACAATGTCCTGCTCCTGACGGATACGACTTTAGTCTGAGGGCACCGCTAGGGGTTTGAACCTCGGCTCAGGCCGTCGGAACATCGGTCCCCGTTTGAATTGGACGGGGGATCGATCGGACGGGACCTCGTAATGTGCAAACATTTGTATTCACGAGTATGATATATTTCTATGTATATTATGTATGTATTGACAAAAAAAATGTTTAAGTATCTGCTTACCGTCGGACTAGATGGCGCTGTGTTAATTGTCCAGGGTTATTTTTTTTATTATTATTTATTTTATCAAGCTAGGTTTTAGTATACATTAAAATATTAATATAATGATTTCTTCCAGGTTTCGGCTGTTTCATGCAAGACCACATAGCGGATCCTATGTCATATGGCATATATGTGGTAGACCGCCGGTATATATCTCTAGAAGGTTCTCTGACAGAAACTGGCGTCAGTATATGCCAAACTTTTTTTAAGGACACGATATCCTTGAGTAGGCTGGTAACATCGACGTGATCAAATGTCCGGAGGAATTTAACTTTATTTTTCTAAACAAAAGTCGGCAAAGTCGTCTATTATTTTGTTATAATGTCTCAATTTATTCGTTCCATTACGTCTACTGATAGACACCATCTGATTACTTACATTGCACTCATCCCAGATTTTATCGCTCCGCGATGTCGTCCTGAATTTACACACAGTCTGGACTGCATTTAAGCGTCCAACGTCCAGCTTCTGCTGCATAATAGCTACAATCTTTAATTTCAGTTCAACATGTCTAAAACTCTACTAGCAGATTTATACAAGCTTTCAATTACGATATTAAATTAATTATAATACGTGAAATCGCGCTTATCAAAACTTCTTAGGAGATGCCTACGTCATAGTAGTTTTATGCATGCAAAGTCTCAGCCTGATAGGTTTAAAATTGACAAAGTTTCATACAAACTTTCATCCCTTTCGTCATAACATCTACCTGCATGCCGAATTTCAGCCCGATCCATCAAGTGGTTTGGGCTGTGCCATAGATCACTATGTCAGTCAGTCAGTCACCTTTGAGTTATATATATTTCGATTGTATTTGCAATGTGTGTGTACCTATAAGTATTATACATAAGTAGATATAGGTAGGTTGGCTGCATGCACCTAACTAACGAGTTAATAAATCAGTGCATCTATTTAACAAACTGTCTAGCAGCTACCGACCCGCTACTTTGTCCTCTTGTAATTTAACAAAAATGTGTACGTTTAGCTCACAGAGTTTATGAAAATTTAATAATTGTGCATTCCACGAAAAATAATATATAATTAATCTGTACATATAAATAAAATTGGAGTGTCTGTTTGTAATATTGTAATAACCGTTTTTTACTACATGCATATGAATATAAATACTGTACATACACGAAAATATTTTTTTTTACAATTTTTGTCTGTCTGTTTGTTCCGGCTAATCCCTTAGATGGCTGGACCGATTTTGATGGGAAGGTAGCTGATATAATAAGGAGTAACTTAGGCTACTTTTATTTTAGAAAATAAGTTAAATTCCACGCGGACAAAGTCGCGTGTACAGATAGTATAATAATATAATGTATACATTCCCTTATTTATTTGTTTAGATATAAAAAATTTGAACGCGTTATAAACCCAACATCAAACAGATTGTGTTAATTTATATTTCTGAATGTCACTCCTGTGATGGAAACACCCAGAAAATAGAAAAAGAAATTGTGAGGTCGCTGTAGGTTCATATAAGTTAAGTTTCGTATCATATAAGTTAAGTATATTCAGGAGATATGTCAAGAGATATATCCACGACGCTGAAAGTTGACGATGTAATCCCAGCCGTGAAGGTGTATATATATGGCATCAAATTTAGCAACTGTTTGTTACAGATTGACCCGTCGCCAGCGAATTATCCAGAGAAACAGAACTGAGAGACTCTCAGATTTAATGGACTGGAGGAATCTTGGCATCGTGAGTAACAAATTGTAAATTTCCATATTTTAAAATGGCCAACGAGTCATGACTCCCTAAACGACTATTTATTTATTTACTATCTACTCGCCTAGGTTTCGACCTTGTGTATATGTATTATACATATAAACCTTCCTCTTGAATCACTCTATTTAAAAAAACCGCTTCAAAATCCGTTGCGTAGTTTTAAAGATTTAAGCATACATAGGGACAGACGGACAGCGACAGCGACTTTGTTTTATACTATGTTATGATATGTATACTATACTATAAGTTGCAACACAGATTTGGATATACTGTAATGGTGTGGTAATATTGAAATGAATATTAAATTTTTTTTTTTAATTTGAATAGATAGTGTCAGTCAGTCAATACTAATAAGTATGAAAAAAAATGCTATTGCTTTTTTGCAAGGGAGGTAGAAATGTAAAAAAAGAGGGGAGGATGGGACGGGGAAGTTTCTTTCACTTAAAAAACTATTTATTTCTTAGCATTACATTACATAGTATAAAACAAAGTCGCGGTCGCAGTCTGTCCGTCCCTATGTATGCTTAAATCTTTAAAACTACGCAACGAATTTTGAAACATTTTTTAAACAGATAGAATGATTCAAGAGGAAGGTTTATATGTATAATACATGTACACCCAGGCGAAGCTGGGGCAAGTAGCTAGTGCCTAATATAAACTTGTAAAAAATATATTCTTTTTAATAAATATATGTAATTTATTTCTAGTATTACCGGCAAGCTAGAGCGCAGGCGCTCAAAATAGTATATCCGGATTACGTGGACCATATGGATTTGGAACTTGGCAAACGGTTCAATTACCCGCGCCCGATCTCTGAGCCGCCTAGCCCCACACATTCCAGTAAGTTTTCACATTCAAGAAGGTTATATTAAGGTTTCTTAAGGGTCCGCAACCTGCACGTGACACCTGGTGTTTCAGGCGTCCATAGGCTACGGTAACCAGGTGGGCCGTATATTTGCCACCTACGTGGTATAAAAAAAAGTCAAACTAATATAATTTTACCGCATAACTTTATTTCTTAATTGCATGCATGTCCTGATTTAGTGACAGTTTTAACTATCCTTCCGAGAATTTTCATTCTCGGAATTATAGTTGAGAATGAATTATCATCGCAGCCTGGAAGACGTCCACTGCTGTACAAAGACCTTCCCCAAAGATTTCCACGACGATCGGCCCTGCGCTTCTCGCATCCATCGCTTTCCAATGATCTTGACCAGATCGTTGACATTGCTGGAGGCCTTCCCACGCTGCGTCTTCCGGTCCGCGGTCGCCACTCTAGGACTTTATTGCCCCAACGGCCATCTGTCCTACGAGCTATGTGCCCTGCCCTTTGCCACTTCAGTTTCGCAATTCTTCGGGCTATAACTGCCAATCTAGTTCATCTGCCGTTCTTCTCCTTTCTGATTCGATCACGCAGAGAAACTCCGAGCATAGCCCATAGAGAATGAATGATCTTCCGGAATTATTATACTATGGATGTATGTACCCATATACAGTTATATGACCTCCTTCATTGTACTCGTACGTAGACGAAGAGGGTCCTTAGTTTATATTAATCAACAAATATGTACCGAGAATTATTATTCTCGAAATGATAGTTGAGAATGAATGATTTTGAGGAATTATTATATTATGGATGTATGTACCCATATACAGTTATATGACCTCCGTCACTATACTCGTACGTAGACGAGGGGGGTCCTTAGTTTATATTAATCAACAAATATGTACCGAGAATTATTATTCTCGAAATGATAGTTGAGAATGAATGATCTTCCGGAATTATTATATTATGTATATATGTTTACAGTTATATGACCTCCATCATTGAACTCCGTCACACGTCACTCGTGTCTTACCGAGGACTTTATATTAATTAACAAATATTTCAATTTGAGTTGACCGTATTTATTACGTCGGAATGCTATTTAATAACGATATCATTGGAAGACAGTCTACAAATTTGTAATTATCACCTTTGTTTATTATTAAGGGTAACCACTAGACTATTATTATCACTATCTGATTATTAAAACTATAATTCTATTGGCAAACAGTACGTCGCCACGACCCGCCGAACCGTCTAACCATATCTTATCCGAAAGAGAACCTTTGCCAGAAAGAGACAAAAGACGAACAAATTCAAACGAGCGACCACCGCGTCGATGTTCAAAGAAAAAATCTTCTCAACCTACAAAAATCATTGGAAATATTAGATATATGTATCGATGAGACAGTCGGTATAGACGTCTCTTTCGAAAAGTCGAACTACGCCGAATCGGAACACGAGAATTACCGAACGCCAAACGAGACGTTCGTGGAACCGTTGAGTGAAGAAATGGTGGAGCAAATCGATTTGCTGATTGCCAAACTTAACGACTGTACAGAAAGAAATGACGCGGAAAATGATGTCGTTTAGGTTATACTTTTGCGTTTTTTTTATATCATTTAGGAATTGCTTTTTACATTGTATTTATTTTCTACACTACTTATTATGCACTCATTATCACCTTATTATACCTCTGTATGAGTTGACTAAAAGAGATGTCTTCCAGGGATTCACTCTTTGTCCACTTTTTGTCACTGTCTCTAAATTATTTGATTTCTGTATTTTCTAAGTGCAAATATAGTTTTGTGTACACGGACTTTGTAGTTAGGAGTAATTATTTTTTATATACATATATTTGTTGGTAGTTTTGGGAGAATACGTTTTCAGCGGGAAGTTATAAAGGAGAGGAGATTAAAATATTATAGAATTACACTATTTGTTGACTGCTTCGGTGGTATGGCGGTCTAGATTTGAGTAAAATCGCCTATACTGCGATAACGAGATCAGGGACAATATTGGACCAATGGTGGTGGGCGTAACTTTGCCTCGTAGGACACTAGGAGAAGACTCTGATTTAGCTACACACGATTTTTCGACGACCTCGGTGGTGTAGCGGTCTAGCACACCGCTTTACGACCGATGGTCGCGGGTTCTCGCACGGTACAAATATTTGTATTCATGAGTATGATTGGTTGGTCTGGGTGTTTTCTATGTATAATATGTATGTATTTACAAAAAAAAAAATCTATGTATTTGTATCAGTTGTCTAGTACCCATAACACAAGCTTTAGCTAGCTTAACTTGGGTCTAGATGGCGCTGTGTGAATTGTCCTGAGATTATTATTATTATTTTGAACGCAATATCCACCGCTGTTCCCATATTATCCCTGATTTGAAGATATAATTAGTAATTTGGTGCTCTTGTTAAATTTGTGTTTCAACGAGTTTAGCTGCAGCTTAGATGTAATAATGGGTATTATTCGTTGCAACTACTGCACTTTATAGTAAACCATAGTATAGTAAAGTAAATCGTAGTATAGTAAAAGTTGTCTACTGTTCGTAAGAGAGGTAGCTTCATTGCATTCTAGTGTGCTTTTATAAATTGTTTTTGCTTTTACTTTAACTGTGTACTACCAATAGGTAAAATACTATTTTATATAAATCTCCATTACCATATTCTATATAAATCACCATTTGAGAAAAATATATCTCAAATGGTGATTTATATAGAAAATCATAGTACTTTATCTTACCGAATTACATCAACAGCAGCTTGCTTCGTTAGATATGTTTCGATGTTTCAATTACTTTGTTATTTCCGTGGTTCGGTACCAGTGAAATAGAATTGCAAATATTTTGGTATGACCTCAGAAATGGTATATATTTTGTTCCAGGAGTCACGACCCCAGCAGCCTCTATCCACGGGTCAGATGACGAAGATGAAGTTGATGAGGAGAAGGAATTAGCGGAACTCAGGATTAGCGATAAATAACTTTAAGTTACTTAGGTAACAAATTCCTCCATTTATAAACACGCCATGAAATATTAACATAAGAACAATATATCTTTATTCATGTAAGTCTATCATAGGGGCTATCCATAATTTGTGTCAAGCGTGAATTAGGGGTACTGAGAATGTCTCAAAGTGAGACTTTGTTTAACAAAGCGTAAAATATTTTAGTACTAATATATGAAATTTTTGCTATAAAACGTGACTAGCATATAGGGTAAAAATTACAGAAATTGGAACTTATAATAAATAAAGTCTACTGTTTATTCGGTATGTAGTTTGAGCTGAGAACTTTCGAGAAGATCTGCTCTTACTCCTTTCAAATGAGAATATTCATAATTATGATACATATTAAAGGTTAAATTTGTTAAATTATATTAATAAGCTTCCAAACGGAGCCATGTGTGTCATATAACAAGGTGTAGGAGTAATAAGTCTCGTGACGTCACATTTCAATAACTAACACTTAGATGTGTTAATATGCGCAAGTTTTCATTTTAATAAAATACTATAAAATATTTCCATGTAATATGTCAATTATTTATTGTAAGTACTTTATAAAAATCATGAAAAATGGAATTATTTATAAACGAGTTGTGAAATATTGGTGTAGAATTTAGTATTAAGCCTTATTGTGTTTGTTCCTTTGCTTTTCCTACTGTGATCGTATATTTATACTTGAAAAATATATATAATGTCATGTTTATTTTTTCAACTGTTTAGTATTTATATTAACCATGTAATATGGATGTGTTTGACCAGAAATCAGTCACGTATGTTTTTGATATACCTTTTAAAATTTTATATTGTTGTAAATTATTTATGTAGTTTCTAAATAGGGATTTTTAAAAATGGAACAGTCAGGGGTTTTTTACTGTTTTTTTATATAGGTTTTTTATACAAGAGGTTTAATATAATTAAAGATTGCTTGAGTAAGAATTAATGAGGTTGTCTATATCATCTGATACCATTTGATAGATTTACCATTATTAGAAAGAGATGTGAAACAGCAGTATCTTCTTTCTCGTTTGCATTTAGAAGTAGAGTAGATCGAGAATGTGTAACATTCACGATAAAAAAATTGTCGTTTCCTTATTTGCTTATTTCTACGTTTGGCTCACAACTGAAAACTTTTTAGTCACCGATGAGTTATCAGCGTATTGTCTACATATCCATCACAGACATAATGATTACAGGGTTTTTATTGAAATAATTATTTATATTGTATTGAATTTTCTATTTTATTTGTTATCTATTTTATTAACTAATCAAATTTAGATATGTTTTTGTTATTATAAATGTTAAATAACTCAGTCGTCCAGTGTGCCAATTTAAAAGATATTTTTAAGTAGGGGTGTTAAAGTTTAGTCAAAATTTATCTGTTTTATTTTTATAGTAGGGGCAAAACCTTTCAATATTTATTACTATGATTTTCTTTATCAGTAGCCCATTACTGAAAATTGCAAAATAAGATTTTTGAATATATTATATCTTTATAGAAAGATGCACTTAATAGGACAGTTCATGTTATAAAAAAAAACTATTCTTACAACGTCAACCTTCTTAATATGAACTTATATATATTATATCAATACCGAAATGAAATTATAATCACAAAAACAAGTTATACCCTTTTTTAACTACTAATATTAAGTTTTAAATCTTTTTTATCCTATTTTTTTTAATGAAACTATCATAGTTTTAGTCTTAAAACTAAAATGGTGTTGTTCCTATAAAATGATTGAGATTGTACACTATATACAGAGATTTCTTCTACATTTATAAATATTTATTAATATACATAAATTGTAAAATTTATAAGTCAGTCATGAATTGTTTTCCATAATTTTTAAATATTGCTAGTCTTATCATAAAAATGTCAAACTCGCTTTTGACGCGAGAATATGTGTTACTAAAAAAGAGCGGTCGATATTATATAATTATTCTCGTGCCTTTCTCTTCTATACCCCAAATGGAGTTTTGAAGAACTGTAAATTTACAATTATCTAGTGGATAGTGCCAAATTTTTTAATTAGTCTCACACGTGTCTTGCATTTTTCTTACCTTTAGAATAGTGGAGGTTAAGAAATTTACTCATTTCTTTATCTTTCCTTTCTGGGGTCTTTTGTGCCAAAATCTTCACCATTTCCACAATATATTAACTAGATTTTTTTAAATTTTATATTGTACATATATTCAGTTGGCTTCCATCTCTCTTACTCTAAATAATGTAGTCAGGAGCAATTTAATTTCATTGTATGCTTCGCAATGTGCACAATAAAAGTCGTAATGTCCTTGGACAAGCTCACACAGCGCCATCTAGTCCCAAGCTAAGCAGAGCGTGTGTGTGGCACTAGAGAACTGATATTAATACTTAGATACATTTATTTTTATAAATACATACATATTATATATAGAAAATTCCCAACCAATAACAACCAATAATTTTTATGAATATTAGTGTTGCGCGATGAATAGAACCTGCGACTATCTGAAATATGGTATGTAAGGCAGCTAGACTACCGAGGCCGTCATAGCAATAACAATGACATTTTAAAATTGTATGGTTTTTAAATTAAAATTGCGTCCCAATCATAAAATTACTCCCATGCATATATCGTCGCTTTCCTTCGAGGTATTTTTACGTTAAAAGTGTTTGTCACTTTCAACTTAGAAATTTAAAAAGCAACGGTTAGTTGAAATAGATTTAGTTTTTTTATTGACTAACGCAGTGGGTCTGTAATTGTAGATTTTAATTATTTTCTTAGATAGGCTATAAAATATATCATTGAATAATGAATTTATTTAGTAGTACTAAAAGTAGATTTCCAGTAATATTCTTATATTAATAATTTAGAATATGAATAAGAAATTATATGTTTTGAAAATAATTTATAATTTAAAAATATTAAGCCACCTGTACATTTGTAAGTTTTAATATCGTAATTGACTTACGATAAATTTATTTACGATAAACTGACATTGTCTCGTAAGTGACTTATTGTCATCTTATATATAAAATTCTCGTGTCACAGTTTTCGTTCCCATACTCTTCCGAAACGGCTTGACCGATTCTCATGAAATTTTGTGAGCGTATTGAGTAGGTCTGAGAATCGGCCAATATCTATTTTTCATCCCCCTAAATGTTAGGGGTAGTCCATCCCTAATTTTTTTTTTATTTTAAAGCAAAACAAAATTTGCCAGGACAGCTAGTTTTTACATAAATTTTCATTATCGTTTGGAATCGACCTAATATGTTTTGGTCCATATTATGTAACACATCTTTATATTTTATCGAAATTGAAGTTATTTTGTGGAATGAAGGGATGTTGCAGTTGTGGATGTTAGGAACTATAGTGCCTTGAAAGTACAGAGTTGCGTACCCCTTATTAAAACCGGTCAGGTTACTAGAATAAAATTTCTCAGACTGATTTTTATATGTAATTTTATCGTAAGTTATATTATCGTACTTACGATAGTAAAACTTACAAGGTATAGATACTAGCTCTTAGCGTTAACTAGCTCTTTACTGCCCTGTGATGACAGGAGCGGTGGTCAGAATAAACACATCCTGAATTACTCTACCTTAGACTAATTCCATAAACTATATATATTAGCAACTGCGTGACGTCGTTAGATAAAACGTACACTGGCACAATCTTCTATTCAACGTTTTGATTTCCACGTACCATATCACAGCCCTAACAATTTTAAATGTGGAGTTAAATATTGTTATATCTTTAATTGTTTACTACTAAGTAATTTCTATAGTTTTAAAAATATTTAAACTGAATATATTTATATCAGAGACCTTAAGTATAAAACTATTAGAGTGTTTTTGTCACACTCATTCTCTTCAGAAAATGGTACAAAAGAAAAGGACAGAACGAAACATTTGAATAAGTGGTCCATCGGATGTTTCGCGTAATAAGTTTGTATGAATAAGGCCCTTGTTAAAAAAAATATATTTTTGGAAATTGAATTTTAAGTGTTTATCTTTAAAATTGATTTTTCATTGCTAATGTTGCTATCATTAATGATATAACGTATAGTCTCTGGTTTTAAATCCCTATTTTTAAAAATAGAACATAACTGGTATGTTTTAACTATTGATTTGTTGTCCTTTTCTCGCCAACTCCATTCTTCATTTGGAAGAAAGTGACAAAACACTGTATTAGTATAGGCTTGTGGGAGGTTTAAGTTTTTTTTATGATTAACGGGGTTCGTGTTTGAGTATTTTATATAGTCTTTTGTATATGACCGATTGAAATGATTTACTTTTATATAGATATTATATTTTTAGGTACTTAAAATTATGTTTATTTTATGTTAACATTTATTATTGTCTCGCGGTCAAGGGCGACCGCAGTCGTGTGCAAGTGGTTCACGATGTAATGTGATTTATTAAAATAAACAAATTTTTTTGTGTACAAAATTACTAAATCAAATAATATTTGTTATTTTAGTCATGAAATCTTGAATTTAATAATAGTTCCTTGTTAAATTATTTTTAACCGACTACAAAATATGAGGTTTGGATTTTTATGTGATTTTTATAATGGTTGTTTAGAAAAAAATGTTTCTTCGTCTTGTGCCATAACCAGGGCTTGTTAACTATGGTTTAGAAATAAATATTGTTATATAGAAATTTGTTTTATTCATTCCCTGAACATATATAGTGTATGTGAAATAGAAGTAGTCTTCATTACATAGTATAAAACAATGTAGCGGTCGCTGTCTGTCTGTCCCTATGTATGCTTAAATTTTTAAAACTACGCAATGGATTTTGAAGCTGTTTTTTCTAATAGATAGAGTGATTCTAAAGGAATGTTGATATGTATAATACATATACACCCGTGCGAAGCCTGGGGCGAGTAGGTAGTTATATAAATAAACTTTTGAATAGTCATATTTTTTAATCTATCACACATTTGGAACGCAAACTCATCATAAGAAGAATGAAGAAATTTGTGTATTGCTCTTTTAAAAAATTCTTGTTCATATTACATTTTGTATGAATACAAACTGCTAAATAGCAAGTTGAAAGTTAAATAAATAGTTACTTGAGTAACTAAATAAATAAGTCATAGTTATAAAGAAAAAGGAAAGAAAATTGTTTATTTGGTACATAGCATACTGAAAATATTTTTGAATTATTATTTTTTATTATAGATACATTATAATAAAAATATATATATATACATTATTAGCCAATTAGTAGGTATATATAATCCATAGTTATTTATTAAAAAAAAAACAGCGGTTTGTTATCCCGCCTTAGACTTTATAGGCAGTGTATATATATATATATAGTCCATACTAAAAAATCTTTATGTATTTATATTTTTGACTGTCTCTACAATGATGGTAACATCGATTATAATCCAAATTATAGCTGAAGAAAGTATATCTATACTAATATTATAATTGTGAAAGTAGACACGTTTGTTACGCTTTCACGCAAAAACTACTGAACCGATCATCATGAAATTTTGTACACATATTATTGGAGGTATTAAAATGAACAGGATACTTTAAATTAAAAAAAAAAAACAAATAATGTTTATAAAAAACAAAACTCAACATTATGCTACTTTAGCGCCATCTAACACCCAATGATGAAGTTATGCGAGCGTAGTCGCGGGTAAAAGCTAGTTATATATATTATAATTAAAAAACAGGTAAGTTTTAATTATTTTTATTAAAAACAAAAATTCTGATACAAAAATTCCTTATTTATTACTATTTACAATTTATAATCTACTCGTAAAATAGTCCTTAAAACCCATCAATAAAATACAAAATGGAATGTATTCATTAACAAATACGTTTCGTCCCTCCATACAAATTATACATAATATTGGAAAAATCATTTAGTTATTTAAAGCTTTTCGTGAGCTAATTTAATGTTTGACTAAGCACCAATGTTTTAGTGACAATCAGCCTATATCGCATTTGAATATCTTAATAAATATCATTTATCAATTGCTTTTGTAATAATTAAAAAACATTTTTTAATTCCATTAGAATTAATATAATGTTTATATGTGGGATTTGATGAAAGGACAAATAAATGCATAAAACGGAACGGCGAGCGGAAAGGAAAGAGAGAGATGTGCGAGAGCGAGGGAGACAGAAAGAAAATAAATGGCGTAGCATACAACTCCAGAAAGATGTAAAAAAGAAACAAATTGTTCGCTCCCATCAAATCCCATCTGGAATTATTTATCGAATACAAACATTGAATGTGAAATACTTACATATTATAATTATCTTTATTTTTTTAATAGTATATTATTTCAAAAGAATTTCTAAATATATTGTTCTCAAAATAGTAATAATAACTTTGCTAATTGACATAAATTTTTTCCTAGGTCTAAAAGAACACTTATTGGCTTTTTTTTTTAATTTTCATTTTGAGCAATTTAGTTTCATCAGGATTCGTAAAAAATTTTTATAATAAATATTTAATAGTTGTTTTTAGAGATAACTATTTTAAAATAAAAACATAGTTTATTATAAAAAATATACTTTTTTTAATAAATAATTTAGTTTTAATTTTTTGTGTAAATCTTTCGATATGAAAATCCAAAAACAAGTTCATCATCATAGAGAATGTAGATTTGGCTAAATTTGTTAGAGGCACTGGACTTAAATGTACACCAATAAAAAATGAAACATAAAAGAAATTGTCTATAAGTAATTTTGAGCAATTATTAATTAAATACTAGTTTAAACAACAAAGTATTTTTAAAGAATATGTCCCCACCGCTACCGATTCGAATTTATCGGTAAATTCACATTTAAACATCCAATTATGAAAAAATGAACCTTCACCATATAAATATATGATTTAAAGTTACAATGACAAACTTTAGAATTTATACCCAATGAAACTTTAAATTTTTTATCTGAAACATGATTGATGATTAAAAATATGTAAACAATAAGAATTACCGCTTAAAAAATATCGTTTAGAAATATTTCTAATGTTTAGTTTTGTATTTAATTTATAATATCATAGGCACGTAAATATATATAAATTTCGTATCAAAACGTTATAATACCTACTTTGTAAACATTTGTAATATAAACATAGTTTGTAATTATAGACATTGTTATCTTTTTAAAAAGTCTCCTGATATTTATCATCGACTAGCATTGCAACCAGGACTTGTTCATAATTTAACGAATTATTGTCTTTAATCGTAATAATTTGGTGTTGTCTTATCAATGTAAGTGATATTTTTAGTGATAAGTCAATTTTATATGGATTTTTAGTATTTATATGTGCTTTGTAATGATGTTTTAAGCCTCTGTTGGGATAATAAATTATGGTTGAACTGGTAACACTAAAAATATCATTTACATATTAGCATAGAATGGCTAATTTCACAGTCTTTGTTAACCAAATAAACAATTATAGCCATTTACACAACAATATACACCATATCATAATTTGAAACTTATATCTATCAACATAGTAAAATTTGGCCAATTTAATTCATAGATGAGACTCCATTAATTACAATAAAACATTATTTAAAAATAGTAAAAATAAAAAAAAATATATTAATCCGAGGGACTGCGATAGCCTCGACCCTGTTACCTTGGATTCAAATATACCCAGTGAAATCTCGGCATGTCAAGTGTTGCGTTTACCCTGACGTCAACAATTGGCAATGCCACTAACCACCGTATGTGGGATAACAGACGTGAAAGGAGAAAGGGGATTGTTAATAATGAGGAATAATAATCCCATTGCTAGCAAAGTACCATGTTGGGTTGTTCCCCCTGAAAACCATCGTGATAAATTCATGGTGAATTTACTATGATGGGCTAACTGACCTGATGTGATTATGCTCATCTTATTATCCTCCACTGGTCCCGCCAACGTAAACCGTTAGCGCAGGAGGCCGCAACATTCCATTCACATCCATAAAAAAAACAACCGTGAAGGTTATATATTATTATATCCCTACAAAGTAAGTCTACTTAGTCGTGCAGTGCAAGTTCAATGAAGTCTCAACCACTTTGTACAATATTAAATGAGCAAATTCCTTCTAACTTCTAATGAGATTCCTTAAATAATTGGAATCGATACATTCAGTCAATAACACAACCTAAATATACACCATAAAACCGTTTTTCAAATAGAGTTAAACTATAAAACCCAAGTATTTATGTTTTTGTAAATTAAAAAGTATTTCAAGTTAAAGGAAGTATATTATCATATACAGATAAACCTATAAATTGAATGAAACTAATGTCTGTAGTCATAATAGAACTTCCAAACTGTATATTTAGATGCCTTTCGGAAGTATATTAATAATTTTCATCAATAAAACTGTTATTATGTTAATATTTTTTGTTTATCAATACCTATATATATATAATATTTTTTACTTATCGAATAACAATGCAGATGCAAATACTTTCAGACTTATAAAATGTCTTTTATTTTATAATAAAGTATAACTTCATAAAAATCAGCTATATTTTTAAAATAAATATTAAACATTTGTGAGAAAATTAAATATCAATATAACTAGCTTTAAAGTTGAATGCAATTGATAGTTAAACTAGACGTTGATGTGAAAAACGGCTTATTAACAGAATACGACCCTACTAAGAAACTAAACTAATTTAGACATCTGGTAACCTGAACATGCTGTATCTCCGATTATGTTCAGACAAAATAAACGAGTTGTCTGCCCGTATTAAAGACTCTCTCTCAGTATTATTGAAATTAGATTTAACAAAATCAGTTCTTACAGCACTCTTCAATTCGTCCATACTTTGGCTAACTTCTCTACGAACAAAATCTAATTCTACATTTTTATCTTCTCTCGCTATATTTGGTGTCGATGGGATGGTGTTCAGCAAATGGTATGATGCGTCCCTACAGGGTAACAGCTTCTGGGAACTATTAATTATCATGGTAGAACCTCGTCGAATAGTTTCCTTGCTCAATTCTACTATTTCAATCGAATTTTGTCCAATGACGAACTTTTTGTAGGCTTTGACAAAAACTATAAATAATGCTAATAGGCCGAAGAATATCATAGAATAGGACAGCATTGGAGCAGCTATGGGTCCTATGGTGGTTGCTAAGAATATCCATCTCCAAATTGATGTAGTCACTTCGTGAATACCCTGAAATTATTTAAAAATTGTTTTTAATAGTTATAATGTTATAAAATCTTAAACATACGGAAAGTCTTGAGCAGATCACTTAAATATTTTAAAAAGTAGATTATATTACTGATATAATTAGTAAAAGTGAAAACAATATTTCCGTAGATAGGTAGTAGGAATGAAAGGATTGAAAAACAAATGAAATTATCAGAAATAAGTTCAGTAAATTCAAGTAACGCGTACGAAATGTACATGTAAATTAAAATTAACGTAATTTCAGTAATCTTAGATTTTCCTAAAAAATTAAGTACCAACCTCATTTTGTGCAAAATTCAAATTTTCATTACTAATCCAAACTTGTATATTAGTTAAGAAGTAAGTTAGTCAGAATAAGTCTGTTTATATTTATACTATTAGCTACTAGTGTATCCCCGCAACGTCATCTGCATGACAATAGTTGGGCTTTACGCGACAAGACCTCCTTTTGTACATTTAGTATCTATTTTTCAATACGCAATAAAGAGTTTAAGAGATAATAGTACTCCATTTTCTTCCCAATTTATACTCTAACTTAGGTACATAGAGTTTAAGTTGGGAAGGAGAAGGATATGCTAAGATATTAATTGGTTGGGATGACAAATTTTCTCACCTCTTCGACCCACATGACTGGGAACACAATGTCGGGGAATCTGTTGATGCTGTTGATCATGATGTTCGGTGCTCGGTTCACTTTCAAATTGATCTGCACCCGAACGAAACCTTCCAGTGGAACTCCAAGTTTCTACAATAAAAATAATCAATAATTAGGTTCAATGCAAGTCAAGATGTCTTGTGTCGAGCACACTATTATAAAGTACTAGCTGGGCCCGCGGTTTCACCCGCGTGAAATTTATATCATATGTTATTCTCAAGCTATATTACTGTAAAGTTTCATCAAAATCCGTTCAGTAGTTTTTGCATGAAAGCGTAACAAACATCCATCCGTACTTACAAACTTTCGCGTTTATAATATAAATAAGATTCTTTATGTATTTTATTACTATTATGGTATACAAAAATCTTACTACTTAACTATATTTCCAACTGGGAAGGTACTCGGTACAGAAGAAGAAAAAGAAGCATCAAAATTGGTTCAGTGTTCAGTATTCAGCTCAATTCAGATTGATTTCCTATTTTCAAATAGTGTGTGATTTATATAAGCGTATATTCAAATCTATTTAAATTAATAATAGACACATTTAAATCTAATATTATAAGTAAATCTGAAAGTTTATTGGAAACTGCATAAAAGGCTAGACGGATGGCAAAGAAAGGTCTACAGACTGTAGATTCAAATTCAAATTCAAAAATAATTTATTCATGTAAGACATTTTAGCCGCTTATGAACGTCAAATTTTTATAACATAATTTTTATGTTTTCCATACCGTCCAGTTCGGTATATAGATCCAATTGAGAAAAACTGGCAAGAAACTCAAAGATAAACACACCGATTTTTTTTTTAAATAACAAGACCTAAGCCTTAGGATAGGCAAACCTTCGTTACTTCTTAGAGAAGGCAAGTGAAGATGTTGGTACTCACAGGCTGAATCATGAAATACGTCTCGTGTTTCTTCTTATCTGGCTTCAAGCCTTCGAAGTGGTCCAGCAGAGATGGTTCAGCGTCGAAGAAGTGAGGGTACGAGAGGTAGACCGGTGCGTCTGGAAAAAATTGAAACCATTTATTTTTTTTAGAAAGAGCAATAATTATAATTTAAATAAACTTAATATTAGCACTTTCGAACAGTCATATTTTTTTTATTCTACCACTCATTCGGAACGCAAACTCATCACAAGAAGAATGCGAAAGAAACTTGTGGGTTGCTTTTTTAAATAAATGTTGCTCAGAATTACATTATTAAATATTTTTTTGTGAATACAAACTGTCAAATAGAAAAGATAACATAAATATTACTTGAGTAACAAAAAATATATAGATATAACAACACAGTCTAGATTGCAAAGTATTAGAAAAAGAACAATTTTGAAGTAACAAATAATTAATTAATTTAAATACATACATGATAAACAAACTTGTATAAATAATATATCTGTAGATACAAACAAACTCTTCAATTTCACAATATTAATAATAAGAATAACAACCCAGGAGAATTCACACAACGCCATCTAGCCCCAACATAAGCAGACCTTGTGTTATGAGTACTAGACAACTGATACAAATACTTAAATACATTATTTGTGTAACTACATATACAAACAATACTCATGACTACAAATGTTTAGAACATGCAAGAAATCGAACCCGAGACCATCGAAAGTAAACTTGTACCGTTAGACCATAGAGGCCGTTGTATTAGTATAAACAACTCACTGTATTGACATGGACTGATGTTCTGCAGACCTCGCGGAGGGCACTTTTCTCCATCACAGTAGCACTTATTATCTTGATTTATGTCAGCGCATTCGAAGGCAGAGCTAGGTGGTGTGTACAGTCCAGTTTTAATATCTGAAAAAGCGAGAAGAGATTGTTAGTAATATGGACTAAAGACATCATTACTAACAATGTACTAAGTATGTCAGGTTGATATCTACGCGATTCGTCCTGAAAATGGTTGTTTTAAATTTCTGGTGACTTTTTATCAATTAGTAGTGTTCTAAACAATATCATCAATTAATATAATATTCCAGACAATATCATCATTTAATGTAGTGTTCCAGACATTATCATCAATTAATATAGTATTCCAGACATTATCATCAATTAATATAGTATTCCAGACATTATCATCAATTAATATAGTATTCCAGACATTATCATCAATTAATATAGTATTCCAGACATTATCATCAATTAATATAGTATTCCAGACATTATAATCAATTAATATAGTATTCCAGACATTATCATCAATTAATATAATATTTCACACATTCACCATCCCATAAAACAACTAGAAAATACACTTACAGTCCTTATAAACATCTCCCCTGTACTGCATGGGTAGGATTCTACACAAGTCCTTGTCGTAAATATTAACGATGTCCGACTTGGTGACCTCGCGTGGTGGGAAGAAGGAACCTTCTGAAGCCCTGAGAATAAACAAACGAACAGTATTATTATTTTCAATCTTAATGTGTTATTCTGAACATTAGTTTAGATTTTAGATAAAGAATTATTCGACATGTTGCCCACGGATACTTTTTACCATCACACCGCTCGCCATCGACAGGGAATTTATTCCCACACGCTAGAACCTAAGAAGTCTCGGACAGAGACCAGAGGAGTTTCCTCCCGCGTACACTTAGATTGTGGAATGAACTTTCTGCCGAGTTTTTCTCACGAGACAACAGCATGGGGTTTTGAAGAAGGGTTATATTACGGTTTCTTTAGGGTCGACAACGCCCTGGTGTTTTAGGCGTCCATAGGCTACGGTAACCATTTACCATCAGATGGGCCGTATGTTTGTTTGCCACTATAATAGTATACGAAATATGACGACTATAGAATATAATATACGAAACTAAGGCGGCCTAAGCCGTTCGAACCCCTAACGGTGCCCTCAGACTAAACTCGTATCCGTCTGGCGGGAGTTGGCTTTCAGCCGCTCCATAAGTCCTTCCTTTGGTTTGCAGTGCCATCTGCACTCGCCCGCTACCGTCCGGTGAAGCTGTAAAGGCCAGCTGCGGCCTACAGCATTAGAGTAGTCGGAAAAAACCTGTGTTATTCTGATGTATAAGTTATATTACAGTAAAGTTTGATCAAAATTCGTTCAGTAGTTTTTGCGTGAAAGGAAACATCCATATATCCATTCATACTCACAAACTTTCGCGTTTATAATATTAATAAGATGTACCTACAGTGAACAGTGTTGGAAACTTTGAACAAAAATAGGTATCAAAACCTTTTCAATAATGTATTTTATAATAGTCAAATATATAACGCAGTGTATCATGAGATTACGATTGTTATATGTTTTTTAATATTTTGTTACACCGCTAATTATATCGATATTCTAATAAGTATATATATAATTACGATTTATTTACAATTTGGTGTTTTATGATTATTTACAACGATTACATCCACGTAGCTCGTTGAGATTCACACAAACAGGAAACAATCATATCTAATATATCAATGTAAATGTTTGACCATAGCTTAGGTAAAACCGAAGGTTTATACAATGTGAAATTGCTTCCTGGTAATCCTGTGCAAATAAAACGCAAAGTGTCTTAATGTCGTAAAATATGTAGATACTAGTTGTCCCGGCAAACGTTGTTTTGCCATATAAGTTAATAACGCTATAAAAAAAATAGGAGTTGGTGATAGAAGCGTGAATATTTAGGATTGTACGTATTTTATAGTGACAGATAATTAAAAAATATAAATAAAAAATTTCGCTCGAAAATAAAAAAAATAATGTTAGGGGTGGACAACCCTTATCACTTTGGCGTATGAAAAATAGATAGATAGTAGCCGATTCTCAGACTTACTGAATATGCATATAAAGTTTAATCGGTCAAGTCGTTTCTGAGGAGTATGGTAACTAACACTGTGACACGAGAATTTTATATATAAGTTACTTCCTGGTCTGTGCAAATAAAGCGTAAAGTGCTATTGTACGTCGTAAAATACGATACCCAATGGACTTATATAGTATATTTACGCTATATATTATTGATCTAATATGCTATAACAGAATAGCAGAGAGGGTGGATTCACTGCCCTCACTGAGTTACAGACCGTTTTGTCTCCTACATTAGTTTTAAATTATATTATTGTATGGGCATATATATGTATAAAGATCATTATTATTATTAGTCACTTGATAGTTATTACTATTCAATTCAAATTCAAAATATCTTTATTCATGTAGGTCTATTACAGACTATCATAAGAGTCTGTAATAGACTACATGAATAAAGATATTTTGAATTTGAACGAGTTCTACAATTTTATAGTAAGCATCAGTTGTCTAATACCCATATATATATATTATTATTACTATTATTAAAATAGAAAGTGTACAAAGTAATGTACTTTTTATTAATGATTTTATGAAATAAGTGTAATGTCATTAGTGCAGCCGGGATCACCATTCCATCATCATCACTATCATCAAGTAAAGAAATATTCAAAATATGTATGTTTATTCATGTAGGTCTCTTACAGACTCTTATGATATGTCAAATATACCATCAGTTCGGAATGATTTCGAAATGAGAAGAACTGATAAGAAACTTAGCTCGTATCCTTTTATAATAATGTTATGTGATACTTAGTTATCAAAATGTTCATACGTTATATCGTTACAGGGGCGATCCTTCCAGTGTGGCAGGTGGTCGAGACCGTTAATCTTGTCCAAATACCCAAATCTCGACATGGACTTTTGTCCAGTGTAAATAGTTGACACTTCGTCCAATGTGCCGTTTCTCTGTAAAACAATATATCATAAATTTTAATTAACTGGGATGGATAGATAAATCGTTTATTTGATTATTAATCACACTTAATTTAATCGGCCTAGGCGCTTTAACATACCTTACTTCCGATGGTCGCGGGTTCGAATCTCGCGCGTTACAAACATTTTTATTCATGAGTATAATTGTTTGTACGGTCTGGGTGTTTTCTATGTATATTAAGTATGTATTTACAAAAAATAATATCTAAATATTTGTATCAGTTATCTAGTACCCATAATACAAGCTTTAGTTAGCTTAACTTGGAACTAGATGGCGTTGTGTTAATTGTCCTGATATTATTATTATTACAATTTAGCCTTGGCGGTCTAGCAGTTTTGCACACCGCCTTACGTACATTGGTCGCGGTTTCGATTCCTCGCTCGGTACAAACATTTGTTTTCATGACTAATGATTTTTGAAAAATCTATCTATGGATTTATATCAGTTGTCTTGGACCCACACACACACACACAGACACAAGCTCTGCTTAGATTGGGACCAGACTCTGTGCAAATTGTCCTTGGGTGTTTTCTATGTATATAATGTAAGTATGTAAAAAATGGGAATTAGGTATGTATTTATATCAGTTGTCCAGTAACATAATTATGCTCTGCTTAGCTTGTGACTAGATGTATCTGTGTGAATTGTCCTGAGATATTATTATTATAATCTTATACTTACAGCAAGAAATAATCCCATTTGACTGTTAGGTCTTTTGCCCTTAGGGTAAAAATAGTGAGCAAGGGTCACTAAAGGATCGTTGTACCTGTGAAATATAATGATTAATATAAACATACAGATATTTTAAATTATTATAAAATTTAATTTTATCATCAAACTAAATTCATGGAATATGCTTCCGATATTAGTATATCCTGAGAAGATAAGAACCGTCGCACCTAAGAATATCTTACAATTCCTGTCCCTCACTGTCTAGATTAACTATAACTATTTTAAATACATAGCACTGACAATATTATCTGATTACACTAATAATGAGTGCGTAGCGATTTCTATGTTGATTGTCGCATGCCTCTTACTTGTTACACTGTAATTATTTATATAAAAAAAAAACATCTATTAAAAAGAGCAACACACAAGTTTCTTGCTCATTCTTCTTGTGATGAATCTTCATTCCGAATGAGTGGTAGAATCAAAATATGACTATTCAAAAGTGCTTGTAATGAGTTTATTTGAATAAAGATTATTTCTATTTCTATTTCTATTTCTATGAATAAGGGTGAACACAATGCAGGTCGCAGTGTTACAAATATTTGCACCTGACTATAGCCAAAACAACCCAATAAAAAGACGTTCCCTTACAAAGCTACCTGTTTGGTGATATAGAGTTACGATGCACACGACACATACAAATATATATTAATTTTAATTGGTGATAATGGAATGGTGCACCAGTGGAGTACGATAAAATGATAATGAGGTCAGATCAGTTTACCCATCGTGGCAAATTCACGAGGACTATATCATGACGGTTTCCAGTGGGAACCGTAGAGCTACCTGTTTAAATTTAATAGGATATACAGAGCTACGAAGCACATGACTGCATATAAAGTGTATTTGGGTGAAATTCTTGTATTAATACATACCCGAACACAAGTTGTTCAGCTGTGACTTGTACAAACGGTTTTGCTCTTTCCTTATAAGATATGGCCAGTCCTGACACCAGCAGATTAAACACAAAGCCGGCCAAATTGGAGGAGAAAGATGTTACTGTCTGCAAGAAAGAACTACATATTAAATATCTGAAACGAATTAATATTAATCATTACATAGTATAAAACAAAGTCGCTGTCGCTGTCGGTCCGTCTCTATGTATGCTTAAATCTTTAAAACTAAGTAACGGATTTTGAAGCGGTTTTTGTAATAGATAGAGTGATTCAAGAGGAAGGTTTATATATATAATACAATACATATATACATGCCCGCTGTTACATCGCGAGTGTAACCGCGGGCATAGTTAGTGAATAATATATAAAGCGTGTTGCACAAGTAATCGCTTAGCTGAGATAGTTCTCAATGGCTCAGATAGCCGAGCTGAAGAGCTCTCGAGGAGTTCAGAGAAGATTCAAAAAAGGGTTAAGGGTGATGGTAAGAAATAACATCTAGAAAGGTATATTGTGAATCTATAAAGATACACGCGTGCGAAGCCGGGGTGGGTTGCTAGTCTTATATATAAAATTCTCGTGTCACAATGTTAGTTACCATTCCCTTCCGAAACGGTTTGACCGATTTCTATGACATTTTATATGCATAATCAGGTCTAAGAATAGGCTATTATCTATACTTCATGCCCCTAAGTCATAAAAGTTGTCCACCCCTAACATTTATTTTTATTTTTTGGACAAAATTATTTTTTTTAAATGTAGCAATAAAAAATACATATAACCCTAAATTTTCACGCTTCTATCATCAACCCCTATTTTTTAATAGCGATTTTAATTTATGTATGGCAAAACAACGTTTGCAATGTCAGCTAGTATTGTATAGTACTCTGGAATGACAACGCATGACTGATATCACGCATATCACATGATAACGTGATATCCGCAGTGCTGCTCGTGTAAGGCAGCCCCATCCCTTCTAATGTGATGTATATATTCGAGAAGTCATGATCATTCGTCACCCCCCTCCGATCGATCCCCCATCCAATTCAAACGGGGATCGAAATTACGACGGCCTGAGCTGAGGTTCGAACCCCTTGTGGTGACCTCAGATTAAAGTCGTATCCGTCGGGCAGGAGTTGGCCTTCAGCCGCTCCATAAGTCCTTCCGCGGGTTTGGAGTGCCATCTGCACTCGCCCCATAACGTCCGGTGAAGCTGTAAAGGCCAGCTACGGCAAACAGCATTAGAGTAGTCCGAAAAAAAAATCATTCGTCAGACTTAATGTATGTGGGAGGCTTCCATTACACTGTACTTTCTTACCAGTAAGGGTATGTTTGGTACAATGAGCTTCAGATTCTTGTCGACTGACATCTCTGGCATAAACCGCAGTATCTTGTTGTGCTGGTAAGTCACGGTGTCATTGTCGTGAAATTTGATGTTCACCTTCTCCATGTCTTCTCTACAACAAGATAGTTTCAATATTAAAAAAAAGTAGATAAGAATAATCTCAGGATAATGCATACAGTGCCCTATAGTCCCAAGTTAAGCTAGCTACAGTTTGTGTTATGGGTACTAGATAACTGATACGTATCATAAATATATATTTTCTTTCGTAAATACATATACATCGAACCCGCGGCGATCGGAAGTAAGGGAGTGTGCTAAACAGCTGGACCACCGAGGTCGTCGACTTCATTATATTACAAATATATATATATACAATACAGATTATTTAAGCCAATAAAATACAATATGGGTAAAACATGCGTGTGTGTACTAGATAGATAGATATATCGTTTATTTGTTTGTTACTAATCACACACAACATGTTCAAAAGAATAGACAATACATAATACGACATAAGATTTATAAAACTGTGTTATTATGTGTGATCTGTAGCAATACAAAAAGGTTGAAGCTCAGCGTGGAACATTGTTCAGGGTACAAAACACAAAACACTGATTTTCAGATTCGAACCATTTGAGGGTACGTGAATATAATATATATTTTTTTTATTCTTACATTTAGGGACTTTTATCATAATAAAAATAATGCCAGTAGTTCATCGTATCTTATTAATAATCTTATCTTCTACTGTACAATGAAAATAAAAATTTTGCTGGCGATGATACAGGATCAGATAGTATACCGTGGTACATACCAACATCAAGCCGATTCAGTCCAAATTTTTAAAAACTATTTTTTTAACAGCGTCTTTGGACACACTTTTTAATATGTGATGCAGATCTTCTATAGTATTGCATGTTTCGATTTATGCATTAAAAAGGCAAATGAATTTAATGGATAATGTCCGGAAGGCAGCCTTAATGCTGTGACAATTAATTTTCTATTGTACTTAATGAAACGAGATCATGTACATGAGGAGACTCACATTGTAAACTTTTATACCAAAAATATAATAATTAAAATAAATATAAATTAAAAAGAGCAATATTATAATAATTTAAATAGTTCAGAGTACAATATGATATAACTTTAACTAAGTGGTAAGGATTAAACGAAAAAAAAGAAAATATTAATAAGAAAAACATAGAAAATAAAAATCATTACGTGAGATTGCAATCGCAAGCCAAGAAATTTCTGTGGAATACCTAAAATTTGTTTTTTTAATAAGTATTCTTTGTGATGTTTTTTAAAACTGAGTACGGTAGTACAGCTACAGCTCTACAAAACTTCGCCTCTAAACGAGGTATCATAATGCAAAGAGTTCGGGTATAGTTTGGAAGTCTAGTGTTGACTGTTCGGCGAGCAGACTACGATGAATATTTGTGATCTCACACATGCTTATGGCAGCCAAATTAAATAAAATAATGTAATTAATCCATTAAGTGCTCTTTATATTATTAACTAGCTGTGCTTGCGGATTCACCCCGCAATTTCAATATAAATATTAAACATTCAATATAAATTAGTATTCTAAAGCATAAGCTATATTACTGTAAAGTTTAATCTAAATCCGATAGTAAAGAGTAGTTTTTGCGTAAAAATATAACAAACATCCATACTTACAATCTTTCGCTTTTATAATATTACTAACTGTAGCAGCAGTTTTATCAGCGTGTAATTTATAACCTGTGTTATTCTGATGCAGAAGCTATATTACTGTAAAGTTTCCTTCAAAATCCGTTTAGTAGTTTTTGCGTGAAAGACTACCAAACAATTTCGCGTTTATAATATTAATAATTAAGCTATTTGAATAAATGTTATTTCTCTTTCTGCACAACCATAATTGCGTTGAGTTTGCCTACTATATACAGGTTTTAAAGTGAGTCAGTCTGGGTCAGTAAAACACTAAATATAACCTCTTGACCTCGAGCTAGTTTGTAATAATTTCAAATTCTATGCACAAAGTATAGTTGACTGGTTGAAAACGCCGCTAGGTGTTGCGAGATATGTATATGATGAGTCATTAAAAATAGCTTAAAACGATAAACAAATAAATAAATAAACCCGGACAATTAACACAGCGCCATCTAGTCCCACGGTAAGCAGAGCGTGTTTTGTGGAGAGTGTAGTTGTTAGACAGAGGTCTAACAATTTGTAACGACTGTAACTGTAATACTAGAGTTAAGGACTTTACTAACAATAGATTAGAAAAAAAAGTACTAACAAATAGGCCGTTGATGCCAAAATAAATATATTATTATTATTATTATGGGTACTAGACCATCAGACATACACTACTTACTACTTTATAGATATATAGACTAGATGGCGCTGTGTGAATTGTCCTGGGTTTTTATTATCTTACGAGAATCGAACCTGAAACAATGGAAACTAAGCCGTGGCAGTATGCTAAGCCGCTAGAACTCCGAGGCCGTCATTTATAAAAAAGAAAATGGTCGGTTAAAGGACAAAATAATTGAGCAGCGTCGTTGTTTGCCGTTACATTACTTATATGTACATATACGCAATTTTTTTCGTGTGGCAACCGTCTTACTGCTTGTTTTCTAATATTACGCCAATTTGTTACTATGTTTGCCTATGTACACGCATCTACACAAGTGTTCAGTGTGGTTTTAGCCTTTTTAGATATATTTTAAACTAGTTGGCCCGCCCAACTTCGGCTCCATCACCCTTACTTGACATTCATCGTTGTATTACGGCCAGTTTACACAATATCTTTTAAAATTATAGCCTATGTGTTATTCTGATGTATAAGCTATATTACTGTAAAGTTCCACCAAAAACCGTTCAGTAGTTTTTGCGTGAAAGAGTAACAAACATCCATCCATACTCAAAAATATGTGTGTGTGTGTGTGTGTATATGTGTATGTGTGTGTGAGTGGGAGTGGGAGAGTGTTTATTATTACTAACAATCCCCTTCCCTTCCTGTTCAGTATCGCTGTAAAGGCCAACTGCGTCCAACAGCACTAAAGGTTCTAAAATAGTTGTAAAAATAAACAGCAATAGGAATAATGAACACTTGTGTTTGGGACAGTATTGCGTTGAAGTGTGGAAACTTAGCGTCCACTGTGGCTAACGCAACCCTATAATTCACATTAATGTTTGGAGTGCGTGCTCTGTTGTTTCATACTAGTGAACGCGCGCGGATTGCGTTGCATGGGCTTGTGTGTAAATCCATTTGTAAATAACCACCATTAGCAGTCGCCAAATTTCAAAATTCATACTAATCGGACTTCAACAAACTCTCGTCCAACCTGAGATTGCGTTATTTTAGTATTCATCATATATTTTTTTAATTTTATTTATTTGGAGTGTCTATAGTAGAATTATACATACATTTTTTGTACATTATACGTATATTATTTTCGATTCTTCGCATGGTTCGTATTGGACTGGGTGTTTTCTATTTACATTACGTATGTATTAAAAAAATGTATGTATGTATTCATATCAGTTGTCTAGTACCCATAACTCAAGCTCTGCTCAGCATAGGACCAGATAGCGCTGTATTGTAAATAATAATAATAATTTATTTTCTAATTCTATTTCGTTAATAACTTTAACGAATCCTCTGCGCCACTAGGGAGCAATCAAAGATATCTATTTTTTAATATTAGAACATAGTTAATCTTTTCTATCAATATGTCGGTTCAGTTATTCAGAACAATGCCGACATAGACCGCGATGTAAGGCACAGAATTAGTGCGGGATGGATGAAATGGCGACAGGTCTCAGGAACGATATGCGACCCCCGAATGCCCTTGAAACTAAAGGGTAAAATTTATAAATCTATCATAGGACCTGTCATTTTGTATGGATCTGAATGTTGGTAAAAGGATGGACGAAAGGCGTATAGAAATGCGAATGTTAAGATGGATGTGTGGGGTTACCAGGAATGACAGAATAAGGAATGAGTATATACGAGGAAGTTTGAAAGTTGCGCCGGTTATAGAAAAGTTGCGAGGTAACAGATTGAGCTGGTATGGGCATGTCATGTCTTATGGAAAGTGTATAATATGAATGTGGATGGATGTAAAGGGAGGGGACGCCCTAAGAAAAGATGGATGGATTGTGTGAAAGATGATATGAATAAAAGAAGAGTATGTTTAGATATGACGACCGATAGAGAGCAGTGGAAGAGAATGACATACTGCGCCGACCCCAAATAATGGGATAAAGGCAAGGCAATGATGATGTCTATGGTTGAAGGAACTTTCCTTTTCTTTTGTATATAAATATTTAAACAAACATCAGTACAAACTAGTAAGAACTTTACTTTGTTTGTGTGTAATCTCTTAAATAAAGAACAGTACGAACCTGTAAGAACTTCACTTTGTTTGTGTGTCAATATTTAAAAAAAGAATAGACCGTACCTGTACACGAAAGGTCCCACTTCGACCAGTTTGGGCTTCTCGCCGTTTTCAAGGAAACCCTGAGGGTTTGTCACGTTAAATATGTACACCTTTGTCAGTCTGATCACTCCGGGACGCTGCCAGTAGCTGTAACTTAAAGATCCGTTCCACAGCTTCAGTTCCTGGGAAAAGATGAACACATTATTATAAATTATGGGTAATAGGGGTTAGATCTACTCGGATCCGGGAGACCAATTGAGAGAGGGGTAATGAACACAGAAAATCCAAGGTTCGAGAGGATGTGCACCAAAAGTCCAAGGTCTAATATTTATTGAATTATTTACGTTTTATTATCATTTCTTATGTATGTTAGTCTATAAGGTATGTATAGTATGGGCCATGTAGCCTGAATTAAATGAATAAATAAAATAAGAGATGTTTGCAGCAACGCGGATAGATGGCTTTGAAGCCATATTGCAGAATAGAACTACATTACTGACGTGTACTATTCGGGGGAGCACAAACAGCCTCCTAAACATTATTGCAAATATGTCGGAATGTCCCTCCAGGGGCACTGGACACCATTATACTGCTGCGGATAGATTGCTTCTGGACGTGGACATATATGAATTAGAATAATAAGGATATACATTGTAATTTACTAACATAATTTATAAGTTGAATAAATAAAATAGTAGATTAGATATTTATGTATCTATTTATATTGTAGTTGTGTTGTTATTTGCACCAGCTACATTTTTTCATACATCTTTACCGTCAACCTAAAGGTTGCCTGTAAGAGGTTGCTTAGCGATAAGTTTGCCTTTTGTACTTATGATTGTATATATATGTATATATTTACATTAATTAATATTTTTCTGTATCTGGTGCAATAAAGTGTAAAAAAATAGTAGTAATTAGATGTTCAGACAAGTAAAAACGGCTAATTCTCAAATGAATAGATATTTAAAAGATTTAAAAGAAAACTTACCCTAAATATAATATAATCCAACCAGGGCACGAAAGATAGTATGATACCTATCACCACTGTGAAAATACTGAACATAATAACAGCCAGGCGACCTGAAACAATCGAAAAATTATAATTAGATACTTTGTTACTTTTAATACAACTATTCGATGACAGATGGCGCTGGTAGTCTAGATGATTGTGCGGCGCGCTGTCAAATCAAATCAAAATATTATACTACATTATTATTATTTATATATTATATTATACTACTAAAATATAATACTTTTATAATATGTCAAATCAACCGTCAGTTCGGAATGATTTCGAGATGAGAAGAACTGACAAGAAACTCAGCTCGTATTCTTTTCACATGAGCTTGTTCATGTTTACAAAAATACAGATTCATTTTTAAATTCAAACTTAGGGAGAATATAGTGACCACCAGCATATGGTATTGCATTTTGTCAAAAGGTCTGATCAGTGGCCGTAAATAAACCAGTCCCCACAAGCAGCACCCGTTCACGAGTATGACGGATGAGCCAGTCATCATTGCACACCATATTAGAGGGAGCATATTGCTCACATGAGCACACTGTGATGAATGCAATATTGACATGTCCAAATTTTGGTAGGTATATCAAAACTAAATTCAAATTCAAAATATCTTTATTCATGTAGGTCTACTACAGACTCTTACGATATGTCAAATCTACCGTTAGTTCGGAATGATTTCGAGATGAGAAGAACTGACAAGAAACTCAGTTCGTATTCTTTTCACATAAATGTTATACATGTTTACAATATATTTGAATTCAAAGTGGCAGGGGGCGAGTGAGCCTACTGTACGGCTCTAGTATTATTTTTAGTTTTAAAATCGGTGTTTCCTTCATCATAAATTAATAATAATAATAATAATAATAAAAAGTGTGGAGAAAACCTGCTAGCTGAGAAAAAATAAAGAATAATAATAATAATAATCATTCCAATCGTTATGTCGGTGAACGGTCTTATCCCAACCAGTCTGGAACAACATCTCAGACGGTTGGGATTCCAGGGCGGTTCACTCCCGGGAAGGATGCAGAAAGCGGTGCTGTTAGATTCTGCCCGCATTGTACGCCGGTTTCTGTCCCTGGGGCCCTGAACCCCGGCCGACTGTGCTTCTGCCGGGGGTATGTTGCCATCTCCTCTCCTTAAGAGGGGAGATGAGAATTTTTAAATAATAATAATAATAATAATCTCAGGACAATTCACACAGCGCCATCTAGTCCCAAATTAAGCTAGCTGAAGCTTGTGTTATGGGTACTAGATAACTGATACATATACATAGATTTTTTTTTTCGTAAATACATATATAGTATACATAGAAAACACGCAGACCGATACAAACAATCATACTCATGAATACAAAATTAAGTCAGAAACTGTTTGGTATCTGCGCGATTTGCACTCACGACTTCTTGAGGTTAGGAGAATAAAGAAATGGTCTCGGACAGTGTGATTTCAGAGGAGCTTCCTCCCGCGCACATTTAGATTATGGAACGAACTACCTGCCGAGGTTTTCCCACGAACTACAGACATGGGGTTTTTCAAGAAGGGTTTAAAGTTTCTTAAGGGTCAACGCGCACGTAACACCCCTGGTGTTTCAGGCATCCATAGGCTACGGTAACCATTTACCATCAGATGGGCCGTAAGCTCGTTTGCCACCGAAGTAGTATAAAAAAATATTCCACGATGATCCATTTTGGATTTTTAATGTATTATAATGTAATTCTTTTTCTATGAAGTTGATAATTAATCTTAGCTGTCATTGTAAAAAGAACAAGTTGTTAACTAGTTTAATAGGCAATCGAGTGTTGGCAGAGAAGCCTGAATGCATACCCCACAAAATGTTGATGAGGTTTGTACGCTCTACATACGCAGGAAATTTAAATTAGAGATATTAATCTTTAGATGTCGCAGTGAAATTAAATCGCGACAGACAGACCGCTTTTATATTTTAACTAATAATATGGCATAAGAGGAGCTAAAATAAATAAAAAAAAAGATTGTACAATTGACAACCTCTATGTGTTTTTTTATTACACACACGCACACACACATTTAAACTTAAAACTAGATGTATAACTAATTTATATGAAGGGGAGACCTGGTGTCTAATGTACAGACTATGACTTAGTTTGAGCTCCAGATTTCCCACAAATTATATTAGTGATTTTTATTGTTGGCATTTATATAATAAAACTGGAATTATGTAATTTGTGGAGATGAAATAAAATTTATTTATTATTATTGTTATTCATTACCTATTATTTTTTTACCTCTGAATATTATGATTATAGTTCATTTAGTGTAATATAAGCATTATAATTTATTTACCTTATATCACATTTCGGTTGGGGGCATGGCGATCTATATTACAGGTTATACCTATTTCAGACTTTTAAATAGAAGATATAGATAAATTCAAAGGTTTTACCGGAGTCTGTTATAAATATACCATAAAAAAGATTTAAATGTCAAATAAAACAGTTCCTTTGCAAAAAAGCTTACTATAAAATTGAAGAATTCGTTAACGATAATAATGTTTTTATAGAAAAACTTTAAATCCATAGCACTGACAATATTATCTGATTATACTAATAATGAGTGCGTAGCGATTTCTATGTTGATTATCGCATGCCTCTTACTTGTTATACTGTAATTATTTATATAAAAAAACATCTATTAAAAAGAGCAACACACATGTTTCTTGCTTATTCTTCTTGTGATGAATCATTCCGAATGAGTGGTAGAATCAAAATATGACTATTCAAAAGTGCTTGTAATGAGTTTATTTGAATAAAGATTATTTCTATTCTATTCATAAATTATCTGTTACTTTAATCTAGTTCTCTTTCTAATACAGTAATCTAGATTTGTGTTACCTTTATATGTAATGGTGTTGAATGGCACACCATTATTATTTGGGTATTTGTGAATGCCAGTCTGTGAATTAGTTTGTTTTATAAATTGTATCAACATATATTTAGTATCGCCGTGGTTTTGATATAATAAATAAATAAAAAATCATCTACGTTTACCTCAATTACGAATTTACTTGATAAGCTGTGTGTCAGTTGCAATGTGCAGATTAGGCAGTGAAATAGCAGGTCATGATATTTGATTGAATGAAATTGAAAATGAAAATTGTATGAAATTGAATGAATGATAATTGATTAATGAAATATGTATGTAATTGAATGAATGATAATTGATGAATGAAATTGAAAATGAAAATTGTATGAAATTGAATGAATGATAATTGATTAATGAAATTGAAAATGAAAATTGTATGAAATTGAATGAATGATAGTTGCTTAATGAAATTGAAAATAAAAATTGTATGAAATTGAATGAGTGATAATTGATTAATGAAATTGAAAATGAAAATTGAATGAATGATAATTGATTATTGATTAACACTTGTTGATAATGATTTTTATAATCTACGGGGATGATAAATAAAAGATGCGTCCTGTAGTGAGCGTTTGAGGTTATGCACTAATAATAATAATAATAATCTCAGGACAATTCACACAGCGCCATCTAGACTCAAGTTAAACTAACTAAAGCTTGTCTTACGGGTACTAGATAACTGATACAAGTACATAGATATTTTTTTTCGTAAATACATACATATTATACATAGAAAACACCGAGACCGATAGAAACAATCATACTCATGATCATGAATACAAATGTTTGTGTCGTGCGAGGAATCGAACCCGCGACCATCGGACGTAAAGCGGTGTGCTAGACTACTAGACCACCGAGGTAATCAAAAGTGCTTCAATGTAAGGTTTTTTTATTTGAATAAATGATTTTCTATTCGATTCTATTCTATACTTTATATGTTCCGTTCGATGTACCCACTTGCGCAGCAAACATTGTAACTTTCTTATTATAATATGAAAAATCTCGATCAGAAGCGCTTGATAAAACCATAATTGCTGTTCATTAGTCTAGAATGCCCTTGTCTATGGTTAACAATCTTCGCCACAGATAAACCCCTTGACACGCAGAAAATCGTGACGGCTGATCATTTCTTGCAGTTAGGCGAACTGCAAAACTGTAATTAACAAATGATAACGATTTCTCGGCCTTGCCAGGCTGGACATATGGCTTAGATCATAAGCGGTAGCGATTCTGAACCGTAATCGAGATCTCATTATTCTTATTATTATCTTTTTTGTAGTTTTATTATCATCATCACTACATAGTATAAAATAAAGTCGCTGTCGCTGTCTGTCCCTATGTATGCTAAAATCTTTAAAACTACGCAACGGATTTTGTGACGGTTTTTTTAATAGATAGAGTGATTCTAGAGGAAGGTTTATATATATAATACATGTACACCCAGGCGAAGCCGGAGCGAGTAGCTAGTGAATATTATAAAAAAGTATGGATGGATGTTAGTTACTCTTTCTAGCAAAAACTATTGAACGGATTTTGATGAAACTTTACAGTAATATAGCTTATACATCAGAATAACATATCATTACATAGTATAAAATAAAGTCACTGTCGCTGTCTGTTCCTATGTATGCTTAAATCTTTAAAACTACGCAACGGATTTTGAATATACAATATTTTTTTAATGTATAGAGTGATTCTAGAGGAAGGTTCATATGTATAATACATGTACAGCCTTGCGAAGCCAGGGCGAGTAGCTAGTAGGCTATAAATTTCCCATAAGTTAAACCGCGGGCACAGCAAGTAATAAATAAATAATTCATGCCCTTTCAGGGCTCATCATCATCATTATCAGCCCACTGCAGTCCACTGTTGAACATAGGTCTCTCCCAAGGCACTGGGCACGATCTTCAGACTGATGATGGGCTGCAGCATCATTGGTGCGAGAAACTGTGTACTGCGATCGCCAACCCGCATCCTCAGGGGGGAAGGGGATTGTTAGTAATGTGGATTGATAACCCCATTGCTAGCAATGTACCATGTCAGGTCGACCTCCACGCGGTTCCCCCTGGAAACCATCGTGTTAAATTCCTGGTCAATTTACACGATGGGCTAACTGACCTGACCTCATGCTCATCTTATCATCCTCCACTGGTGC